TTGGGATTGTGAAGGGTTTTGAAGTAATGCTGGTTTTTAGTCAAGCCTGCACTGGAATGACTATGTATGTATCAGCCTTTCAGTATGGAGAATCATGGCATGTTTTATTTCTGAAGTGTACTTTCTGCTGTGCCAGATCCTGGCTTCTTTAGAGCAGGGATTTTCAGCTAATGTTGAAGCATGCAATGATGAGGTGATACAGGCAATTATTTATATAGGCATAGGAAAGGGTACACCAGTTCAGTACAACATAAACTAACTGAACATAATCCATACCAGATTGTTGGGTGTTTAGGTTCCCTAAAGCTTTATAGAGTTTTGGTTTTTTTAAGATTCTATTTGCCGAATGCTTTTTTGAAGTAGGATGAGGAGCCTGTTCTTCTCTCCCTACCCTTCTATACCTCTTCTGTCCCACTGATACACACACCTGAGTCTGGATGGAAACCTGATAATCTCTAGTAGTGAGGTCCTGGTACATTCGCTGCTGAATTAATGCACTAGTATCTTAAGGCATAATTTTTTCTAATTCAGGAGTAATGTCCTTTAGCCTGTGGTCCTTCTATCATTGTGGCCTTCCGCCATGGGATTGTTTTGTTTTGTTTCCTTTTTCACCTTGTAATTTGTTAATGTATGACCCTAGATATTGGAAAGCTTTATTGATCATAATAGAAGAGATTGTTTCTATTCCTTGTTCTATGTGGATATAATTTTCATAAAGGCTATAGCATAAGTAGAATTAAATGTGTGGTGTATTTTGGGGAATGAGTTGGAAAGCAGTCTGGGCCCTTGATTAAATAGTTGCTCCTGTGGGCTGCCTGGTTTCCTCTCTCTGTTCTGCAGGACATAATGTGGTGAGGTTGTTCCACCATCTGCATGTATTCTTTTGGCACATCGCTGTTAGATTTCGATTTGCTGGTTCAGGAAATAGGAACTCTTGAAGGAAAGTTCTATAAACACATGAATGCCTTTCTCAGTATTGGAATTTAAATTTCATACTGAATGCTGGCATGATCTGAAGTGAGCATCAGTGGGGACCAGAATTACATGTGCTGCTGACAGCTTTGAAACACAACAAATGAAAGTCACTTTATCAACCCTTCATGTTCTTTAATTTATTTTCAGAGAATCTCTGTAATAGTTGAATGTAATTCAATAGCCAAACAGTTAGCAGGAACAAACCAGAGTAAATCAGTTTCAATTACTTGCTACTTGATCCTTGGAATAAAACCAGATGACAGTAAAAGTTGTAAATAATGTAACAAATATGATGCTGAAATAGCAGCCTGTCTCCGTCACCTGAAAGATGATGCTGATGGATTCCAATTTGGTTTTGACAACGCTGTGTTATTCAGGAATTCTAAATCTGAACAGATTTATACATTCGTTGCTCTGTAGCTAGTTTTTAACAAGTTGGTTTTGTTCAAGTAGTTTATATTTAGACAATCTTTACAGCATACAGTGTACTCTCATTAATGACAGCTATTATTAAGCACTAATGTTCCAATACAGCCGTGTGTGAGAGGTTCACAGGTCCAGACTGCTTTCCAATATACTGAATTAACTCCTCGAGCCAGACTGAAAACCCATGGAGCTTCCAAGGTGTTACAGGACATTTGTTGGACGTTTCCAAGAAAACTAATCATAGGAGTTACAGAGCTGCACCATTGTTCACGTTCTGCTTTTGATTGACTCCCACATTAAGGCTAGCATGGCCTCTTTGTTTCTCTTGTTCCAGTCCATGCAATCTAAAAGATTTATGGATAAAATCTTGAGTGGCGATCTCACAAGTGAGAAGTTGTGGTTTTTACCACAGAGTCTGTCAGTTCAACTATTTTTTAACACCTTGGCAAGTGTGTATGACAAGAGTAGGCAAAAAAAGATATCCAGGGGAGACTTTCCCATCTGGCTAAACCAAGCTGAAATCTAGAATTTCCAAACTGCAGAAGGGTGAGGCTATTTTTCTCTTGCAAATGAAATTTCAAAAGCTCTTGAAGGTAGCTTTCAAAAGTTTGGCAGATGCAGTTATTAGGAGTTTAGTGTTTTTTGTGAGCCAGTTCTCCTCCCTTCGCAGTACTTGTTCAGCCAGAGGGTGCAGTTTTAGATTTCAGCTGGACTGATGAACTGTGGGCAATGACTGAAGAGGGAGGTCTTGTTTGCTTCTCTAAAGCTTGTTCCTTCCCCCTCTGGTGTGTCAGCAGTATTGCTGCTCTGACCCCACAGTGAACTGATTGAGAGAGCTAAGGCTACAGAAATCTAACACTGAAAAAAAATAAAAATAATAGGTTTCTTACTGCTGTAGTGCTCAGCTTTATCTGAGCATGGGCTCAGGTGGACGCCAGTGCTGTTAGAAGTGACTGGGATGCAGAGCCCAAGGCAGGAGTGGGAGAGCTCTTAAATTAATATAGATGTACTGTAAATCTAGACTTTGAGTCTACAGTTCCCTCTCTCAGGTTAAAGAGTATTTATGGATTCTCTGTAGTGCTGCTGAAAAGAATGGTCTTGCTATTTCTTTCTGAGTGTGGTGTCCTGTTTCCATACATCCTCCTTTCTGGTAGCACTAGTGGTTTTGTGATTAGCTGGATCAGGGAGCAGGTCCAGCTGAAAACTAAGTTAACAAAATAAAGAATTTCATCTTCACAAATGTTACTGTTAGCATGGCAAGGGACAAAGTAGTGTGAATTGTCCATTGTGGCAGCAGCACAAATTTGTGTTTCCTAAAGTTTATTTTGATCTCGCATTATAAATATTCAGATAGAAACCCCTTTTTTACATTTTTACCAATTTGTTGGCTCCTAGCTGGTGTACTGTTCCAGGTTCAAAGATTTTCTTGAAAGATAAGACCCTGAAATCACATGTGGCAGTCCAGCCACTTCATCATCCCTCTCAGTTTTGTCTGTGTCATTCCCCTGTAGTGTCTGTTGTGAGATGGAGAGTGAGCCACAGAGCGCTGTGTGATTTAGGAAAGGCATCAGTGTCCACAGTGTGTGATCATCTACTGTAGCATCATCGTTTTCTATGTTAATGAAGTGACAGTTTGATGGTTTTTTTTTTTTTTTCTTTTCTCAGTGTTTCAAATTTGTTCTATTTGGTTTCACTTTAGATACATCAGTGGAATACAGATGATCTAAGATATATGGGATTTTTGCTTTTTGCACGTGGGCATGACTAATTACCTTGAGCTACATCTTTAAGTGCATTTCTGTTCTCTGATGAACCTGCCTGAACTGAGGAAACGGCATTCTGGCCTCTCCAGACACATTTCACGTATTCCAATTGGCTCAAGACTTTCTTTTGAAGATTTTCTTTCATTCAGAGAGGAGACTCAATGCAATGCATTCTAGCCTAGCTTTTCTCCCTACTGTTGTTTTCTTTTGGGATTACTGTTTGGTCATTGTTCTGTTCAGACCATACTCAATTGCCCTTGTAATTAGTGTGGAGCTAATAACCATGTACTGACTAATCATGTCTGCTCTGGTTTTCTGGGATTGTTTTGACTCTTTCAGCTCCCACTGACTTTTTTGGGGCGAGCTTTTGACATTTAGCACCTCTGAAGCCAGGGTGTTTCAGTTATGAACAAGTTGCTAATGTGCTAATTCATAGCTGGTAAGCGATAGGATTATTCTGACTAAATCTGACTGCCTAAAATTTAAGTGTCTGTATCATGAGGAGTCACCCCAGGACCCCTTTCTGGCCAGTCAAGTTCTACCATGATGTCCCTGGAGTTGGCACACAGTGTGTGTCACCCTAAGGGGGATGCCTGTGTTCTATTAGGTGATTCAGGCCATAAGAAATGTGGAAGTAGACCCACATTGAATTTTGGTTAGATTTCTAATCAAGTTTGCTTGGAGAGTTGGTCTAAGTGTCTGTATAGAATGGAGTGTGTAAAATTTGGGCTTTAAGTCTGTGTTTGTCTGTGAAAATTGAATTTGCCAAGCATAAGAAGAGTTTAAGGAGATCCATCCCCAGATTGAAATAATGAGGAACACCTTTAAAATGTAAAAGCTTAGGTGCATGTGATAAAATTCATATTCATGCATTGATGTTTAAAAATTTCAATTATACAGGAATATTAATATTACCACTATAGCATGCTATGAAAGCACCTGCTCACAAGACCAGCATTTTCATTAGTGTTTGGATTGTGGGCTTTCTTTCTCCTGCCTTTGTAAGCCAGGCTGGGCTATGGTCTCGGGAGTGGGCACAGGCTCCTGCCTGGACTTGGCACGTTCTGTTTGACAAGTGCAGTCTCTTGTTGGGCTACAGACTTCGTCTTGTAAGAAAAGAAAGAACTAGTTTACCTTCTGTAATCCAGATTCTGGTTTATTTCATAGCTGTGTTCACAACAAGTTTGTTTAAAGCTGCAAAGAAAAATTTGTATAGTTCTTGGCTGTCACTAGTCGAGAGGATGAAATGAGTAGTCACTCCCTTTTCAGTCCCCAAAGCATTTTCTTTACAACTACATTTTAAGTAGTTGCCACTGGGTAGCAAATCCATAGTGCCTCAGTAATGATTAAAATGGATCGTATCTTACTTGGCCAAGCTTGATTAAGATTTAAGTGTCTTTGGCAGAAATAATGTATATATAAGAAATATAAAATGCCCAACAATTGCAGGGTTAAGTTTCTTCTCAATTCATTCACTTCAGTGTCAACATTGCCATTAGTAATAGAGGTGTCATTTCCAGTATCACTCTCAAAATTTGAAATCAAGTTTGAAGTGCTCTGTGTGTGTTGGAACTTAGGATGGAAGGGAAGGTTATGGAGCATGAAGCAGGCAGTAGATTAATCTGTTGGGCTGTGACACCTCAAAGGTGCTGGTGTACACTGCATTTTAAGCACATTCTGAATTTAAGGCACTTGTATTTCTCAGTGCTTAAAATTGCTGAAGGTTAAGTAGAGGCAGGGATTTCAGGTGTATGTGTAAGGTCTGCGTTGTTCCCCAAGAGATGCTGGTTTTGATATTCTATTAATTGAGACTGGCTTTTTTCACTTTTTCTGCAGGTGTTTACCTCCCATGGACCTACTGTGATTATGCCAACCTGGTTCTGTTCCCGAAAATGGTTTTTTCATGTGGGAAAATTTGATGAGGGTGGAAAGGTGAGTGCTATGGCTAATACGAATGATACCTAGTCCAGAAACCATCTCTTTGTCTACCAGCCTCTGAAAGCCCTAAACCTGTTATTAAGAAACACTAGGCAAAAGGGTAGAGATAAAAACTGAGGTCTAAAAAAATCTGTGTTGTACTGTATACTTTTTATTAAAAAAAAAACCCAACCAAACAACAGTTGTTATCCAAGTACAGTTGTTTTGGGGTAACTGGTGACTGAAGGACATAACCGATATGGGCTTTGAAGATAAATCTAAAACACTTGTTAGATATGTCAGCATAGCTGGAAAAATCAAAGAAGGGTTCAGACATTCAAGCTCCTCTTCCATCCCTGAAATAGCTGCAGCAGATCTGAAAGCTAAGGAGAAGTCAGCTCATGGTTTCATTATGAACCATCTCTGAAAAGTAAGGTAGATTTGGTGAAAGAGGTTGAAGGAAAGGTGCGGGAAGGCAAAGAGATGGCAATACTTTCTCCTCAGGGAAAGATTTGTATCCCTGAGATGAAGGAATAAGGGAGGAGGGGAGGTCACGATGTGCCATAAAAGTGCCATCATTAAATCTCATTTATCCACTTGTCTCATATCCACTTGTCAATCTTAGTTCTCAGGCTTGTCCTTGGAAGATGTTAAGTGGCTTTTCCTTGGGGATTGGGAGTGAGAGGTTACGAATTAAATGACTGTTACCTGAGAAGTGTTCCTCCAGGGCCAGTTAGGTGGTTTTTTTCCTTCTAGATTGCCTGTATGAGTTCAGTTTGATTGCTTTAGGCTCATCAGCCTGTTTATGGAATAAGATCCAGGGAAGTCCGTTGGAGGTACTTATTGTGGTAGGACTAGAAATATGTTGGCAAATAGACCTAATTCAGACACATTTGGACCCATTCTTGTGTGTTTTGGATCTGAGGGGTTTTCCTTCCAGTGGTTTTGATGAGATTTTAGGGCTAGAATGGGTGGTTCTGGGTTTTTTTTGGAAAGCCTTCATTTAATAGTACTCTTAAAAAAATCTGCTAAGGCTATTTCCTATTTTATTATTTAAACTACAACAGATTACTATTATTATTCTTTTTATAGCATTTAAACGAAGCCCTCCTGTGCCATGCAGTGTGTATATATACATACAGACGTGCACACACATGTGCACGTATGTATGAGGTTATACAAATATTATTCTTTGGGCTGCCAAAAAAAGTATAATTTGAGGAGACGGCAGACAGAGAACAGAATTGTTTAGAGTGGTGAAAAGATTTGCCCTTAATTACACGGCGGGTGAGTGGAAGAGCTGGGAATGGTGCCTGACTCCCAATACAATCTGCATTCGCTGACCCATGCTCTTTATTTCTTTTTTATTATTATTCCTTATCATTGTATTTTCATTCTTTGAAGAATGTTTGACCTAACTTCTTGAGCATTGTTAGTAAGCTCAGAAAAGAAAGCAAGCTAAAACATAATAATAACAATAGAACAGCAAGCCTAATGATAAAGTTCAAGAGGTTAAGTTAAACAGACTATTGTTCTGTGCTTTTTGCTTTTAGTTTTGGGTTTGCTTTTTTTCTCTTTGTTCTGCTTTTTGGTTTTTGGTTTTTTTTTGGGTTTGCTTTATATGTATAATTTTGTAGGAACTATGCCAGTGGTTATTTAGATGTAATACACTGGCAATCCTAATGAGTTTTTAGTACCAATGCATGATATGTCCTCCTAGTTTTAAAAATTATCAGTGATAAATTAAACTTTTTGGTTTCCCTGTTGTGAAGTGTCCTGTGTGTCAAATCTCCAACTCTGGCTGATACAGAGGACCTTAAACAAAAAAAAAAAAAAAATCCTATGAAGAAGGGTGACAACAAAGTAATGGACATAAGCAATGAAGTTAAACTCTTTGTCCTGTGTGAGTTTAGAGGACACAAAATCAAGTCCTAAATCTTTTAGCATTTAGCACTGTAAAGTATTTAACAGTGATCTGACTCATTCATTTTTATTCTAAAAGAATTCCTTTGAGGCAAAAAAAGATTTTCTCAGTGTGTCAATGGAGCTGTTATAAACTAGTACTGAGGACTCTTAAGGCTCTTACCCATACGTGTGTGTGTGTGTGTTCTGACCTCACCCATGATCTGACCATGTTAATCTGATCACTTCCATCTCCGTTTTTGGGATAGTATTTACCAGTGCGACCTGTAAGTGTCATATTGCTGCAAGTAAACACAGACACAGGCCAACAAATCTCCACATTTCAGCCTTCTCCATTTGCTAAACTGTTTCCATGCCAAAAAGCTGCATTTCTCATTTGGAATTAAATCCAAACACCTGTTCTTCATATTTCAGTGCTTAGAACAAATGGAAGATAATTCTTCCATGGAAGAAATTGTGTTTTGATTTTATGTTAATTGTATGGGTAGACTGAGAGAATATAAATACATAAGCTATGATGTAATCTTTTTTATTACAGGTAGGTATGCCTGTATCTCTCTGTCCATCCAGGCTTCATGTGAAGCAGATTTATTTTTTTTAAATATTTATACAATTATTTTAGAAATAAACACTTCTTTCTGATTAAAGTCTGCAGTTGTTGGAAATATATTCCTTTTATGTAATCCCTGTGGCAACGTCCAAGGAAAATCCAAAATAGTGTCTTCAGAAATGGTGGCTGAGGATCTGATAGGTTTGCTTTCTGCCCTAACTAACTAAAATGGTGGAGGTGTTACTTATGCACCCTCTGATATATGATAATTAAAGCAGAAGTACTTAAAAGTAGTTAATTTTAGCAAGCTCTAATGGTGTGCTGAGACTAAGGTAAGACAATGCAAATGGTCACAAGCCTATAAAGTAACATTTTAAATAGCGTCCACTGTTAGGAGGGGAGTCCTGTGATCCAGATTTCTGACTTAATTTATTAGGAAACTAAAGTCTTCCCATTATCCAGCTGATTCAGATAAAGAGTGCAGTACTTCCTTACTGAAAGAAGTGGCAGGACTTTTCTAAACCCTTCAGAACTCACACTTGAAAATTAGTGTGTGACGTTATCCCTGTGACTGTTCCACACTCCTATGATTTTTGGTGTCTCCTAACAGCCAGTGTCATCGTTTAAAAGTCATAACTGTGTCCAAAAGCATCACAAAAAGTTGTGATGAGGACAAAATGTACATGGCCTTGTATAATATGAGAAGCAGATTTTGAAGCTATATCACGTTAAAGTAGGGAACTTACAAAGTCATTTGCGGGGGTAGATGTGGTGTCTGTTATTAGTGAAGCAAAGTTATTGCTTTATATGTTTGACAGTGCACTCAATTCACGTACAAAAGTGACATTTTGCAATTTTATCCGACTGACCTTGTGTGCTCCTACCAAAATGTATTCTTCAGGTGGACAGCAGAATTTGTTTCTATTAATATCCAAATGGAGATCACTGGGAAGGCTCGTTATTTGTCTCTTTTGGCATGTTGTCCTAGTGCTAGTCACTTGTGTGCAAGGACACTAAGCTAAAACAACTGTCTTCTTGCTTTAGGTAAATGCTCAAAGAAATCTTGAGTACAGTAAGAAGTATATAAGTGAGTATTGCTCACCTGCAGGCTTTACTCTATGCAAATGTGGCATATTGTATAGTCTTGCCTTTATTTGAGCAGTATTATTCTTGACATCACAACTATAATATGCCACACTTGTTTCTTTCTCCAGAGTTTTTCCACAACTGGGTCCCAAATTTCCTGTCACCCCTGTATTTAACCTTCCTTTTTAAGTGTATGAAAACTAAAAATGGAGTGACAGCCTTAAAGGTCTAAACTAATCTCAAAGTGTAAACAGGGGGAAATTATTCTTAATGAGCCCCAGATGGAATAGCGTATTATAAGCCACTGGCATTTCTGAATATAAACTGTGGCTCCAAACAAAGTGTCTGGAGCTTGGTTTTGATCATTTTTTGTGATAAAAGGTCACAAAAACCACAAATTGAGGAGGTGTCAAAATATCCTTTGGTGCACAGGAGACTGCAGCACATGCTGCAAAGCACTAAGATAACTTTGTAGGCTATTAGGTGCTAACTAATGAATTCTTTCATTTTTTCTCTGCCAGAGCACACAAATGTCATTCCCTCCAGAAAGGCAGGCAGTTACAATAACGCCTGAAAGGTAAAAGGCTAAGCAGGAACTTGGTTTTTTGGAACATGAATTAAAATATGGTCAGTTTGTCAAATAACCTATCGAGGTGCTCTGGGGGAAAAATCTGGATAAAATAGAGGCAATAATGGGTTTGGCTTGCTGTAGTTAAGGCTGAACAGAGATCAGTATTTGATCTGAAAAGGAAAGAAAAGGTGGTGGAGCCAATGTTTAATTATACTTTATGGGGCATGGGGTGAACTTTCAAATAGCTTATATCTAATGACAGTTTTTGTTAGTCTGTTATTAAATATCATTTAGAATTTACCACCTCCCTTCCGTTTGACTTCCTCATCATCTTTGTTTAACTCCGTCTCTCCGTGCCAGTATGTTTGGATGAAAGCAATCTTTTGGAGTTTCCTCTAACCTGTTATTTCCCAAACAATGAAGTCAATGTTATGGGCTTCAGGTCTTCCAGTCAAGGCAAAATGATGCAAAGACGTGATTTGGATGGGAACCAAAGAATGAAGTGACAGATCTGCAGAAAGAGACTTAAGAATATCTCGGGATAATCCCGAAGAGAAGCTATTAATAGCTATTTAATATGGAGTTAGCTTGTGGTTAGTCTGCTTGAATACCTCTGGTGGTTATATCTAATGACAGTTTTTGTTAGTCTGTTATTAAATATCATTTAGAATTTACCACCTCCCTTCCGTTTGACTTCCTCATCATCTTTGTTTAACTCCGTCTCTCCGTGCCAGTATGTTTGGATGAAAGCAATCTTTTGGAGTTTCCTCTAACCTGTTATTTCCCAAACAATGAAGTCAATGTTATGGGCTTCAGGTCTTCCAGTCAAGGCAAAATGATGCAAAGACGTGATTTGGATGGGAACCAAAGAATGAAGTGACAGATCTGCAGAAAGAGACTTAAGAATATCTCGGGATAATCCCGAAGAGAAGCTATTAATAGCTATTTAATATGGAGTTAGCTTGTGGTTAGTCTGCTTGAATACCTATCCTAAAGGAAGTTAAACTAAGGAGTATTTTCAATGAACAATAATTTCTCCTTGAAATAAGTAGTTTCAATGAGAAGATGTTAATTACAAAAGAACTACACGATTGGCATTTAATATACAACTTGTCTCTAGGGAAAGACCGAAGGATGGATAGTTCCTGATAAATTACTTTAGCTGCTATTTTTTTCCACCTTTACATTTAAATTGGAGAATTTCTTGTTTAGTTTCAGCTTCCAGCAGCTCGGTGGCTGTTCCCCATTAGCAGTACACTCTGAACAGCATTTGTTGCTGAGTAAGAGAGTTCAATGCCAGGCTGGAACAGCATTTGTATCGGAAGCAGGGGTTCTTCCCTTAAAATAAGGTGCCCCTCTGTATGTGATATTTTGGCAAGTCCAAGATTTAGTTCAAGGCTGAGGAGATGCAGTTGGGCAGCTGTTGGCATACCTATTTAAAAAAACAAAAAAACAAAAAACCCCAAAAACTTTGATTTTTTTACTCAACATCTGTGCTTTGTGGCTAAACAACTCTGAGTTTAGAATTTTTTTCCCCAGTTTAATCCTAGGTGTTGTAATACACACCATTTCATCTGCTTTTTATGCTACTGTAGCATAATATTAATATTGAAATGTTTTTATTTTTTAATGAACTGAAGTGTGCAGCATGAAATGAATTAGCTTATAAATAGCAATGAAATAAATTGTCTGAAGTCCTGTAAGAAACAGGTTAGTTTGGAATCAAAACTTACTTCCTTTTTGATTCATTCTTTCATTTCACCAATTTTAGGCTCCTCTGAGGTATGAAAGCAATTTGGTTTATTCTGTCCAGCAATTACTGTGATGTTGCTGTCTGGTTTGCAAAAGGTGTACCAAGTTACAGTTCAATTTTCCATGATGCCTCTGGTCAAGAGGAAGAGCCAAGCTTTTCCAGACCTGAAGGGTTTTTTCATGTCTGAATAGATTTACTTCCCTTGTCTTGTTTATCATCACTTTTTGTTATAAATGCGTGTGTTCTTGAGATATAAAACATTCAGATTTCCCAGTTTCACTAGTCAGACTGCTCTGCATAGGCTGAATCTCTCCCTGGTTTTGCTCCCAAGGATGTGCCAGCTCTCCTGGAGTACCCATCAGCTGGAGGAGGACAGGGGAAGAGAACATGTTGGAAGTGACTGGGAGAAGGTGCAATGGAGGGAAAGGACATGGGTGAGGAAGTCAGGACAGACTGATTTGGCCACAGAATCAGTTCCCTGTATTAGGTATAGCAGTAAGAGGCAGCTTTGAAGGGAAGGATGATTTTGCTATGATACGGGTAGTGCACACTGGTTAGAGCTGAGCAGGTGAGGCTGTGGTGTGTCCCTAGGAGATGTCATCAGCAGTTGAGAGAGACAGGCCGGTGAGTTTATTCCATAGGACAGCAGAGCCTATAGAACTGGGGTTTACCTAGAATGTAGAAAATTCCATATGCAGTCTAGTAACATGTAAGTGCAGCAATTTAATTGTAGCTATCAATGCTGAAAACCATTTATGTGGTAGCCTGTTGGTGAAATGCCGGTTTGTTAATTGATACTTGTAGCTGTGGGTATCCACTTTCTAAAAATACGTTAAAATATCCCTTTAGTGGTTAAACAGCTTTCTCTTTGAAAGCTGCATTGTTAGACAGAGATTCCCGGTGTTTAAAATGTCATCTGGATCCAATAATACATCTCAATTGGGAAGAAACTCTTGTATTGCAACAAATGTACATGCTCCAGAGCTGTAGGAAGCCCCATCCCGGCAGGATCTGTAACACAGACAACATCTTCCTTCCCCTGGAAAAGGCAGGGCAATGCCACTCCTCTGGGATGTGGGGGGTCACACTGAGCCCTCCCCGGCACCTGCTCCTTCCTGCAGGGAATGGACTTTGGGGAGGGACTCTTTGCCAGGAGGTGTAATGATAGGACAAGGGGAAACGGTTTTAAATTGGAAGAAAAAAGATTCAGATTAGATCTCAGGAAGAAATTTTTTACTCTGAGGGTGGTGAGACACTGGAACAGGTTGCCCAGGGAAGTTGTGGCTGCCCCATCCCTGGAGGGGTTCAAGGCCAGGCTGGATGGGGCTTGGAGCAACCTGGGCTGGTGGGAGGTGTCCCTGCCCAGGGCAGGGGGGTTGGACCTCGATGATCTTTGGGGTCCCTTCCAACCCAAACCATTCTGTGGTTCTATGACTTCATCTCCAAGGGTTCCTGCCCGTTAAAGTAAAGTGAAAGAAAGAGCACTCCAGAACCAAACAGCATTTTGAAAGGTCCTTTTACTATTGCAGTAACTTGCTAAATATACATATTAACAATGATCTTGATTAATGGAAATGCTTATCCAGAAGAAAATGAATTGCAGGTACCTACGTGATATAATCGTGTATCTGAATCAAAATGGGCCTCCTGCACCGAGCTGATAACGTACTACAAAACCTGTGCCCTGCCTGACACAGCCTGGTGTGTGACTGGAAAGGAGAAAAAGGTTTAAACTCTGCTGCAGACTCTCAGAGTTTCCATTAAAGTCCATTAAAGTCCAGAATAAGGAAAAGATAGAAAGGGCTACGAGATGAACGGAAAGAATTTGAGGTTGTGTTTTCCTGATATTCTTGATGGCTGTGGTCAGTGCCTGCTACTCCACTTCCCCCAGCTTTCTTTTGTGGCTTTCAAAGTAGATTCATGTAAAACATAAATGTTATGAAGTTCTCTAAAAGTTTTCTTCTGCATGGCAGCTCCCAAACTGGAAGTCAGACAAACATCCACAAGGACAAGCGGTAGCTCCAGATAAGCTGCCCTCAGCCATCACAGCAGGACCCATTTTGTTCAGAATCTGGCCCAATTCCATGCCGTAAATCAACCCATGATACAGCAAAGTCTGGAGATGTGAAGCGCAGACCTTGATTTGGTTCTGATTTCTCCCAAGATACATATGTTCAGTTGAGTGTTTTGGATTTGGTTTTCCAGGGTTCAAAGCTTTTTTTGTCTGGTTTCTCCAGCCTCCCCTGCCCCAGCTGCTGAGCCCAGCCCGTGTCTGCCCCGAGCCCTCGCTGCGGTGGGAACAGGCCCTCAGCAGCGTCGCTCTTGTAATGAGAAGGCCAGAAGAAACCACAGAGGGATTTTGTGTCCAGCACTTTAATTAGAGAATTTCCTTTTTTTAATTACGGAAGAAACTCAGAAGCTGTGGTAATGGGGAAAAAACAAAACAAAAAATTTTAAAAACTTGTGCTCTTACTATTTTTCTGTGTTGAGATAGAATAGCTAATGTTGAGGTTTGAGGCTTATGCCCCTGTTACTCTTGTATGTGATGTTGCCTACAGAAGGAAATGTATTTCAATATATTTCCCTTCTTTTATTTTTCCTTCTCAACTTTGTTGTGTTACCTTTCAGCTTTTTCTGGAGGCTACACATAAAGATTCTTTTTTTGGCCCACCTGGTTTTATACAGCAGAGATTTGTAGCCTGATAAAATCATGTGACCTTTTAAACACTGGGTTGAAGGAAAGGAAAATGTGTATCTCAGCATAGAAAAGGTTAAATGTAAATAGATGCTAATTTTTTTACCTCCAGTATAAGGCTGTATCTTTAAAAGTGGGTTTATGTTTCATATGTTACGACATGTAATTGAATACTACGTGCCCTAAGATCGCCTGTCTGGCATGAGGACGACATGTAATTGAATACTACGTGCCCTAAGATCGCCCGTCTGACACTGTGTCTCTGGCATGAAGATTTTCCAATTTTTACATGAGAAATGTTGTATGTGGAACCTCTGACAGGCTGAGGGAGTTGGGGTTGTTCAGGCTGGAGAAGAGGAGGCTCTGGGGAGACCTTATGACGGCCTTCTAGTAACTGAAGGGGGTTACAGGAGAGATGGGGAGGGACTCTTGGTCAGGGAGTGTAGCGATAGGACAAGGGGTAACGGTTTTAAATTGAAAGAGGGGAGATTGAGATGAGATCTCGGGAAGAAATTCTTTGCTGTGAGGGTGGTGAGAGCCTGGCCCAGGTTGCCCAGAGAAGCTGTGGCTGCCCCATCCCTGGAGGGGTTCAAGGCCAGGCTGGAGGGGGCTTGGAGCAACCTGGTCTGGTGGGAGGTGTCCCTGCCCAGGGCAGGGGGGTTGGAACTTGATGATCTTTTAAGGTCTCTTCCAACTCTAACCATTCTATGAATCTAGTGTGTCCTAGAGCCTGAAAGATCTGCAGTTCCAGGAGATTTTTTTTTTCTTCCAGTGTTTCAGCAGCATTGCTTGCAATCCCATTAGGAAAAATGTACCATGGAAATAAGTTGCAAGAAAAAATGTTTTGTTTTCAGATGTTTCCCATTCTGAGGTTGTTTTTAATAAGGTCTCTTATTACGGAGCCTGATTCACCTTTCCTAAGTGGAGACCAGTATATACGTATTTGGCAACCAAAGAAAGAACAATAATTCTAGGACAATGAAAAAACCACTCTTCTGAAGTCAGTGATCCCTCTCAGTGAACTCTTTGGGCATTTGCCACTTGAGGCTTCATGAGCTGTTCAGCAGCTGGGTTTCCTCTTCTGGGACTAACCTGTACCAAGCTTTATACCCCTGTCAAAATGAGATGATATTTATTTTTCCACCTCTGTCCTTGTGGTCAGCTGTATTTCTTTTTTAAAGAGCGATGCTTGCTTTTGTAATAGCTTTATTTTTTCTACAGATACATTTATTTAATGAGCCGTCTCTTCATGGAAACGTACAGAAATAATGCGAATAAAATGATGTGAAACCTTTATTCATTTGGCAGAAAAATAAAATGCATCTTCAGATGAAACTATGAATACTGGTCGCTTCCTGGTTTGAAATAACTGCTTCTCTTCCAGGGTGTTCCAGAAGATCTGTTGTTTTTTTATAAACACATCCAGAAGGGCGGTGAAGTCTTTCGAGTAAACCATTGCCTCCTGCTCTACCGATACCATCCCCAGGCTGCGACTCATTCCGTCCTAGAGTAAGTGGCATTTTTTTGGTAGAACGTAAAAATTAGCTTCATCTTAGATGACTGGCAGCAAAAATGCTTAATTTCTTCAAGACAACACACAGCAAAATAATTACCCACTTGTTTTTAATTGTTGGTTTAGTTTTGTCTAAAAAAAAAAAACCGGCCAAAAAGCAAGCATAACATCATATGTTGGTAGTATCCTCTTCTGATGGTGGAAGCCTGGTTTGTTGCTTGCTCTTGATATAATTTGGTTTTGAGTAACAGGCTGTAGTGCTGGAATTGAAATAAGGGATTGAAATCTTTGGTTTGGAGACTGTTGCCCATGTTAGTGATTTCCTGAGGCAGGGGTGGGGGCATATTAACATTTCACATCTTCTAAGAAATCGTTTTGTCTTTGCAACCATTTTTGAAATAATTTCCCAATAGGTATTGTTAGAGAAACAAAGCATTTTGGGGACTGCTGCCTTACAGCAGTAGTGTTTCCTCAACTTCCAGTTACCATCCCTTCAGCTGAGACTGTAACTGGTGACGGGAGATCTCGTAATCTGCCCGAATACCCTCCCTGGTTATTTAAAGAGTTTGAGTTTCTTGCCCTCAGAGCAGATACTTCGTGTGATTATGTATCTCTTCTGCTGAATGTGGCAAGAGCAAGCAGTGAAGCAGTAACTCCTCCAATATTTTGAGCATGATGGCAAGAACGTTTTTGAAATATATCCTAGTGGTGAAATATTATTGGGGTTTTTAATTAAGATTTTTAATATGTGAGGTTTTGATTCTGATATTTTTTTTGCCATGTGAACCATAATCGTAGAATCATAGTATAAAAGATGTAAAACTTGTAAAACAACAAATACCTTCTTTTGAAAAAAATAATAAAAACTAAACCTTTCATCTGATAATGCGCTGCACTCACACACATAATTTTCCTATTTTAAAAGGTCTAAACCATCTAAATCAGATAATGAGGTTTGAAAAATACCTGAGGATGTTTAGGAGTAATTATCTCGGGTGGTTCCTTGTAAGCTGTTGCCTTCTGCTTTGGCTGTGCTGCTCTGCCCCGAAAGAAAATGTTAAATTCTCGATTGCTGATTCCTCTACATGCTCGTTTTACCCATCAAAGGTCTCCTTCCTGATCAGAAGCCCCACGAGCTGAGCCAAAGTCACTTCTTTCTCCTGTGCATTGACATTAATGAAAAATTATGTGAGTTTTACTGTCCTTTAGGAGTCGCACACCACAACCACAGTGGTAATTAGGCAAACTGTCTTCTTACTGATTAATGAGATAAATGCACTTTTCAGTCAGTCCTATTTGTATGGCCTTGTAGAACTGACTAGTAAAACTAAACATTTTTATGTGCATTTTAGTTGTATATCACTATATGATTGTATTGCTGTAAATACTACAGGATGCTAGCATAAATATGCTAAGTACATGAAAAAATGCTCATGGTTAATGTCGCTATAGATCTTTATAAATAAATGTATACATGTATATAAAATCATTTAACTCTGAAACAGCCTTTCCAAGCAAATAGAAGAGATCCCCTGGATTTTACAAACAAATGCGACATAAATTATTTTCCTTTTTATTGGTGTTTAAATGTTAGGGGTTTTTTTCTCTTTTAGTGTGTGATGGCTTTGGCAGTTGGTTACAAACTTTTCAGCCACGCATCACGGGATGCTGGAGCTCTTGGAAGGCTGTTGCTTGTATTTGTGGGAAAACATCTTATTCTTGGAAATGAGTTTGTTTTGAATTTACTGCAAGCTGTTGCTTACTCGGATCTACAAGGTTGTGTGGCACAAGCACCCTGAATTACAACATGCTGGGAGAATGTGGAAATACTGTAAGCTGTTTCAGATGTGCAGTTTGTGTGTCCAAATTGGCGCCTCTCTCGTCTCGTTCTAAGAAGCCAGGCTAGCCATTCTTCCTGTTGGCTTCTTGCTGGGACTACTGGTAATAAATATTTTGTGTGAACTTTCAGACCTGAGGTTGTGTAACATCTCCTCTTGTTGGCCTGTTCCCCTGTTTGTTGTAGTTGTGAAGGGCTGCCCAGCGTTTGTCTGTAAAGGCTGGGGTGTGCATTGAGCAAATAGACATTGTTGGGCTCATCACAAAAGTTTAAGTTAATAATTTAAATTGGGTCTTTCCTAATTTGCCTTCTGGTCACTTCACCTTACTTAATGTATGTTCTACTTTTCCTAGAGAGTCTTTTCAATTTAAATTGGGTCTTTCCTAATTTGCCTTTTGGTCGCTTCACCTTATTTAATGTATGTTCTACCTTTTCTAGAGTCTCTCTCTTTTTTTTTTTTTTTTTTTTTTTTTTTAATGGTGTTTTGTATGAGCAGTTTTGTGTGGCATTTTGCCTTTTGCCGTTGCCCTGTGTTGTATCTGAATTTCCAGAGAAGACCTAGACCCAGATTTGGAAGCAGTAACTCGCCAACCAGGTTAATATCTTGTCTGAGACATCAAAATGACGCTTATAGGAAATTGATGAATTTTATTATTTTTTAACAATTTATGCCTAGTTTCAGTCTTAAAAGATAGAACTTGTTCATACAAAGGTGTGTGATTCAGTCTTTTCAGCAAAGACAACAGTCACTCGAAGCCTGTTATGGGCTGATTTCAGTTTATGAGAGTGTCTTTCATTGCTGTTCAGGGGGAAAAAAATGCCTGATTTTGCATTTTCAGACTTTCTAAAATATCTATAAAACTACTTGGCAAGTGACATTTAGTTCTTTTTATTTAGTATGTATAATTGTAAACGCTAATGATTTTTTAGGTCATTTCCTATGATTAGTATCCTTCTGGAACAAATATCTTGAGGTGAAAGTATCTGCGAAGCAGGAAACAAAATCCGATTTGTGTTCCCCCTCACCCTGGGGGCATCAGGCTGCGTTATTAAATGTTTTGGGTGTGTGGCAGAATCTGAATGAAGTACAAGGTCTATATTTAGATTTCATTAGGTGCGTACAGAAATACAAACCTTCTCATTGTAATTTCATCTAAAGTCTATGCTGGATACCTGCTGTGTGTGTATGAGTGATACGATTTTTGAGAAACTTCTCTTCAGCCAGGAATTTACAACACAAAATCCCACGTATTGTGTCTAAATCATTTTATCTGGCGTTGCAGCCTGTGTCCTGGGGCTGTGTGTACTTTGTGCTACACAACTACGTTACACTGATTTGATACAATATCAGAGCTGGCTTTATAGTGAGAAGTAAGAAAGTTTGGTGCATCATAAAAACATTGTAAAACTCATAGATATTTATCTTGCCAAAGGGGAGAAAAAGGAACTGTATATAAAACATTGTACCTCATTGCGAGATAAAAGCTTGGAACGAGGTGAGCCATAAAACATGGTGTTTGTCTTTAGGAAGTGTTGCTCCTGAAGACAGGTGGGGCAGGTACCTGATCTCTGCAGCAATTTGAAAACTTTTGGTCAAAGGAGATTTAATTATACGCAGAAATTAAGGGTTGTACCTTCCATCTGAGATTCAGGCGATTCCCTTTTATGCAGAAAACGTGAAGCGCGCTTACAAGGCTGACAGTAATTTCATATGCTGTCTGGTCAGAGTGAGTCTAATATTGCAAGAGCTTGTTCTGCAGAAATAACCAAAAATTACGTAATCTATTGAAACCATCTGGTTCCAGGCACTAGAAGCTTCCAGGGTCATCTGAGCGAAGGAGGAGAGGCATTTAGTGTGAGACAGGCGTGTGGTGCTCCAGAGGAGGCTGAGGTCTGGTGTCACCCACGGGTGCAGGAACGCCGGCCTCGGTTCCTCCAAAAACACACACATCCAAAAATAGGCAGGAGAAGAGGAATAGCGTAACATATTCCTGTGCAGCTGAAAGAAAGATGAGGTCAACTGCATTTTTATCTTCTACGCTTGCGTTTGGCACTTCAATTAAACATGGAAACTAATGACCTCATTAGATTCTTGAAAAGTAAATGGCATTAACATTGATAGTCTCTGTCTTTCTTAATAAGCCTTTCATGAAAAATAGGCCACAATGCAAACCATGCCTCAGTTAATGACCCATGACCTGAAGATGAACTCAGGCATTAATAGAACCTATTAACAGTGTAAATGTAATAACTCAGTGGGATGATATAGTCCAGCAATTAATAAGTTCATATGAAGTTCAGCAGAACAACGACGACTGAAAAAAATATCAGTTTATTCATCAGTATGGTCAAGGTTCAAATGGGATTAATTTCTGAATTTCCTGTGTATTGTAAGAACCTAAAATTCTGTGTGAAAAACTAGCTGTAAAGGATCTGTTCTTCCAGCTCTCTCTGTGATTAAAAAGTTCTCTGTTCTTCCATCTCTGGATTATCTATCAGGTGAGATTCACCTACACTATAGAGCTCTCTTATCCTGCCACGAATGAAAAACCCCTGGAAGAGGCTGAGTAGCTGCTCTTCCTGCCTGTGTCACCCGAGCAGCGCGGGGGACCAGCTGACGTGGAAACGCTCAGATTTATGGATTTATAGTATTACTGTGGATGGTAATCAATGCCTAAAATTCCAGTACTGTTGAGGATATTGGGCTTGTATTTGTGCGTGTCTCAAGTACTTGGCCATCTGTCTTAGCTCTGTGGATTCACTTATGCAGCCTGGCTGGGGGAAGGAGGGGAGAGCGGTCAACCAGCATGGCGAGGAGGTTTAACTGAGCTCAGGCATTAAATCATAGCGCTTTTATTGTCACATTAACTTTCATTTCAAAATAGGAGTGGAGCAGATGTTTCTTGACTCCTGTATGCAGTCAGTAGGTCACCACGCTTCGGAACAGAGCTCCATTGTCGTGGGACTGGGGTGGATGGGATGGTAATAACTTGTTGGGGCTGAGGAGCACACTTTGGTAGTCATTCTCACCCGTGGCATCAATACCCTCGTTTCACTCCTGCGAAACTTTGGCTCCTCTTCATCCTTCCAGACTACATAACTGATGAGGACTGAGGGGCCACAGCAAGTGAGATCTTAGGAGAACTATGTAAGCCTTGAGAATGGATTTCCAAGTAGAAAAATGTGTAATTCTCACTTTTCTTTTGTAAAGTAAAGAAGTGACAAGAAAATGACAGAAATGGGAAAAATAATGTAGCTCAAGAATTCAAGCCAAGGAGGAGTATTAGGATGTGGGAACAAATTTCTGCAGTCAGTAGAATTTGTGTCCCACCTTCTGGCTGAGGAAAATCTTGTTAACTAAATACAGGCTGGAAATGATACTGATGGCTACTGGGAAACAGCTCCCTTAGTCCTCTCTGACACGGGTAGGGCAAGCAGCCTTGGTTTGGGGTGAGTAATGATACCTCCTGGGTTTTGCTGGTGGCTATGAATATGTAATAATGCAAAATCTGAAAATAGCTGTGAGAATCGTCTCTGGGTAGTGGTTTGTACAACTTCTAGATCGTTTCAGGCATTTTCTTTAATCATCCTTTGCACGTTGCTACAGTTCCCGTCTGCTGCACCTGCGCTGGCTCTGAAAGGCTGGGAAAATGGCATTCCCTTATCCCTCGAGGCAGGAATCCCAGTTATCTATTCTGGAAACATCAAAAAAATGTGGCAAATTAGGTGAAGCGGAAACCTGAAGGGGATAACTGAAACTCTCTCTCCTGACTCTGCGTAAGCTGCCTTTTGCTTCGACACGTGAGGTACCTGGTTTGTGCAGAGCACAGAGATTAAGCCCCTGGTTGTCACTCTAAAGCTTGGTCACAAATCCTCCCCTTAAATCAGTATTTTTCTGATGATCTCAGCTTGTGCTGTTAAAAAGATTTCATCGTTACCTCAAGATGGCAAAGTGTTTGACATAACTTAAAATTTTCATTAAAAATGGCACAGAGAATACGGGGATGTGATTTTTATATGGTTTTTTGTGAACATTTGCATAAGAGTGCCTCAGTGTGATGCAAGCAAAAAAAATATCCCAAGTGCTGGGTGTATTGGCCTCATTTTCACAACCCAAAATACAGGTTTAATATAACACTCACAGGTGAGATTGGGTCAGTACATCTGCTTCAGTCTGAAATCTTTTTAGGTAATTACCAACAATCAGATTTTACCTGTACTCATTTTCACAACCCAAAATACAGGTTTAATGTAACATTCACAGGTGAGATTGGGTCAGTACGTCTGCTTCAGTCTGAAATCTTTGTAGGTGATTACCAACAAAGAGATTTTTACCTGGATAGGGATTTCCATGGAATACAGGCACCTGGACAGCAAATGTGTCCTGTCTGGAAGCGACTGGTACTGAACATCCCTGCACATCTCCATCATGATTAGAGACCTGGACATAGAGTCCAGTGTTTGTCCTAAAATTAGAAGTTAGTTGGTAATTCTTTTTATGCCTTGTAAGGTTGTCTGTTTTTTCCTTAGCTTTCTGAACTTTGCAGACTCAAGTGGAACAGAAACTTGCCCATGTCACTCAAGTCCACAGAAGGGATTGTGAAGTACTTCTGGAATGTAATACAGTGTTATTCTTCTGAAGTCACATTTCAAAGTAAAATCAGTTTTAAGCCCTTTCCATTTATGTGTAAAGCAATAATCTTCCTTTTTAGAAGTTAGCAGAAGCTCTAAAATTTCCAGTAAAGTGATCCTGGAAAAGTAGTTGACCTTCGTATTTCTTTCCTTTAACTTTCCTTCTGGGAATTTGGTATGCTCTAATGAACGTGGAAAAAGACAAGTGTCAAAAGATGCCAGCAGCAGCTCAAGCGTTGCAGCAGGAACGCAGCTTGTGGTCGCATTAGAAGAAATTTGCAATCAAATCCAAGATTTTTTTTTTTTTTTTTTTTTCCCTCCATGAGTTGACGTGCTGGTGCGCGGCCGTAGCCTTCAAACCAACATGGAAACTTTATCTGCAGTAACTGTTCTTCTCGGGTACATTTATGTGTGTGTGAAGTTCTTTCCAAGCCATCACACCCCAGTCCCTGATGAAGTGCTAAGCAGGATTTGGCTGCGCTCAGCAATCGCACGCTGTCGTGAAGTGGGCTCTCTGGAGCTGACCAGTAATCCCAGCAAGAATCCATCTGTCCTGGTGCTGCGAGGGTTTCATGGTTTTCAAACCATAACTCAGGGATGTGAAGGAAAAATATAAATAAAACTGCAAAATTCCTATCATTAAAATTTTAGAATTTGAAATTTTAGATGGTTTTGTATCACTTGTGAATCAGTTTGGTCAGGTTTATGTGTATGTGCACATGTACATAGGTGTATCGGTATGTAATAATGCTAAAAGTTTTAGGGCTCAAAGTCCACCTTTTCTCTAACTTTCCAGGGGAACCATCTGGAATCACCGCGTCAGGTTTCTTGAAGAAAGAGTCCTGAGCTCCTGGACGTCGTTCACCATTTGGAACGCTGGCAAGCAAGGCAAGAAGCTCTACAGAAGCTTGTCACCAGCTAATCGGAAAAAGGTGAGCTGGTCAGAGCTGGGGGACATCAGGGCAAACCCACTGTCCTCTCTTTCACGTGCCTCCTGGCTGCTCCTAACCTACTGCAGCAAAATTCTCATGAGATGTTGTGACCCTGAAGTACTCGTTGATGATCAGGGGAATTCTTGATGAATGAAAGTTGATGAATAGAGGAAATTCTTAATGTTTTGCATAACATATTTCTTCTTTATAAATGCTGTATTACATTATTTAGAGTAAAGTTGATGAATAGAGGAAATTCTTAATGTTCTGCATAACATATTTCTTCTTTTTAAATACTGTATTAGGTTATTTAGAGTCTAACTTTCCAGGGGAACCATCTGGAATCACCGCGTCAGGTTTCTTGAAGAAAGAGTCCTGAGCTCCTGGACGTCGTTCACCATTTGGAACGCTGGCAAGCAAGGCAAGAAGCTCTACAGAAGCTTGTCACCAGCTAATCGGAAAAAGGTGAGCTGGTCAGAGCTGGGGGACATCAGGGCAAACCCACTGTCCTCTCTTTCACGTGCCTCCTGGCTGCTCCTAACCTACTGCAGCAAAATTCTCATGAGATGTTGTGACCCTGAAGTACTCGTTGATGATCAGGGGAATTCTTGATGAATGAAAGTTGATGAATAGAGGAAATTCTTAATGTTTTGCATAACATATTTCTTCTTTATAAATGCTGTATTACATTATTTAGAGTAATATGGTGTTGTGCACCCCAGGTCCCTGTTTGCTGGTGATGTAGACCCTGTAGAACTGTTCATGGCCCACTGCTGCGTAACGGCCAGTGAGTGGAGCAGCCAGGGACCCCGGGAGAGCAGAATAGCTCTTTATTGGGGTGGTATAAAATGAAATACCTTGTCCAGGATTATTCATACGTGTGTAGTATTTGCCAAAGTGGGTGCTGGACCGGCCCCTCTCAGCTGCTGAGCAGCCTGGTGTGTGTTCTGGGGGGAGCTGTACTGTAACTCCCTCTCTAAAAGCTTGTTTAAAAATAGAGATGGGTGCGGGGTGAAGAGGGGAGTGAAGACTATTGCACATGAGTATCTAATTCAATTTACAGTCAATTGAAATGTGGAGGTTACTTAAATTTGGCAACGGCAGATATTTCTCAGGAGAGAGTTGTCTGAGGGTTTAAATACCTTACTTTTATAGCGTTTTCTTCTGCATAATAACTTTTTGTTAGATAAAGGCTTCGGGGCTAATGTCAGATGGCTGTTTCTCATAAAGAGCCACAGAACATTCATTTTATTACCAAATGTGTTTTCTTTTCTTAAAAATATGGATGGGGAAGACAAAATGACAAATACGTATATAAATCTGATTAATGTGGTGGCCCTTAGACCACACACATATAAAAAGAAAATAGAAGAAATTTGTACAGTCGTAGTCAAAATTAGTGAATAGACATGGGAGATGTTCACACGGTGAATACACAACACAAGAATTGAACCTGAATTTGGTGCTGCTGTGCCATCCCTCTTCCCTTGCCATCCCGGGCAGTGGGTGAACTGTGTGAAGAAAGATGATTTCCTCTCTTATGAGGAGAGGTTGAGGGAGTTGGGTCTTTTTATTTTGGAGAAGAGCAGGCTGAGGGGGGATCTGATCAACACCTATAAATACTTAAAGGGTGGGTGTCAGGAGGATGGGGCCAGTCTTTTTTCAGTGGTGCCCAGGGACAGGACAAGAGGAAATGGGCACAAACTTGAACGTAAGAAGTTCCATCTAAACATGAGGAGGAACTTCTTCACTTTGAGGGTGGCAGAGCCCTGGCAGAGGCTGCCCAGGGAGGTGGTGGAGTCTCCTTCTCTGGAGACATTCAAAACCTGCCTGGACAAGTTCCTGTGCAACCTGCCTCTAGGAGGACCTGCTGTGGCAGGGGGTTGGACTAGATGATCTCCGGAGGTCCCTTCCAACCCCATGTGATTCTGTAAATTGCGTCGTGTCTCCAATCAGTTACTTCATTCTAAGAGGACGGAACCGTCCATTAACTGTGTTGTGTTGTCTTGGTCATGCACTGCCTTGTGCACGTGTCTTCAAGTGGTTATGAAAATGTTCTCTCTTATTAGTATTTTGCAGAGGACTTTGTGAATTCCACTAGCTTGCTAGCAACCATTGCACTCTTCTGTCTGCAGCAAAATTATGAGAATTAGAAGATAAGTTCCAGGGGAAGAGATGGCAGCTTGTCTGGTTGTACCGTGCAAGCAGGGATTTTTGAGATGTTACGGAAAAAACAGACTGTTGTTTTTGTAGCAGTATCTCACCATCTTAGGTGCTGGATTTTTGTTTTCATTTGTTTTTTAGCTTTTTTTTTTTTTTTTGTGCCAAGCCAAAATGGAGATTGAGATTAAGATAGAGCACCTCTCTAGCTTTGGGTCACATCTGCCACCTACTTCTGGAGGTGACTCATTCAGGACTTCACATCCTGTTGAGCAAACACAATGATGAAGATGTCACTGCAGAGGCGATAAAAAGGGCAAGAGAAAAATAATATTGGTGTTTATTTGCCATTTTTCTGCCAAAGAACCAGAGCTCACCTCTGCTTTGGTGAGAACAACCCCCACTCCCCAGTGTCATAGCGCTGATGGTGTGGTTCTAATTAACTGGCTCTTGCCGTTGCTTCCAGCTGACCTTTCCGTACCGTTTGCTTTGGCAGTGGTGCAGGCCATGATGCTATTCTGCTTCTGTCAAGGTTACAATTGCACATATTCCAATATGCTTTAGTTTGATATTGAAATATTGCATTGAGCATTTACCCGTTAATTACTGGCTGCTACACCAGACACGTTTGGCCAGCTCAGACGCCAGATGCAACTGCACACGCCAAGAATTGACTCATTTTGCAAATGTATTGCAGAGAACTGCTGCTAAAATGCAGTCACAGTCTGATCCTTAATGCCTCAGAGAGACTAATCAAACTTTATCCACTGTCTGACACGTTTTCTGAAGCATTCAGAGGTTTGCTCAAAACCCAATGAAGACATACAGCTTTGGAAAGTGACTCGTATCATCCATATGTGAGAGTAGAGGCCTGGCTTTTAGATAACACTCATTTCATCAGAAATTAGCTATTTGTGGTGCTTAAAGCACTAGTTCTGTGTAGTTGTTCAGGCTCGTTATGGTTCCCATTATAACATCCTTGCTCTCCCAGAAGTGAGATCCCAAGTCCATCCATCTCAGTCAGAACTGAAGCTTAAACGATACCCTCCCGTTTGATAGGAAGTCATTGGCAAAAGGCCGTAGCAGGAGTTAAAGCATCGCACTTCTCCGAGTGCTAACCAAAGGATTACACTGCTGGAGTTTCAGGAAATAAATTTCATAAAATTTGCAGTAGGTAATTCATGGCAGTTTTCATTTTCTTCAAAATTAATAACAGTAAAAGGAGGCTTGTTAAACTCCATGTTATACTTCTCCTCAAAAATCCTTCAGGTATTTTGTGACTAATCTTCGACTCCTGCCAAAGACTCTAAAATCCCATATGAACAAAGGTTGTAAATAGTTGTTGCTTCGTCCTTTCCAACCCTAAAAACAATAAAGTACTTTTCCTGTCTCACTCGTTAAAGACTACCTTAATAAGATTTAAGCTTTCATATATTCTGTTCCTTATGAGAACGCTAGAGATTCAATATCGTTTTGGATCAACAAGTAGAATCTAGTGTTGCCTTGTAAATGGAGGCCCTGGGATATGAATGAATCAATTATGTAAAATAGACACCTTTTAAAATACAATTCCAAAAGCCCCGTAAGACAAACTGGGATGTATGACATCAGTACAATTACCATTTTCTCCTCTGAAGGTCCAGTTGTGCAAAACAATGTGATCTTAAACGGTGTAATACCCTTTGAAATGCAGGTAATATTGCTAAAATAAGCTGTGTAATTTAACTAAGGTCTATAATTTAACTGTCTAAATTTAATTTCAGTTGCTTTTATACTTCATGTCCATTTAGACTCTTGGAAGTCTGACCTGTGCCCTGTTTCAGTGTTGCTGCATCCTTTTCTTGAGATGCAGAATTTCATTAGACTCAGGGGACTGATCTCAGTTGGAAAGTGGAGTCACAACAGGGGTGTTGTTCTAAAGTGGCACTAAGTACCTGTAGAAAATTTGGGACATGTACTCCTAGAATAAACAATAACACACACACTCCCCAAAAAAACAAACCCCAACCTGTTCCATACAGATTGTATTATTTTTTTTTAATTGCGAAAAGCTTAAACTTTACTAAATCTTCAGGAAGAGAATTAATTAGTTTGAACTGTTGAGCTTTGGGCATGTAAGAAAAAATCTTTTTAAAAAAAATATGTTTCTAGTATTTTTAGAACCTGATAAACAAAGCAGTTGTATTTCTTACACTAAGTTATTGTAGGATGTTTGAAAAGTATAAATGTGTTAAATGCCGAACAGCAGCGTTTCTTAGAAAACAACATTTTGGCAATTCCAGGAAGCAGCAGCCTCTGTGAATGTTCATACCCGCTCACAAATTATTACTTTAGTCTGGAAAACAGTCTGAATTGGAATTATGACTTTGTTAAAAGAGAAGAGGACACCTAAGCAACGTTCTCTCTTTCCCTGCAGACATCTGTATGGGGAATGTTAAAATAATGCTTTGTCTCCAAAGAGCTCAGGCAAAAATCCAAGGCTCAGTATTTTTGCTAAACGGCAACACAAGAAAAAAATTATTCAACTCATAGCTTTTTTTATGAATTAATTACCAGGATCTCAGTATTCTTAGGGAAATTCTGTTTCCTGGCTGTCCCCTTCTTGATTCACACAGTTGACAGTGGTTCAGTATTAGCATTTCTGCAAGAATGAAGTCGAACAGACCTTTTTTTGTTTAAAACACATCCGTCTTGTCTATAATTTGCAGCTGAAGATGGAAACCAAATGTTTTTGGGATGCTACATATGCCTGGAGGGTTTCTGAGCTGTCTTGTCTGCTCTTTTATTCTCTGTCAAACTTCAGCTAAAAGGAGAACTTGAGCATTAATATTTTGTGTCATTTCCGATAGCTGAAAATAGCGCTCCGGCGGCCAACAGAAAAGGAGGGGGCAAGGACCAAATAAGCATCAGCTAATTAGTGGCATGGAAACAGCACTAGCACACAGCCAGCCCCTGACGTTTCTCTGTGACAGCCCTGTCTGCAAGTGGCAAACTTGAAATCTTCAAGAGTATTTTGTACACCCATTTCTGCAGCTCATTAACCATTTAAAGTCATCTGTTTTTCTCTTCACCTTTTTCTAAGAGCACCATCACCAAACCCCGTGCTCCACCTGCGCTCCTTCAGCTCGCTCACAAAAGCCAGAAATGCTGAAGTTTGGCAGCATCTTAACTACTCCATAGAAATGGCAGCGAGAGAGACTGAGGTGGGGACACGGAGAAGCCAAGATTTAGCTATAAAGGGAAGAATCTTCCACCTTGGCTGTGGAGCAAAAGCTAGAATGAAAGTGAGTGAAAAGAGAGCCCATAGACCAAGGAGAGGGAGATGAAATTGGAAAGCTCCAGTTACTTCCACCTTGGCTGTGGAGCAAAAGCTAGAATGAAAGTGAGTGAAAAGAGAGCCCATCCACCTTGGCTGTGGAGCAAAAGCTAGAATGTGAAAGAGAGCCCACAGACCAAGGAGAGGGAGATGAAATTGGAAAGCTCCAGTTAAATCCAGGTATAAAATGATGTGGGGTAAAGTAGAGGCTTCTTTTTGGACTCTAGTGAATGCTTTCTGCTGAGATACGGCGGGGAGATCTCCTGCTGCTTCTGTTTGGGCCGAGGGGCTTCTTGAGGTGGGTGGTGTCAGAGCAGAGGCTTCTGCCCCTGAGAAGTTCCTGCAGTTACTGCTCTGGAGAAACGGGCACTTGGAGCTTGTTCCCACACTGATACCTGTAAAGGCAGCTGTGTGGAATAAGGGAAACTTTGTACACGTGATATTTAGGAGCTTATTTTCATGTTGGATTCTGGTATTGAAACTCTTGAGCAGCTCTGTTAGGTGTAGGTGCAGAGAGGGAAGATGCTGCTGTCTTTAGTGCAACAGTGTCTTTAAATGGAGTCCTGAGACGTGGGCTTGGGGTGTGAAGCCCCCGGGTTCTGTCGTGGCTGCGATGCCAAAGAGCTGGAATAAAAGCAGCACCTCGGTACTGAAAACCACTCCATCTGCTGCTGGTTTCATGGTTCCCTTGTGTTGTACTGGGAGATGTTTATGCCCCTGAATGTCTCTTAAACTTGCACTCTAATGCTCTCTGTTACTTTGTTTTGACATGAATGGCCAAAATTAATTTAACTTTTGTGGAGCTGTGTATTAACATGCTTCCGAGGCTTTATATAAGTATGAATGAAAGAATTATAAATAGAAGAATCACCAGGGTCACCAGAAGGTTAAAAGGGCTGAAGGATTGCAGGAGATGTGGAGAGAATGCAGGAGGGAAGATCTGCTCGTGGAGGATTTTGTGGAGAGTTTGCAGGTTGTCTTTTTCAAGATAAATTTTATGAGACCAATGGATGAGGAGGCAGAGGAGACGATGTGCAGGCGAGCGTTTATCGAAAGGGTTGTCCGTGTGTTCTGTCCTGCTCTACAAAGTTACTCACTCTCCCAGAATTTGCTGTGATTACGATGATTACAGACCTGAAGCAGACCACAGGTGAGAATAAGAGGAGGGAATAAAATGCTGTGAAGATCACTCACCATCAAAGGCCATTATTATTAGGTGGTTGAAATAGTTCAGGTTTTCCATTAGGAAATGTGAGTGGAAAGGGAAGTGCAGCAGCCAACAAGGCAGGTATGAAACAAACTATTAATTGCATAATAATAGCACAGCTCAAACTGTAGATAATGCCACTGCACCCCCAGCCCACTCATCTCCATTTGCCACGGGGAGGTCTGACCGTCCCTCCCACAGCGGCTGTGTTTATGGAAGTGAACCAGCCAGAGAAGTGCTTTTATCTCCCTCAAACATGTCTTCCCCAGCAGAGATTTTTTTTTTTTTGGCGTAAATATCTTATCTTTTGAGCCACATAAACTCTCTCTTAGGAGGAGAAAAACAATTTCTCCTTTTTCCCTTACACCGTTGTTTATGTTGCAATCCATATTTGTAGAACCCACTTACCGTACTGACCCAGCGTGTAGATGAGATACTGAGCTGTCCCTGCCAGCTTTTAGCTGGGATAAATAGCAGTCTTTTGTCTTTGTTTTGCAATTATGCAGATTTCCATGTGAGTGATGTTCAAAACAAAAATATGTAATCATTTCTGTATTTTCTTCAAACTGAAGTGTGATGTGAGGACTGTCTGAGCTCCGGTGGTGTCAGATTGCCAGAGGCATTGCAAAAGAGCCACTTTGCTAGAAGGAGGGGGGAAAAAACCCAAGTGGAGACTGCTTTATAGCTTTATAATTCATAGGTTCCTCCCTGGGAGACACGAGTTCATGTACAGAGAGATGGTTTTCATAAAGATAGAAGAAGGAAGCCCATTAATGGAGAAAAATAAATAGGTAACTCTGGGTTTATCATAATAGTATAAAGTAAATAGTTCATTCAGGCCTGATGCCGTGAGTTCTTACAGGATAAACAACTGGGCCTAAGTCTGTATTTAGACTCCAGACATAGATTTTCTTTAATTGGAAAATAAATAGTGTGTGTCAGAAAAATAGTCGACTTGTATTTTGGCCACCCACATGGTGCACAGTCTGGCAGAAAAATTGCCCATTCAAGTCTGACCTGTTTTATACCAGTGTAAATATCGGATTTAAGCTGGCTGAATCCATTGAAAATTATACACGGGGAGACCTTAGTGGTAACTCAAAAAAAGGTTGGGGGCATTTCCATCTTCCAGGGGCCCTTTGTCCCAGGGTTACCTGTCGAGCCGTGTTTCCCTGGCTCTTACTGGGAGTTCGTGTGTGGTTCCTGGGGCAAAGGCAGTTTGCAGAATTTTCCAGACACAACAGTATGAGTTAGGCACAGGATGAGAGGAGTGTTGGTAATCTAGGGATACAGGGATCTCTGGTGCTCTAACACCATCAATTAAAGTGTAAAATTTTAGTGTGTTGTGTTGGTTTTTAAAATCTACAGGAGTATCAGCAGCTGAAAAAAATAGCTTGAATTATCGGGAGATAAGTCAATGCACAGAACTGTATGTACTCCCAGAGCTCTGAGGGCTGACAGTGAAGACACATCCAGGTTAGTTTTGTTCATAATGATCCCAGCTTCCAGGACAGTGAAACGGTTGGGGTGGAACTGAGATCTGCAGAATATTGGAGAATTTTACAGGTGGTTAACGCAGAATGGAAAGGATACAGCTAAGGGACCTCTCTCTCCACACTGGCTTCTACTTGCTTCCCTTCATATACATATATACGTATGTATATACATGTGTATATAGAATATACATAAGAATGCAGAAGTTCAGCGTTATGACACCAACGCTCTTGTGTCGGTGTTTCCCTCTGCACCAACAGAATGAGGTCACTTTAGGTAAAAGAAAAAAAACCATCATCACAGGAGGAAAACGCGTGAGAGAGGTTTGGAGACAGCTTTTTACAGCCTTCTCTAACTTAAAAAATTAATAAACAGCTGTTTGGCTTTTCAGATTTTCTCAGCAGTAGGTGTTGTTAATCAATTTTTAATGCAACAATTAAAAAGATAGGAAAACTGCTATCCAGCTTCCACCAGAACAATCGATTTCTGCAAGACCTTGACTATTGTGGCTGCTCTGCTTCAGCGTAAGAGCTCGGTGTAGACAATGAGAACAGATCAGATGGAATTCGGGGGAAACACAGCTATGTATCGTGTGAAATGTCTTTGGAAATGCCAGTGCCAGCCTGACTGTTCAAAAATGAGGCCACTGTGTATTTAGGATCGCAGGCATTTATTGTGCCTGCATATTTAATGAGGAATGCAAATAAAAAACCATCCGAAATATTTGGCAAGGGGGGCTGCAAATAACGTTTCCATAACTACAGTGAGAATAACCCAAAAGGAAGCAGTAAACCTTGTGTTTATGCACCAAATCAGCTGAACTTCTCCGAGTTCCCAGAGCCGGTGTGTTAGCATTGAGGCCGGTGCAGCCCGAGCCCCCGGTGCCGTGGGGCAGCGCCGTGGGGCAGGGGGTGCATCCGTGGGGCCGAGGTGCCCAGGGGAAACACCAAAACACGGTGCTGAGTCTCTGCCCTTAGGTACGTGGTGCAGTGCAGAGATTTGAAGCTGGTGTTTTCTCTGTCACAGTCAGTAGCTTCAGTTACCTCTGTGTGTGTTTGTACCAATGTATGTGCCTACAGACAACTGCAGAACGTGCCCATCTCCTTAAGGTACACCCAGAAAGGATTTATTAGATTTTTAAGGTGTGTTTCCCTGTTCCCGTGCCCATTCATGCCCAGAGTGCTGCTGACATGGACACACTGTGGGTGAGATACCTGCTGGGGGCAAAGATGGGGCTGAAACACTCTGATGCTCTGTTCTGTTTTGGCAGGTAACTGCCTTCTGTGATGTCGATGAGAAGAAAATAACAAAAGGATTCTACACTTACGAAGAATCGGAGGTCAGTTACAGGCACCCTTGGGTTCTTTACTGTGATCTGGAGTGTTCTGGGAAATGTGATGAAAGAGCACGTCACTGAAAGGACACATCACTGCAAGAACACATCACTGCCCCTAATATGGTGTAGCCACTGGCTGGGGTAAGGAGCCCGTGAGAGCAGAGTGAGTCGCTGGGGATCGATACTGGAGTGGGAGCTGAGGCCCTCGGGCTCCCTGAGGTCAGTTTAGAAAGACAAAAATAGATAAGACTCTGACAGGATTCTGATGAGGGGGTAAAACACAGTCTTCACTGACAGTTTTTCCTCAGAAGTGGGAGTAGAATTTGGATCCCGATGGATAAAAGTCAAATATCCATTAAAATAAAGCTTCTGTGATTAATTGTGATCTATTAATTGTGACCTATTAACCTGTGTATTATGGTTACGCTGTATTTGAATCAAACTTTGATAGGTTCCTTGGGAGCTGAAATTGTAGGCAGCTACATTTTATTCCCTAGACAAGGAAGCATGATACTTAGATGGCAATAAACAAACCATGTAGGAAAAACAAAAAAGTTGTCTTGTTGCGCTATTAATTTCACGTTAGCAATTAGCTCAAGACCTGGAGTAAAGTTCCATCCAGATTCAGTCCCTACAACAGTTGGTGAGAGACAGCTCTTGGTTTTGCGGGGCGTTGGGGCAGATGCTGTGAGCACAGAGGTCCCTGAGCGTGGTTTGAGGCAGCCAGTCTGTTGGGAGTCCTTAGAGGGTTTTGCAGGTTGGGTCCATGGGGAAGTCCCAGTTGGGACCTTAAATGGACATCATAAACCATTTAAGGGCTCCCACTGAGAAGGAAAGATTCTCCTTTGTATGCCCTGTTGTCCCTGCTCTGATGGCAGAGTGACCTGATGCAGCTCACTAAAGAGGCAGAAGGTTAGCCTGCCCCAAAATAGAACATATTTTTAATAGGGTGGGGTATTACAGCAGCATAGACCTTGCACTCAGATCAGAGAGGGACTTGTTTGGGAAAGGGCTAAAAGTAGAGCCTGGAGACAAGGAAGAAGCCGTGGAGGAGTGAGACCTTCTCCTTTCAGCAGCAGAAAGCTCTGCATTCGGACCTGATATAATGTGTGACTTCTTCAAAGAAACACAATTGTATTGAAAGATCGTGGTAAGAAAATCAGGGGTACATCAGGTGCCTGCAAAGTAACCAGTGGAAGTGTGTGACCAGCTGGACTATTTAGCACAATGTCTCAAAATAATTTTTTTCCCCTTTTAATGTTTAGTAACCCCTAAAACTAAGCTAACGGGTAACGCTGTGCCTCTGCTGAATCTGCTGCCTTTTCCTGCAGGAGAGACCAAAACCAAAAATTCCGATATGTCACTTCAGAGACGCAACTCCACCCTTCATCATCTGCGTGAAGCTGGTGAGTCCCTGCTCTGTCTGCAAAATTGGTATTTGCTGCTTAGGAAAACAGATTTCTATTTACTGCAGGTAGCTTTTCTCGTGAATGGGTTAACACAGAGGGTTTAAAGCAGAATAGCAAATATATTCTATTTGCAAATGCTACTAAAAGAGTCTCTAATAGTACTAAAACCTGTAGCTACATCTAAACACTGACACTAAGGCTGCGCTAGAGCTGCTCCAGGACTGAAGAGCTGAATCTCATCTCAGCTGGTGCACTCTGCTTTTGACTGAGCGCTCCCAACTTTATGACCAGCTCTGAGATCATAACTGTGAGCTGTAAAACCAGACTGGAAGTACCTTAGGGCATTATCATGTGCTGTTGGTTGATAAACTCTTGGATAAGCCACTAATATTGCAACTAATTTAATTTTTCATTCTACTTCCAATGGTGGGTGGGAGTCCCCAGACAAAACATCTGTGCAACCTGTTATAAAGCACATTCAATTTGTGAAGCCCTTACAAAGAGACCATTATCCACCATCTCGCTGAGTGCTCTGCTCGCGGCTCCATTCTCATTTCCCTGCGTTTTCCCACTCGTGGCCACTGAGCATTTTCTGTTTGCTGGTCACAGAACACCACGGGCCATAGTGTGGGTTCAGTAATATGCAGTTTTTTCTTTGGAAATACTATTTGATCTACTTGAAACAGTGTCAGAGTTTGTAAAGCTGCTTCTAAAGTCTGTCTTTGAAGGAGCTCCCTTTTTAGGAGAATTTAAGGAATTCAGTAGCCATTTGTATGGAGCCACGTCTCTGGAAGCTGCAGGAGGGTTCTCTCCGAGCTCCTCTCACCCCGTGACTGAAGTGCAGGTTGGGTGCAGGGAGGGTTGGGGTTTTAGAAAAGAGGTTACAAATGACCTGTATTTTCAGCTGATTTAGGACAAGAGGCTTTACCCAGCTCTGTGAACAAACACCCAAAGGGACGTCCCTCCTTTTATAAAAGAGGTTACAAATGACCTGTATTTTCAGCCGATTTAGGACCAGAGGCTTTCCCCAGCTCTGCGCCTCGGGGCTCGCAGCGAACAAACACCCAGAGGGACGTCCCTCGTGCAGCAGCTACAGCCGGGTGTGTGGGGCTGCTGGCAGTTTATGTAAGGCAGAATCAGCTGCAGATCCTCTTAGCTAATTTCTTAAACAAAAGTCATTAACGAATTCCTAAACATCCCAGGCTTCCAACTGTAGCTGCTTTATTTACCAAAATAAGTTCACCCCCGTCCTGAAGAAGCAGAAATTGTCCTGGGGCCTTATTGTCATTCCTTTGGCTGTTGGTGGTAGGGGATTATTTCAGTTTTGATACTGACAAAATCCTGTGTGTTTATACGCAGCTCTAAGAGGGTAACTCTGGAGATTAGACTTGTTTATTGAGTGGGGTGTTTGCAAGAAAGGACTCCTCTGGCCCTCTGCTTGGAGCAGGGCTTATTTATTTTTTCAGGCAGCTCATCCCGAGCTGGCTCTGGCCTTACCTGGTTACCAGCCACTGCCAGTGGCGCAAAGGCAGTCGTCCCATTGAGTGATCTCTGCTCAGTTGGTGTTTTAAAATGGCTCCAGGAGGGGCTGGAGCTGTGTGTGTGTGTGTGTGTGTGTGTGGTTTTGCTGCGAGACCAAATGGGTCTTTTCCCCACTTGGTAGTAAAAGCAAAATGCTCAGAAATCACGTATTGTGCCCCAGTTTGGTCTGGAGTCCAAGTGCTTCCAACCAAAGGGATTGTTATTTTTCTCTCAGGAATTAAACCAGTTCAAGTGTATTGAAGTTTTCTGTTATTTCACTGCTGGGGCAGTTCCTGTAGACCCTGCCTTGTTCTGTCACCCCAGTCTGTGCTCTGGGAATGAAAGGTTTGGTGGTAACCCTCCTGCTTAGTTTAGCATCTGGGCTCTTTTATGTAGATTTTTTTTTAACCCTTCTTTGGAGCAGATTGATTTTTCAGCAAGGTAAGTGCAACCGTCTTGTACCCTGTGTCCTAACGTGGGGAAGGGTGGGTTTATGGACTCGTTAGTGGAGGCTGAAGGCCATCATCAAGGCCTATGTTTCTGTGTCAAATTCCCTGCTGATGTGATGGACCAGGGATGGTTTGGGGTCTTGAATGAATTGTGAAATTGAGTTATCAACACACAATTTTTGAATGGAAACAATTTCTGACCCTTGGTTTATTTCTGTTTCGTTCTGCAACAGGACTCTCTCCTGTGGTCTAAAGAGCCAAATTACCAGAACCTGTTACAACCTGAAATGAGTTTCTCGGGTCGATCTAATTCTCTTTCTCTTCCCGCACAGGATTTGACAGGTGGAGCCTTTGAGACAAACCTGAACATGCTGAACTTGAGGGAAGGGAGGGATTATTACCACTTCAACTGAAACCCAAGGTGAGTGAGGCAGCGCTGCTGAAGCCCTGTGTCCTCTGCGGAGCCGGGTGTAGGAAGACCAGAGTGTCCAGAGGTTTAGGACTCTTTAGTAATTTGTGCTAATCATTAGATTAATCTTTGTGCTGAGTAACTCCAATTGTCATAGGGGTGTGTATACACACACACAGCTCTGCTGTTCCACTTGAACTGCTGGGGTAGAGGGATGTTTAATTAGAACCATCAACTAACACAGTCTAATTAGAATATCATGTTTCCTGTGCATTTGTCCTCCCCATCACATGATTCTTACTAAAGATAAATGTTAAAGCTATTTCATTTTATAGTCAATAAGAAATGGTCTAAATTCCTGGCAGTTGCTTGAAGTACTGAGTCACCTCTGTGTTTTTCAAGCAAAAAAAGTAAACTTTCAGTTTCCCCCAAAGACATTTGCTTGCATTCTTTATCTAAAGAGCTACTGAGGGGCTGGGACTTTGGCTGAAGTGAAACCTGAATTTTTCTGTTCAACTCTGAGAGGGGAACGACAGCCTTACCCACAGAGACACTTGGGGAAGATTTCATTATCACTAAGCGTTGTCATTTTTAATGCTGAAAAACAATTATTTTAAAGAGAGTAATGCAGCAACTCGGGTGTGACACTGTGTGTGTGTGTGTACAGCAAAGCACAGGCTGAGGGGCTCCGCTCGGAGCTGTAGGAACCAGGACATCCAAAAAAAAATAATAGCCAGGTCAGTTGTGACAGAAGTAGGAAAAGAAACCGCCATCGTGTGGCTACAGATAATGACCCCAAAACCCAAAAACGCATCTTCAGTTGCCTTCACATGGTGTATCTGCTTCAGGCCGTAACCTCTGCCTGTTCTTGGTTGAACAGAGCTCTTGGCAGCACAGACCGAGGGCCCGGCTCGTCCGGATGCGGCGGCACAAACTCCTCCCGTCCCCGCGGCGCCCGCAGCAGGAGCCTGGACTCACCCCAGCGACCGGCCCCGCTGCCTCACGCCGAGCTCTGCAGGGAGAGAAGGGGAGAGGGGCTGTGGGGCAGCTGCTGAACAGCATCCCAAATCATGGGATTAATACACGACATCGAGAGGAAAACACAGACTTGCAGAGCTGTAATATTTACCGTCCTTTTTAACACCTCCATTTTTAACTACCCTCAGGAAATCGTATTTGTGTGAGTTGTAAAGGAATTGTAAGTGTTGATTTTGTATGAAATGAACTTCATTCACCTTTTCAGGCCTGCTCTGTTGTGTCCGCCCTGTTCTCAGGTGTGTGTGCTCTGCAGGAGCAGAGACTTGTGTGCTCTTGTGTGAGCACAAACTGGTGGCCACTGGGGACACCTGCGCTGGTGGGAAGGTCCTTCAAGACCAGCGAGTGGCAGCGGGGTGAGCTCCTGCAGCCTCGGGGCAGGGGCAGGCTTAGCTTTTGGCTAAATGTTGTACTATTTGCTTATGGTAAAAGAGGAGGAAAAGATGAAGCTCCAAATTCAGCCAATGGAACTTCCAGATTTCCCAGTGCTATTTGTGACAGTTCCATCTGAAATACCCGTACAGATGTTTGGCTATTTATTATCATTCTGTTTATATCAGAGAGTTTTCTCCTCACTTGTCGAGCTGCTCTCAGCCCCCAATAACTAAGGAGTTGAAGTAAGTTTGAGATCAATAAATTCATCTTGTAACATCCTCCTTTTGACCACAACATCTCTATGAGGTGACCAGAAAACCTTGTAACAGCAACACTCAGGTCAATTTCTGCTGTAAAAACAGTGCCAGAGGTTCAGATTCTCGTTTTCCAAAATTAAAAATTGTTGCAGGTTTCTTAAAATTGTACTAAAAGCAAAAAACTGCAGAACTGTGTGGGTAAGAACAGGAAGATGGGCAGAAAGAACTGCTGTGGGGTCAGCAGGGGGTCTTGGAAGGTTATCAATCTTGAGTATTAGTCTGCTGAACGATTTTTAAAATCTACTTTTTAAAAAAATAGAACAGGAAGATGGGCAGAAAGAACTGCTGTGAGGTCAGCAGGGGGTCTTGGAAGGTTATTCATAGATGTCTTGAGTATTAATCTGCTGAACAATTTTTAAATCTACTTTTAAAAAAATATATTTTTTTATATCAAGGACAACTCAAAACACAGGATCTACTTACATTAGGAAGCAGCTTCAGTGTAAAGGACTATGAGAACATCCCCCAGGAGGAACTGGCTGACCCCAAAGACTTAGATAATGGAATGTCACAAAGGGCCAGTCCCAGGAGCACTTTGAAACACCATTAGTGATTGTCACCTTTGGGTGCTCTGGAGGAGGAAACACCCGGTGACTTTCAGCTGCTGCAGCTGTGGAACAGGGCAATGCCATTCTGGAAGGGAACTGTGCAGGGCAACAAAAGAACCTCCCATAATCCTAGCCATGAAAATAAACTTAATGGTGTTCAAATATTTTAGTGAGAAAATGAAGAGAACAAAGATCTACTCTTCTAGTGATGTTTCTGAATTCTAAAGTAATTAAAAAGGACAAATTTTTCTAGGACTATGAGTAATACAAGACAAGGTGAAAACACGTGATGCCCCAAGGCTGCTTCCCCCAGGCATCCCCAGCGTGCCATCTACTCCGTAAACTACTCCAGAGCTTAAAAATAGTGGTGTATCAATTTATTCCTGCCCCTTTGTAAGTTTTATTGTTCTGCTTTCAAAGTAAAAATAATTTTTCTTTGTAAATTGTCAAGTTAACACTTGTTCTCCCAAACAGTAATAATTCAACCTCCTCGTCTTTGGACAGAGAGGAAAGGAAGCTCTCAGAAACCCTTACCAAAGCAGAAATTTCTCTAGTAACGTGAAATGGGACCTACATATGGATCTAGTGTCTGTCCTCTTCTCAGTGTATTAACGTTCAGATCACATGCTTCCTAGAATCCCCTGGCTTTGCACAACCACAGTATAATTTTGTTGTTGAAATTGACTCTGGAGGAGGAAACACCCGGTGACTTTCAGCTGCCGCTGCTGCAGCTGTGGAAAAGGGCAATGCCATTCTGGAAGGGAACTGTGCAGGGCAACAAAAGAACCTCCCATAATCCTAGCCATGAAAATAAACTTAATGGTGCTCAAATAGTTTAGTGAGAAAATGAAGAGAACGAAGATCCACTCTTCTAGTGATGTTTCTGAATTCTAAAGTAATTAAAAAGGACAAACTTTTCTAGAACTATGAAAGCAGAACAATAAAACTTAACCAAAGGGCAGGAATAAATTGATACACCACTATTTTTAAGCTCTGGAGTAGTTTATGGAGTAGATGGCACGCTGGGGATGCCTGGGGGAAGCAGCCTTGGGGCATCGCCTGTTTTACCTTGTCTTGTATTACTCTGAATTCTAAAGTAATTAAAAAGGACAAATTTTTCTAGGACTATGAGTAATACAAGACAAGGTGAAAACACGTGATGCCCCAAGGCTGCTTCCCCCAGGCATCCCCAGCGTGCCATCTACTCCGTAAACTACTCCAGAGCTTAAAAATAGTGGTGTATCAATTTATTCCTGCCCCTTTGTAAGTTTTATTGTTCTGCTTTCAAAGTAAAAATAATTTTTCTTTGTAAATTGTCAAGTTAACACTTGTTCTCCCAAACAGTAATAATTCAACCTCCTCGTCTTTGGACAGAGAGGAAAGGAAGCTCTCAGAAACCCTTACCAAAGCAGAAATTTCTCTAGTAACGTGAAATGGGACCTACATATGGATCTAGTGTCTGTCCTCTTCTCAGTGTATTAACGTTCAGATCACATGCTTCCTAGAATCCCCTGGCTTTGCACAACCACAGTATAATTTTGTTGTTGAAATTGGGAGGCTTTTATCCTTTTTTCTATCCCCAGAAAGGGCAGACGAACGGTTTTTGAAACATCTGTACTGTGTTATTTCATTCTTGTGTTCTGTCCCAGTGAGATGTCACACCACGAGTCGGGAACATTTTCAAAAAAACGAGACTGGAAGAGCTTAAGAAAACCACCTTCAGCAGTTCCCTGTGCTCTGCTGTCAGCTGAGGCCGTTCCTCCCCGTGGGCATCGACACATTCACCACCAGTGAAGAACGGCCTCTGCCACACACAGGTACAGGGTACATTTGGGGGGACTTTGGCCATTATTTTGTTTCTTTACCGCCCCCCCCCAGGAGCACATTTCCCTACTTTACCTTGGACACCAGCTGGGGTTTGGGCACTTTCATGAGGTCACAGAGATAGTTGCGTTTTTCTCTTACCACGGGCAGCTCGGCTTCCCTGCAGGAGGAAACAGTCTCCAGTTAATTAAAAATTTAAACTTTGGAGTTGGCTACATACAGACATAATGTCTCAGGCCACCCGTTGCACTGTTACATTACAATGTATGCATCTGCTTTTGTATACATTTCAAATCGCAGAAGGGTTTGTTGTGTCAAATTTTAAGAATAATGTAACATTTTTGTACCATCCTAAGCCAGGAAAACATAAATGCACAGCAGGTCTTCAGAAGCCACAGTTACTAGTAAAATATCTTAGACTATTCTTCTAGGTTTTTGTGTTCAAAAAAACCCCCAAAACACATTTATTCATCTAAGCCTTTTGACTAGAAGTTCACTAGTTTATTCTCTAAATTTATAACTCCTTTTTGCTTTAGAAAAGGTCACATAAAGAATTTAAATAAGTCACTGGATTTGGAGAACGTTCTACCATCTATAGAAGCTTCCTCCTGAAATAGAAAATCCAGACCTAAAACTTGTGAGTCTTTTACAAAAGTTTCTGAAATAGCACGACATCCATGAGGTAATTTCCTCAAGAACTGTCAGTTACAAAAAGCCCCAAAATGCCAGAAATCCACACAGACACCATTCTTCTTGCTGCTGGACAAATCCCCGCTCCGACTGGAATGCTGTGGGACTGCTGGGGCCACCAACTCACTACATTTCTTTTGGTTTTCTTAAGTAACAGCTGTAAATGGGCTATTGAAGATGTAACTAACACATAAACAGAGCCCAAAACTACAGAGAAAAACCAAAAAGTTAGAAATAAGTCAAGTTGGAAATAACCTGAACTTTTTTTTTTTTTTTCATATACTCTGGACAATTTGTCACATTTAATACTGGAAACCTTCCTGTAGCTAAACAGAAGTTTTTATTCATAACGTAATTTGTTTAAATTCCAAATTACACAATCATATGATAAAGTCTTTGTAGTTCCAACAAGGACCAAACATGCGGGTGCCAGTAATTATCATCTTCCCCAAGTATTAATTCTCATTTGGTTTCCTGCTGTTAATGCTTATTGTAATCCCAAATTCACTGATTTACTGTGCTTGGTTTAGCACTGAGAGAGCTTGACAATAACAAGCAGCTCCCTCTGACACTCAGCAATGACTTCAAGTATCTTCTTTTGTAAACAGTTCAAATCTTTATCTGCAAGATAAAACAATTAAGTTCTAAGTAAACGAGCTGCTTTCCTTTAATCATAGTGCAATTGCACACTGCAGTGGGGAGCTCAGAGCAGGCCCTGAGCGGGGACTAAACCCTGTGGCCAGTGACACCTCGGAAATGACAAGGTGAGAAGAGAAGGTTGGGTTTCTGAAGTGGTTTTTAGGAGGCATTTTGCTGTGTTTCAGTACCCATTTATGAGCAGCCTGAGTGACCAGCAGCAGTTTGATGTGTACAACGTCTAATTGTGCTACTGTAAACATCCCTCCAAGGCTCTGATCTAACCCTGCTCGGTTGTTTCTCTTAACAAATTCTTTCTGTGACTTCAGAGGGATCCTGCCCTTAAGCTCAGCTCTCAGCACCCAGCCCTGCCCGGCCCCGCACGCACCACCCGAGGACTCCTTTTACCAACGGGCAGTGATTTAACAATTGGTGATAACCAGTTCTTGGAATCTGAGGCTGTTATTCTAAATTTGTACTGGAAAATTCAGAAAAATAGCAGCAGCCACCCCTTACAGTGGCCAACTTAGTTTTCTTTTCCCAAATACAAAGTTATTTAAGCTCAAGCACAAAAATAAAATAGAAATTAAATGAAAGTTAAATAATGTAAGCATACAGACTGAAAATATGTAAACTACAACCTTCAAGCATGTTTGTTTTTGAACATGTCTGCGTTCATTTTATTTCCATGAAATGTCAATGAAGTCAAAAAGCCATTATTGACTATAATGACTAAATAAATTGTATATATATTTTGTATATCTGTCTATTGTCATGGGTTAACTTTGACTGCTGCGTGAGGCAGGGTGTTGGGCTGGCAGACCCATAACCCATAAATGTTTAACAAGGCAGCACAACTAATAAACTAATTAGTATCTTAAAACTCTGTATTTCCTAAAACATCTGAGGTCTATGGTCTTTATAAAGTTTTCCAGGGGACCATAACGCACAATGCTAAAATTTTCAGAAGAGGAAAAAGTAGTGCCCAAATTCTGGGGAGAATCCATCCCCTGGCACCTCCCAGGGGCCAACAGAAGGAGTCCCTCCTGCCCCACAGAGACACTTTGCTGTCATGAACGTTGAAGAGACCCAGTTCCCCCCATATTTTGGGAGAAGCAGAGGTCACAGGTAACAGTAGGTAAGAAAAAAAATAATTATCTAAAAGCAGTTGTTTAATTCCTGCAATCATATGCTTGGGAAATGTCTGAACTGTTCCAATTCAAAATATTTGCTTGAATGCAACGTTTGTATCATTTTGAGCAATTACATTTCATGGGAGATTTGAGCTGTTCTGCTCATTCCGTTGTTTTCCAACTTGCAGAGATCCTTCCTTTCCCAAAATCCTGCCAGTGCTCAGAAATGCCAAGAAACTGTCTGTGCAGTTGAAGTTTTACTGTTTGCACAGCCCAGTCTGTCTCTGCTTCATGGACAATTTCCAACATCTCCTCCCTTTTTATGTTTTCAGAAAAATGTGGGTATTTTACTTTATCTAGTGGTGATTTTGTACATACCCCTTCCAGTGGGACAATATACCAGAGAGTTCTTTAAAACACAAGAATTCTTTTCAGCAATGCTTTTCTGGCCTAGGAGCAATAAACAGCTGAAACTACAGCATCACTTCTTACAGCTCCCTTCCCATCAGCTGGCAAAGGCATCGGCTTATTTTTTTTAACTCTAATGATACAAAATTTATTTCAGCTCTTATTAGTATCCGGCAACAAATGTGCTCACCAGTTGGTATCGCTGAGTATGGTCAGAACCTCGTCCATGATGGTGGGATCCACCACGTCGCTGTAGGTGATGAGCATTTCGTACACTTGACTGGCCGTCGTCTTCCGGATCTGGGGGAAGAGGCTCCGTTAGGAAAGTATCCAGCATCCTGCAGGGCACAGCCCAGTGCCACTACTGGTTCTCCACACGTTTTATGGTGGGCATTTGCAGAAATATACTAAATGGAAAGCAGTAAAATTGCCACAAAACCAAATTCTGGGTTTTTTTTCAAGAAAGCCTGATGATAACCAAAGGAAGGCAAATTATTTATAGGGCTATTTCTAGACTAGTAATGCCAAATTACATTGACCCAGCTGTAAAAATGAAATATACCTATTATGTAAAATACCAATAAAAGATGAAATTGAAATGATCTCTCTTCAGTTCTTACATTGTGCCCTTTCTGCAAAGGACTCTTCATGGAGCAAGTGCTCACAAGAGGGAAACGGAATAAAAATCTCAAGTACCAACTTTGCTGAGTACCAGATGATCTTAACCTTATCAAAAAGTAATCGGTAAAAGTAGTCACAGTTAGAATAAACAGTGTTGGTTTGCACTGGCCAGACATGGGGCTTTCCCTCTGTTCTCAAAGCACTTTAAGCCCTCAGGGGTTTGCACGTTCTTTGATGTGCCCCTGCAGGTACTTCTGCAGCCCTGGCTCCTCCTGCACCTGCTCTATCGTGTGTAGATGCAGCGTCCTGGGCTGCAGCAGCCACTGACCTTCCCAGGTGCCACCTTCTACCCTAAAATAAAACCTATTATATACATGCATATCTGTTAAAAAGAATCCTGCTTTAATGCACTGAAAAGTATTTTTTACTGGTAAAGTATATTAAATAATCCATTTGATAATATACACCGTCTTCAATACTTACTACAGGAAATGGATGGCAAAGAAGGAGAAACAGCTGAAATAAAACTTTCTCTCTCATGTCTCCTTGAAATTGAATGAGGCCACAAAACCTAGAAAACAGGAGAAAAAAACCCAGCTTGTGTGATATTTGTGTTACAACAGCAAAAGTACATTTTGAGGATCTGAATGAAAGTGTATCAGACAGAAGGGCGGGAGGGGAAGCTTTCCTGCCCCCAGGAAATCTCAGTTCTAAGTGCTGTGGGAGAGCAAACAGGGAGGGTGAGAGCACTGGGCTCCTGAAGGTTCCTGAGCTGCCCCACTGCCAAGGACAGAGGGGGATTCACAGCACCCAGCTCCGGGTGTTAAACCAGCTCTGCACAGACCACAACCACCAGGGTGGGCTCCAAGTGAAAGATTAGAAACACGGGCTACGTCTCATTTTAGGCTTTCTTGCACTCTTCAAATATTGCCAATAAAGAAATGAAATAAAAGTCAATGAAAGCAGTGCTTGACATCATTACACCTGAATAATTTTGCCAAGTTTCTGGCAATGAGCCTCGAGCCTCTGCAGTGCTTTCTCTCCCTGCCCAGGGCTGGCTTTCCCGGCCGGCAGAGGTTTGGTTTCCCCTCGCTGCCGGCTGAGCCGAGGGCTCTTACCCTACAGACAGACACTAAATTTGCAGGTGTTTTCAGCTCTTCCTAGCACACATGTAAGATCTAATCAATTATAGACAGTTTGCATTGGCACCCAGTCAAGCTCTCCATGAGCAAAAAGCAAATGATTCACTGCATCTTCAACAATACCAACAACATTTTAACAGTAGTTACATTTTTATCAGATCCTTCGTATGTTTTCACCCCAACCACCCAGAAGTAAAAGAAACTCACACCCTCATATTAATGTGCATTTTTCACAGAAACTAGCCCTGGTTGTTACATCTAGTACGTACTGTACTTGCATTTTCTTCACGTTTTTTATAAGCAGAGAAAAGATTACTTTATTTCAGGAACTCACACTCCTATGCTGGAGCGAAGCTTCCGGATGTCTTTGGATCTTTTGATCTCTTCTTTACAGAGGGTGAGTAACTTCACGGAAAAGGGATGGCTGAAAATGGGAAAATAAAAAAAAAAAGATAAGCAATAGATTTCAGTAGAATTTCAAACACAGATAATGATTGTAAAGGTGCCAAATTAACATTCAAAGGAAAGGAAAGACACGACGGCACTTGCTTCTGCCACAGGAGCACACCCTGCTTTAGGTGGACCTTTGGTAAAGACACAGGGCAGTTTGGCCACTGTGTTACTGGGATTCTATTTTTTTTTTTTGAAGGGAAGAGATTAGTATTAATTATTTACATTGCTACTACCTGTATGCTGAGGTATGAACTACATTTATCCAAACTAATTGAGTATATGCATAATTGGCTAGTCGTGCCTTGTGCTTAAACGTGGCAGCGTAGGATCAGAAATACTGTGGCAGGAATTCAAATATTCTATAGCCAAATAAAAACCATTTTGTCTGTTTATCATGGTGCTGCCCTGGTCGCTCCCTACGGCCTTCAACCAACCTTTACATAAAAGGGGATGAATGTTGTTCTTAAATACTCCACCATTTCACAGCCCAAATTCCTTCGGTGATTCCAGACAACGTAATTAAACACAGGGCTTACAGTTCTGTTAAGTGTACGAGGCCTGAAGCCATCTTTAAATATATTTAGCAAATTCTTTTCCTTTTCCACACAGTCTGGGAAAGGGAAACGTGCTTCTCACAGCTCTTTCCCAGACACTCATACAAACACAAGTATTGTTAGTATATTCCAAGGATCTATTAAGGAGAAGTAAAGAGGGAATATTGCTTTTATTTCAGTACAAATTATTTAATCTTTTACTTGCTACACTTGAAGCTGAAGTGCCACAGATGCAAAAGAAACTATTTCATATTTGTCTGGCAAGTGCAATTCCTTCTAGACTGCATAGTTTGGAAACCTCACTGTATTGTGTATGTAAAGAGGAAAGCAAAAATCCCAACATTTATTCTCTGCTACCAGGAGTCAAAGCTGGGGCTAAAAACTACTCAAAAAATCTGTGTAGTGTAATCTGTTGAAAACCAGAACATTTAAAACAAGAGGTTTATAGGAGTGACAAGATGTTTTGTTAAGTTAATGCACCTTCTTATATATAGTTTTCCAGACAAGAGTTAGTGTTTTTTAATTACTTGTAAAAAAATTCTTAACATCCTGGCATATATTGGCAAATATTGACTTGGTTAAAAAAAACCTGAACAAATAACCATGGACCCATTAAGCTAAAGAATGCTGTCTACAGCTGGCTCAATATTGTCCAGAAAACCACATTAAGAGAGTAAATAAAATTGTTGGGTTTTCAACATTGATATTGAGGCTTCCTAAGACACCTTCAGAGCTGACTGTGGCTTTTGGGACCAAAGAGTCTGAGGGGGTTGATTTAAAATGCTCCATCAGATGCTGAAAGAGCAGGGTCCTTGTCTCCTGCTGCCTGCAGGCACCTCAGCAGGGATGCCCTGTTTTCAGGTGTACAATGGGCACGGAGGAGCCACATCAGGAGGATGAGAGACACCTGCCTGACTCTGTCCATGCCTGTGTCTACGGACATTGAATTGTCCAGATGAAGGACAGATGCTCTCTTACTATTTAGAGGAGGTATGTTTTTTCTCCTTGGTGAAATTTCTCCTCCTCCCAGCCCTGATTACACTCAGACACTGTGTAGACAACTAATTACAATACCTGCAATGTATGCCTGGCTTTCAGCACAGGCCAACAGCAATATAGCAAATTAGGTGAGATTTAAATTGGTTGAACCCCGTAGACGTGGCTGAGAAGTACAGCAACAGAGAGACCAACTGGAGCAAGAGCATCTGGAATAAATTTAATACACGTAACCTTATGTGCAGCATTTTGTGTTTAAAACAGATGCACTTTCCTTTCTGTCATTTGCCAATTTCACAATTGTAATAACTAAACCTAACCTATGTGTGATCTCAAATGACTCAAATAGCTTGGCCTCTTTAAAGGAAATTGAGAAAATTCCTTCTCCTGTGTGGGCACGGTGCCAGCAGAAACAGAGTCGGCACCTGGGGAAAAGGGATCAGTCTAAAGTCTTTACATGATGTAAATTGGGCGCACGCGGTACCGCAGGAAGGTGCCGGCTTTTTCCTCCTAAAGGTGACCCGAGAGTCAACAGTTCACCCCAACAGTTCACCCCACCTCACCCTCACAGCCATTGCCATGCTCTTTATGGTTTATTGAGCAACAGCAGTATAATTGCTTTAAAAAAACTCCACAGCAGCATGTAATACATAGAGATCATTAGGCTGAGATCATGGGGGGACACACCATCTTAGAACACTGCAAGACCACCAGAAAAATACTATACACATACAGTGCATGAACACTTCTGCTGGATGTGTACTATATATGCACATAAGAAAGAGAAATGCCACTTTTACTTTCTACTCCCGAAAGCTTTAGATCCTGAACTGCCACTCAAAGGCTGTTCTGCTCACACGGTGCTGAGTATGAGACCCATCTTACGGTACCTTGGAAGGAAAGAGTAATATCTCTGGGCTCTCTGTGGCCTGAGCAGCTCCAGTGATGGTTCCCTCACCAGACCAGCAGAAGGGCTCCTGCAGCTCCAGGAGCCATCACCAGAAAACAATGCTCCAGTGCCAGTTTGGCCAGTGGCTTTGGTTCACTCTCTTTTATTCTCCCCCTCCCTTGTCCCACTACCAGCAGGGAGCTGACACTTACCACTATTTTTTAAGAGCAGCCATCGGTGAGCTTCAAAAAAGCCCAATATGCTCTGCTTTATTTATGGCAGCTGTTTCAAGCACGTTGTCCTTTGCCTCTAGCAGTCTCTAATCAATTAACAGTCGCTACATTATTATAAATTCAGCTTCACAAATCACAATGGACACTGAGATGAAATCAGGAGGTTTTGGGTTGTGAGAAGAACTTACATTTCACCTGGGAACTCTGTCACTGTGTGTGGGAGGAAATGGCAGGTGACTGATGCTGCAGTTCCACCCGTGCTTTCAGCCAGCGTACACCTGTGCTGCTGCCAAAAGACAGGGTTTTCCCCCACTTCTCTCCTTATTTTGGCACGATTTGTGAGCACACAGCAGAGCAGATCGAGGCAATACTGCAATCTCACTTTTACCAGAGGAAGGGTGATCTTAACCTGGAACAGATCTCTAATGCCACTTACCATGCAGCGATACAACCCGTTCCTGCCACTTCAAGGGAGGGGAACTCTCAGGTTTATGTTTAAGACAAGTAGGAAGTAATGCCCTCAAAAATGGGAGGCAGAGCTTTTCTTTTCAAGCTATAGATTCAAACTAAGCCAAGCACAACAAAAAAAAAGCTGCCTCTGACTGCCTTTTGCTGACCCTGGTGATACCAGGGTTGATTTGTTTCCAGCCCCACTGCACAGGTGTTTACCCCACACGGCAGCTCCAGCAGGGCCCTGGCACAGAAACGACCCACAAGTGACAAATGAACCTCACGTCAAACAGCATCACGACGAGGGCAGAGAAACACCCGTTGCTCCACCTGCCCAGAGATGGTGAGACCAGCCAGAGCTTCCCCCACGCTGAAATTCACCCACAGCAATGTCAAGCTGCGTGTTCTGAACTCGCTGAGCTTTATGGTGTGAAGAGGCAGGAAAATGCGCCGCGGGTTCCGCCTCTGCAGGGCAGGAGTGACACCGTGTGGCAATTTGCTTCAACAGGAGCACTGAGCTCCTCACCAGTGTCAAACATCCAGCCAACAGCTATTAATCCTGTTTAAATTAAGCAGTGTAGGATATTACTTGCTCTGGAGTGTTAATGTTTTATTAGAAAAAAAGGTCCAGGGTAGCGCACAATATCCATCTGAAACTTCAAAATGCATTTGCAAATACTTTTTTCTGATGTGACAGTTGACTATTAATTAAGGGGCTGGTGGAGGCATAATCCCAATGCTGGACATCCCACTACCCAAATTCCCTTGTTAAAGCGCCACTCAGCCCAATGTGGTAAAAAATGAGGGAAAGAGATGAAATGGGATCCAAACACCCCAAGGAATGCTAATGTTTCATTCCCAGCTTCTCCGGAAAGTTCTTCATGGCTACATGACAAGCCAGAAATGCACTGCAGGACTGAGGGAACAGGGAAGGTGCTCACCAAGCAAGACTGTTTTCCAAAAACAACCATGCACCTTCTCCCTCTTACTACAGGCACATTTTATATAAAAGTACATTGAAAAAGCATGCACACATGGCCTTTTCATGGCCCCAAGCAGAGTGGCTCAATTTTCAGGCTCATTCTGTATTGTATTTCTACATTTTTACAGCATGGTTCTTTAGAAAGGGGGCAAATGGTCCCACTCAGGAGAGCAGACCAAAACCCACACTTGTCCATATTTTTTTATGCAAAAAGGAGTAGATGCCGTGCAAGAGTGTGGGCAGACAGGCCTCGGAGCCAGGATCCGTGTTTATCCATCCCTACCTATACCCAAACAACATATGCCAAAGTAAGAAAACACAAACATTGCACCAAATATAATTTTGGGCTCAGCCACCTACCACGTCCAGCTGCCCCGTGCACAGGCTCTTCCCGAACGCAGGCTCACCAGGCTCTCCCCGAGGGGCACACACTGACTCCTTCATCCTCTCAACCATAACGTACCCACATCACCAACAAACTGCCACACGTGGAGAATTAAATTCTCCTGTGATGTGGGAGACACCGAGTTCACCTGGGAATTCCGACCCATAACCCAGCAGGGGAGAGTGGAGCCTGTGTGGAAGCTCCAGATCCCTGGCACGATTACCAAACCAAACAAGTAATATTCATTCCATCTGTATCTGACTCATTGTAAATTCCTGCTCAAAAAGGGACTGCCAAATATGATTTAAGAGAGATTATCTAAATACACACTTGAAAACAAGAGCAGACTCAATTAAAACTTTTAGAGTGATAAAAGCTTTTCAAATTTATATGCTGTGAGAGCAATTCTTGAATCAACAAATTCCAAATCCAGTATCGTGCTCGTAGGATTCATGTTGCACAGTTCTGCAAATATCTGTAAATGTGCCAAGATGAAGCCTGTGAGAGTTTGTGGAATATATTTCAATGTTACTGAAATTAAAATCATTCTCTTCTGAAACATCTGCAAAAAAGCAGGATTTCACACTGGAGCATCTCATTCATGTTTATCCATTCCTGAACTAAATACTTTCCAGAAGACTGAACTCAGTATGGAAAAGCTGGGACATGCCTTTTTTGGTCTTCTTACTAGAATCTTAATTAAATTCTTAGGAGATATTCACATTAACGAAAGCAGTGGGATTTTGGAAGCAATAGCTTGTGGGCACACTATTTTGCACCATCACAACAGGACGCTGCCATTGCTACAGGCTGACAGTACGTGAGGAATGTACCCCAAAAAGCAGGCATTTTGGAAGCCAGTAAAGGCCAGAAGCTAAATGGGTCTGATACTGGCCCAAGTCTGCCAGCTGGAACACACAAATGGAATTTGATTGAAGTACTGGTTGTTAAATGATGAACCAATAACCAACTTCTGATGCCAGAATCAAAGATGTTACATCAAGACCCTTTCAAGGCCATCTGCTCCAGAATTAGTCACTGCTGCCCCGTCTTCAGGAAAGTTAAACCAAAATGTTATATCCACATGCACACACACTCAGAGTCCCAAGCACCCACGTTCAGGAGTGGTCAGTGGGAGAGTTAAGAGGCCTGACGCAGAGTGGAAAATAAACAAAAAAGACTTTGAACAACTTACTTCTCTTGCGCAGTAAATATATCAAAACAGCCGTTTGCCAGCATTTGGTCCAGCATTGTCAGGAGAGGTACAGACACCCTGATGAAAGAAAATAATTTCACAATGTAGATACACTTCTTGGCGTACATATATACACTATTTTTAATTAGAAGGAAAGAAATAAACTTCCTATCTACCTACACATATTTAAATTAGAACTCTAATTTACACAGAGGAGGTTGCTCGGTAACTTTGTGTGTTGGCTAAATCATCCTCATTGGCTGAGAGGGGGACATTCATTACAGCCAACAGGAAAAAAACCTAATTAACAACACGCCTGGTTTAAACTTGCAGGCTCCCAAAAACACAATTAACAGTATAAAAAATATTAATTTATTTTCAAGTATCTAAACAATGTATTCCACAAAATGTATCAGAACTTAAAACACCACCTCGCTACAGGTAATTACCAAATGAACCAACACACAACACATCAGCTGGAATAACTATGGTCATGTTACCTATTTCAACAGCTGAGGCAAGAAACAAAATAAAAAAAAATAAAATTTTATTAATAGTTGTGAGGTTTTCCCCCTCTAGGGAATATTTTCTATTTTTGCAAACGCTTGATAAGTGAGGCTTAGGGAAATTAATCTCATTATGCAGAATGAGTCACCTTTAAAGAAGAATCTTTGAAAGAAAATTATACTTCAAGTATTTGTGAAAAAACATTACCTAAACAAAACACAGACTGGACTAGAATGAAAAGTGTGCAGCAATACACAATCCCCAATACTGCACTGTATAAAATCTGGTGCTTATCACATTATGCCTGATATTAATCTCCAGTAAATAGAAAATATTCTATGATCACTCCTTTGTTATCCATTTTACCAAACAGCTGTTATTAAAGCAAATTTACGTGGGTCCGGCATACTCCGTCAGGCGTATTACAAAAGATTTCAAACAGTCCTGCTGGTAAAGATAAAAAAGCTAAAGACAAACATTACCGGTCATTCCGCAGGTTGTCCTCAAAGACCTTCAGCAGCGTCCCACAGAAGCTCTCCATGGCACTGCCATCATTCTGGATTTTCTTCATGTAGTCGAAGAGGCTCTGGGCAGAGTGTCGGAGCTGCAACGGGAGGAACCGGAGTGAAGGCCCCAGGAAAACCACACAGACCCAGGGACTGCACCAAATTCCACTTATCCCTCACTACCCGAGGTGTACACCTGCCAACAGCAGCTGTCTGTATAAATTCAGCAACAACATTTGACAGGAAGATGGCTATTTTGCTTTCATTAATCTTTCTTCAAGAAAGGTTGGGGTTTTTTGCCTTTTTAAGTTTTGCCATTGTAGGCAAAAAGACCACATTAAAGGTTCGTTATTTTCTTTCTCTCAAAATAAAACATCCCCAAACCGCTATGATTATCCTGCTTTATTTCAAATCATAATAATGTTATGGCTCTGAAAGTTAAAGAGCACACAAGAAGTTCAAGAGGTAATATTTATTAAACAAGCTGATGTAATTGAAAAATGCAGGCAAGTTCTCGGGCACATGATGCAGGCCACACAAACCAACAGTAAACTCGGGTTAAGAATTAAAAACAATTCAGAAATAATGACTCCTGGTTTAACTTTATTATGCTAATCAGGCAGTTCAGAAAGATGGCAGCAGGAGGTTCAGTGGGTTCTGCTGGAAGGGGCCCACAGGGGTCAGGCCTCCAGCCTCCGCCCTGCCATGGGCCCACTCTCCTGCAGCCATAGGCCCTTCTCCCACTCCATCCAGCAACCCTGGCCCTGAGTGTGGGATGGGAGGTGCAGAGGCTCTGTGGGACCCCCCCTGTCCTGTGGGGTCCATGTGGGACCCCCCTGTCCTGCGGGGTCCATGCCCCCAGGTAGCTACCAGTACAGCCTTGTGCAGGGACACGGGCTGGGACAGGCTGGGCAAATGTCACTACCAATGCTAAGAGTCTTCATTTCTGGGACACGTAAGAATTTCAGTTTCCAGGCTCATCTTTTAAAATATTAATTGATTTGCCTTGAGGACGAGAAGAAAAACTTGGGTTTTCTTTTGTCACAGAAACTACCTCAAAGGAAAATATCTCACCAAGGGTGGACAGCCTTCCAGTACCTGAAGGGGGGCTACAGGAAAGCTGGGGAGGGGCTTTTTACAAGGCCATATAGTGATAGGATGAAGGGGCTTCAAACTGGAAGAGGGGAGATTGAGATGAGATCTCAGGAAGAAATTCTTTGCTGTGAGGGTGGTGAGAGCCTGGCCCAGGTTGCCCAGAGAAGCTGTGGCTGCCCCATCCCTGGAGGGGTTCAAGGCCAGGTTGGAGGGGGCTTGGAGCAACCTGGTGTGGTGGGAGGTGTCCCTGCCCAATGCAGGGGGTGGCACTGGGTGTTCTTTAAGGTCCCTTCCCACTCAAACCATTCTGTGATTCTATAATCAGATTTCTGCATTTTCCTGACTGATGTGAAGGACTACCAGTCCTGCTGGGGCTCGGTCAAGTCGCACAGGGAAAGGGGGTGGCAGTTGTGGCGTGTCCCCCATGAGAAACGGGGTTACACTGAAGGGGGCAGTGGGAAGGGTAATTGGGGCACATCAGTTGTGAAGCACGAACTTCTTTCCGTTTTGGTTGCAAGTGTTAAATAATTTTGTGCTGAGTCAAGAGTGGGCTGTAAGCAGTAAGTCAGCCCATTCAGGAGGCAGGGGAGATGTTCTCTCTGAAGCTCACAGGAAGCATTTTGATAGCTCAGTCAAAGCTGCAATCAGTTCCCTCAGCAGACTAACACTTTTATCAAGAAAAAAAATATTAAATACTAGATCAGTATTAGAAATGTCACAATTGTCTTCCTGAAAACAAAAAAGAGGAATCTCTATTTAGACATTTTATCTAATTTAATTTTTATATCAGCAACATTTATGGGTGCATCAGCACAGAACAAGAAACATTTTAGCCTTGAATCAAAACTTTCAACTGGTTTTCAAAAGCCTTAACCTACTTACAAACACCCCGGCACAGCAATCCATACTGCCTGGGAAGCAGCAGTCAGCTATTTTAACAATTTGTCCTGGAGTGAAACATACTGGGCAACGGAGGAGCAGAATTATGTCTTTAAAAGGGTCAAGCAATTTAAAGAAATTATTGTTATTCTGCATTTCAAAATGATCGTCAGATCTGAGTATCCTCACACTGAAAGGTCTTTACACAATATACAATTGTAAGGAAGAGAGATTTCCTGAAAATTTAAAACCTGCTCAATTATTGTACATTATCCTTTCAAACAATCTGTGCATTTAAGATCATTATGAATAAAGAAGGAATATTTTGCTTTAATATCTTCCTCTAGCAGAGATCAATTATAAGCAGAAGAAAGGTTACATCCGAGTCAAGTCTCAGAAAAAGATCTTAAAACTTGTATGGTTAACCATGTAATTTTCTCTCCTATTTCTTTTGTCTCTTAAACTACCTTGCAGATCTTGCACCATTTTTTGAAGAAAGCTTAATTCCTCAATACTTTTCCTGCAGATTAAATTATTGAAAAGGCAAGAATGGGCATGAAAGAGAAGGGCAAGCATAGCTACTTGTAGGATGTTCCAAAGCTGTGCAAAACCAAGACAGAGCAGCCGGATAATCAGAAAAAAACTACTGCAAGTAATTAAACAATGCAAAAGTTCAGGTGTGGATAAAGCATCCCATAACTGCTTGGGGGATTTAAAAACAGGACATTTTCCAAATAGATAGCATAGACCGTAAGAACGTTACTGGAATAAACTCCAACATAACAAGATAACATTACATGAACAGGTTAAATCCATATTTCCTTCTCAGTTGAACATTCCTTTTCTCCCGGATGACCTACGAGGGCAATATGTGAGCTATAACCCTAACTGCTCCTGAGTATCTGCAGAGAAGGGCATTTCCAAATTTCACCCCCATCTATGCAGAACACAGAATTCACACTGTATCGACTGTGTGACATTTACCTTTCCTGGGGGTTGCACGAGGACTGGCAAGGAAATTAGGAGGTTAATGAGTTGGAACTGGGACAACTTTGGATAAGAATTTAAGAGGAGGCCTGAGAGTGACCTTGTTCTTATTGAAGATCACAAAACCAGGGTTTGCCAAGGTTTGACCTTCCCATCATTTAAGCCCAGAGCAGACACTTCAGCGACAGGCAATACACAGAAAGGACAACAGCGTTCAAATGGACCTTTCTTCTGATGATAAAATTAAAGTTTTTACCTCCTGAACCAGGGAAAGGCACGAGGAAGTGGTGTCTGTTTCCAGCTAGGGGAAAAGGCAATTAAAGCATGGCGTATAGAGAAGGTGTCAAACCTTTGTGCAATGATTTCCTAGTCAGCTTGTTGCAAAACTGAAGCACAATAGTTCTAAAAAGTCTCGAGGCTACAAGTGGCTAAAGAAAATGAGTTTAGGCATCTGGTTTGTAACAGAGCATTCAAAATCCCAGCTTCCCATTGGCTCTAAAGATGCATGATCCACATCAGGGCTCCGATTCTTACTTTGCAGGACTACCTGGGACAGATAAAGCAGCCACTGAGGCACGATGAGAAAGGAAGAGCCTGACCTGAAGACGTTCAGCAGATGGACATGGCTGTTGATCTCCCATCTAAGCAGGCTCCTCCAAGCCCCAGGTATGGTAACAGAACTCAGTCTTCTGCCCCAACCCACCACAAATGGAAGTTAAGGGAGGAACTACTGGGAGAGCCTGGACACCATGGGATGGAGAGATCCTTGCTAACGGCTCGTTTTCCCAGCAGCATTTCAGCAGAGAAAGACCTACTCATGGAGTCAGAGCATTCCTGTAATGTGTGCAGGAGAAACCATGTCACGCTCAATAAATAATGCTGGTTTTGAATCATTTCTAATCCTGACAAATCTACAGCACTGAAGTGGCAGCAGCCTATTTTCCCACTAACTTCAGAAAAAATTGCGGAACATTTAAATCACAGCACAAGTGAAACCATGTCTCCCTTGCTTTATTTGCAACACTCCTTTTAATCAGTCAAATCTTTGGAGGGTAGTGACTCTAAGACTAAAGTCAGTGACATCTTATGAGAGGTAGGAATATAATAATTCACACTTTAAAAAAAGAATGACAGAAATTACTCTCAAATGGATTTTGCTCTAGGATTGTCAACCAAGAAAACTGGATTTGGGGCCTGTTCCTTCACCCCAAATATGCATTAATTTGCATACAATTTGTCACAGTAACCAGATGTTTTAGAACATCATCTTCAAACATCCCAACATCTTCATGTGTAAGAACTAACACAGCTGTTCAAAGGCCAGTAGTTTCTCCAAACGGTACATAGTCACAAACACAACTGGCACACAATGAGACTGTTTTAAGGAAAGTAAAATAGAAATTGTATCATGTATTTGGCACCTACATAATGTTAACATCTTTATGCCACAGACAGGCTTTCATTTTTGTCAGGTGTTTTAACATCCATATGCATTCGTTGGAGAGATTTGGAACTGGCTACCCCAATTTTATTTTTTTAACATTTTACTTAAAATTTCTATACCATTTTAAAATGTCGTTTTCAGTCTTTATGGGGGGAGGGAAATCACAGTACATTCTGTGCTGTAACAAAATTTTATACGTAGTGTAGTTGAACAATCATGAAATTATATCAAAATTATATCCCAACCCCTGAAACTACAGGGTTTGTGAACTGGAGAAAGAACACCATTGTATAGCTCTGATCTCCACATTCCGAGAGGATTTTTTATGCAGCCATAAGAAATATGCATCATTGTGGGCCAGATATATAATTAGAAGATTCTTCTACACAGAGAAAGTGCCCTTTGAACCACGGCGATGTTGCAGAATGCCAGATCCCAAAGGGAATGACATCTTCTGTTTTTCCAGATTACTTCAAATGCTTGAGTTACAATTCTTTCAGCGACCACGCTGCCACCAAACTGTCTCTGACATACCCCACACAGCTCATTGCAGAAAACGTCTTTAAAAAGCAAAACAAAGAACTACTCTTGCTAAATATACTGCAGAGCAAATTTAACGATGGAAAAATAGCCACTGACCACTGAATTACAATAGAGCCTTTCTCCTACCAATTCCCCGAGAAGATTTGAAGACAAATAGACATTTGAACTCAGATTATCTTGCAGTATACAAGAATCTTCTAACTTTCTAACTTTTATGTCCACGTGTCTATGTGCTTATATATTTTTAAAGTGAGAGAGGGAAGAAAGGAGACATCACAAGAGCACACACAGGTCACTACAAGAAGACATATTTGAATAATCTTTTTCCTTTATCCAATAATTTTAAATTCTGCTTCTTTCATATGGATTTAATAGGAATAGTTGTTAAAATTTTCTGTTAATATTTTAAATCAGTCCCTGGATATCCAGTAAAGAGCACTACAGGCTTTGATAGAATAGTTTGAAACACAAGTCATTATAAGACACATAGTTCTAATTTAGATATCACATTTTAAATATTAAATGTAATTGACCACACATTGTCTAATCCCAAGTGTAAGTACCCTACGCTTGGAGCCTCCCTTGCACTTCTTTCTGGCTCAAAAGAGAATTAGGTCATCTTCTTTCTAATGCCAAAGCCCCTGAGAATACTTTAACCGGAACAAGCCTTTAGCGTTAAAGAAAAACGCAGGGTCACAGAAAGTTAACATTTCAAAATCATATTTTGAAAAGAGTACAGAAGGTTTCCCTTAAATATACTGGCAGATGGTGACAAGGGAAGGGAGCTAGAAGTAACTGAACTGTTTACACTTTTCAAAACCAAGCACAACCAGAACTTTAAAAAGAAGAAAAAGAAAAAAAACGATATTAAAATGTTGAATAAGAATTCTCCTCTGACCTCAGTCAGCAGTCAGAATGTCTGTTCCTCTACAACTTTCCTCCCTTTTTTATACTTATATGAATAACTTTGGTTTTGCTGGAGCCTCCTATAATTAACTGTGTTTGACCAAAAGCTGAATTTCATGTGCATGTCTGCTATTAACCAGATCTGTGAAGAGTTACATTGTCTATCCGGTAATTATTGTCACAAACCAATAAGCATACGTCTTCAAAGTTCTAAAATAGCCGTTGCTATATAATCTGATGCCATTTTAGAAACATTAAAATTCTCAAAATTGGCTTAAATACCCAAGATTGCCCAGACACCAAATTCTCAGCTACATGAAACCCAAAGGCACGTGGAGCTCTCTGGCTCACAAGCGCAGAACCCGCGGCTCCAGGCAAACCAGCACTTGGGATGTTCTGAACAGCTCGGGGTAAGACGGAAAAACGGGAGCTGTTCTCTCTCCACAAAATCTGCACTGCCCAGCACCTAACACTATTCTACCAGCTTCCTTAATTAGACATGGTAATCTTAATAAGAAATACTCTTAACCACTGTAGGGGTGCTGACCCACGACCTCCTCCTCCTGTTACAGGATCATTGCAATTTAAAGATTTAACTGACAGTCCAGAATATTCTGTTTCTGGTCTAGTATTTCTCTGCAGTGTCATGTTGAATCTCAGGCTGAACCCTGCCCTAACCCCAGTAGTTGTTTTCGTATCTGTTACATCTTTTGCTACATGAAGTAACAAAAAAATTAGAAGCCAAATATCTTGAAACCAAGAATTCTTAAACTAGAGAGAAAAGCTGTAATATAAGGACGAAAGGATACACCAAAATGATAATATTGGCAGCATAACAGACCACCAAAACCAGTGATAAAGACATTGTTCACACACAGAAGAATGAAACAAGAGATTGCAAAGCTCAGAGGATTCAGATACACATTTGAATGCTATTTCTTTGTAACATAATTTTTGGTATGAGGAACATACCAAAAATGAGACAAAGTGTCCTTACTCTGTGTTTTCTGCATGCTCAGTAAGCGAACAAAATAATACTTTTAAAGATGAAAAATACAAAGCCCATCAGGTTTGTGAGCCTGACTTGATTTCTTTTAAAAATCTTGCATTTGAAATTCTCATAGAAAAAACCCCACCACCCTATCTGCAATATCCATTGTGACTAAACACCTCAGTCAACAATTTTATCATGAAAGTCACTCTCCTGCCACCCAGCCAAGGCTCTCGGGTTCCTTACCGTTGTCTCTGTTAATCCACCGACAGACACCGAGAGACCCAACAGCACGTAGTACTGGTAAGTTGGCAAACCCAAAAGCTGGGTGATTCGAGGGAAAGCTTCTGATGCTGCATTCCAGTTTAGAGTCTCTTTCTCTGACCTGGGGAAAGGGGGAGGAAAAAAATTATCTTGTGTATGTGCACTGTTGTTCTTTTCCATACATTTGTTCCTATGCATCTCCTCATTCTCAAGCAGCATCTCAGTGAAGAAAGTCTCTGAATTACCTAAGCATCAAATTAATCATTGCTTTTTTAAGCATATGGGCAAAATAGAAATCCAAACTTCAGCTGCTGCCAGTAAAGTGAAGCAACCTTCAAGTCCTTGTTCTGATTCAGATAAGGGGTTTGAACCACAGTTTCCTTTTCACAAGTATTTTTCTCTACATCAAGAAAACAAGTTCTCCTTCTTGCGTTCCGTTCCCAGTTCTCTCCCACCAACAGCTGGTCAACAACTGATGCAAAGAAAGACTCATCCCAGGAAAGGCTCACACGCTCACACACACACACACACACATCCCACCACAGATCAATCAGCAGCCGTAGCACACAGGGCACTCCTTGAGTTACAGGAGGTTGAGATTCCCCTGAACAAAACGAACGGGGATACAAAGCTGGATGTTCTTCATCCCAGTCAGGTGTTATAAACACCGTTCAGGAATGAGTTGCTCTCACTCTTGCTTTAACTAGAAACTCCATCTTGGACAACTACTGCAACTGAGCTTGGTTAAAATAACACAAGTCATTGCAAATTATCATTAAGATCAACCAAAGGTTTACAGTTGGGGAAAAAAAAAAAATCAGGAAGGGGGATTGCCAATATATTTCAGTTCACGACTGCAACTGAGCTTGGTTAAAATAACACAATTCATTGCAAATTATCATTATGATCAACCAAGGGTTTCCAGTTGGGAAAAAATAATAATCAGGAAGGGAGATTGCCAATAAATTCCAGTTCACCCATTATGAAGAGAAAATGAGATTATAAACCAGCCACTTCATAAACAGCAGAATTGCCAAAACACAGCTCCCTGCAGTTCTGCTTTAGCAATGGTCTCCCATCCACTAATGAAATCTCTGCCATTCACCACTGATTTGGCCAATGGGTTCAGAAATTATTAGGTCTGATCCAGAGAAAGACTCACCCAGCACGACCATGTAAGACCTATCTCCTTAGGAAACTATGATTTTAACAGGAACTCATAGTCAAAGTTCTTCTATTGAATATTTTATATGCTTATGCATATTCATTGGACACTTCAATAATATTCTAACAAACAGCACCAAATACTCCTCATGATCATAGTCAAAGTTCTTCTATTGAATATTTTCTATGTTTATGCATATTCATTGGACCCTTCAATAAAATTCTAACAAACAGCACCAAATACTCCTCCATGCTTCTCTACATCAAGAAAACAAGTTCTCCTTCTTGCGTTCCGTTCCCAGTTCTCTCCCACCAACAGCTGGTCAACAACTGATGCAAAGAAAGACTCATCCCAGGAAAGGCTCACACACACACACCCCACCGCAGATCAATCAGCAGCCCTAGCACACAGGACACTCCTTGAGTTACAGGAGGTTGAGATTCCCCTGAACAAAACAAACAGGGATACAAAGTTGGATGTTCTTCATCCCAGTCTGGTGTTATAATCACCGTTCAGGAATGAGTCGCTCTCACTCTTGCTTTAACTAGAAATTCCATCTTGGACAACTACTGCAACTGAGCTTGGTTAAAATAACACAAGTCATTGCAAATTATCATTAAGATCAACCAAAGGTTTACAGTTGGGGAAAAAAAAAAAATCAGGAAGGGGGATTGCCAATATATTTCAGTTCACGCATTATGAAGAGAAAATGAGATTATAAACCAGCCACTTCATAAACAGCAGAATTGCCAAAACACAGCTCCCTGCAGTTCTGCTTTAGCAATGGTCTCCCATCTACTAATGAAATCTCTGCCATTCACCACCGATTTGGCCAATGGGTTCAGAAATTATTAGGTCTGATCCAGAGAAAGGTCTTACATGGTCATGCTGGGTGAGTCTATCTCCTTAGGAAACTATGGTTTTAACAGGAACTCATAGTCAAAGTTCTTCTATTGAATATTTTATATGCTTATGCATATTCATTGGACACTTCAATAATATTCTAACAAACAGCACCAAATACTCCTCATGAACATATTAGGCATTTGGGCACAGAAATTACACCAGATTGCTTGTGTTAGGTATAACTGTGTGCACGTATCTTTTACTTTCAGTGGTTTAGGATAAGCTTTTCAATATATTACCTTGGAAATATCCTCTCTAGCTCTTCTCGATGAGGTATGTGTGGAACCGGAGGACGGTCAAAATGTAAAAGCGTAAGGAACACGGATCCTGCATGAGCTCGGAATTTATCTATTTTTTCAGCTGACTGTTGAGCCAGCCAGCACATAATCTGTTTGCAGCTACAAGGAAGAAAACAATTACGCACATAATTTAATCAGTAGAATGCGTATTCCAATTTAAATTGTTTCAACGATGTCAAAAATATCCTGCTATGGAAGTATTCTGGTTTAACTCTTCATAAGGAATGTACAAATGATTTAAGACATCAACGTGGTGGCAGAATCTTTAAAGCTTTGTCTTCTGTAGATCAATCAAAAAAATCATGATGAAAATAACATTACACGGTGTTTGCTATTCACATACCACCCTTCATCCAAAAAGGGGCTTTATGGTTTGGATGAACTGCTACAGATGGAAATGGAGCAGGAACTTTGAGAAAAGCACATTTTCAAGTAGAAAACTGCACATGTAGCAGAGTACAAAGTCGATCCCAAATCTGCTATATCCCCAATTAATCCCTTCCTCAATTCTGGTTATTATTAGGAAGGCTTTGCTGAAGATCAAGCTTTGCTGCAGCGAAGTTTTGGGGTTTTTTTGTTGGTTTTTTTTTTTTTTTTTACTATTAGGAGTACTGCATCATGAAATTAAAAATCAGAAGCTTGGTGTAAATTATCTGTATTTTCTTACTAATGATTCTACAAAGAAGAGAGAAATTAAAACAAACTCAGCTCTGCATTTAATCACATTCCAAATTAATGATACAATGCTCTGGATAAGTGGGGAAGTTTGCTTTCTATTTAAGTGAACAATACTGGCAAGTCCCACAAAGATGGCAAGTAGAGACCAAACCTCCCAGATGTGCTGGATTTCAAAGGTGGGACCTGCCACGCAGTCTCAGTCTCTCAAAACCACAACATTCTCAGCAGCTGTGTGGGTATAAGCTTGATGCACTTCTATCAAAAGTTCTATCACGCTCAATAAAGTAGACAGTGTATAATATATAAGCAATGCTTTCTTATATGGACTGGGATGTAGTTATAAGAGATAAGACACAAAAATAGTCCAAGTAGCATACATGTTGGCATTAATTAACTCCGCTTCATTCTGAACCAGCAGGAGCGTCACTTCCATTAAACTTGTCATAGCAGCTTCACGCACCCTGTTGAAACAGAGACACATTGGAGTAGTTACATCAGCATTTGTTTAAATAAATACATCAGGAGTTCAGGCGGACACTGGCAAGAATTAAAAATAATGAAAGCATTGACCACTGAGAGCAACGACCCTATTTTTGGGAGGAAGAGCAGTGGTACCCTCAAGCCCCACTTGGCGAGGTGAAGCCCACACCGCACTGAGGGTACAACAGCCATCCTCATTTCCAGGCAAGCCCCTGGCCTCAATGTCTTGTTTTTCATTCCAGCTAGATCATTGAATCATAGAATGGTTAGAGTTGGAAGGGACCTTAAAGATCATCGAGTTCCAACCCCCCTGCCCTGGGCAGTACCACCTTAAAGATCATCGAGTTCCAACCCCTCTTCCCTGGGCAGGGAACCAGGGAAGTACGATGGCAGACCCTCAGCTGGTTACATGATCCTGCAGAAGACCAGAACCAACACATTTATCCCATTAGTCACTCACGGGAATGTCATCCTTGCTCTGTAATAATTTAAATTTTTTTAAAATCCAAATATTTCAGAAGTTATACCTGCCTACCGTGAAAAGACATACTCCTGTTTCTAATTCCAAAACAAGCTAAAAATAGTTGCCTATGCAATCTAGAACTGGGTGGGACATTTGTTACAATGGTAAAAAAGGTAAATTACATCATTTTTTCCTAAGTAGTTTAATACAAGTTTGGCAATCTTTCATCAAAGGATGTTTTCCTACTTTTTTCATATAGTATCTGACTATTAGATATTCATGTCTAACACCTGTAGACGGATTGGACAAGTCCCAGCAAACAATCTGTCAGAAGAAACGTAAAGTTTGCATACGGAGAGTAAAGTTACTTAAACTTTCCCACGATTCCATTAAACAAAGACAAAAATTACACACCAAAGAAAAGGTCTCTCCAGAGCAGTGGCAGTTCTCCCTGTATCTTTCCATCTTAGCCAATGGTTTAAAAGAAACAGAATGATAAAAAGTTTCATATTTGAGAGGCCACAAAAGTATTTAGCAGCCAACAGTTTGCTAAAAAAAAGGATTCCCCTTCCCCCTTTAATTTACATGTTTCTTGACTTGTTTTCGGCTGGCATTGCCAAAGGAGCTTAAAAAGACTCTGGTGCTCAAAGCACATTTGAATTTTAATGGGTTTTGGGAATTTAATTTCCTCAGGATTTCTTTGAAAATTTCCACTTTGTAGAGTTGAGTTTTGTTTTGTTTTTAAATTAAGACACAGACAGAAGGATAAACAATAGGTACGGGCAACTTCAGTGAGAGCTCTCAGATGTGGAAGTTAACTTGAATACCTAATTATACTTAGCCAGGTTCTTATCAACTTCAGTATCTCGCCTAACTTTAAAAGCAGAAAGCTTAGTATCTCTTCCCTTCCTTTGACTCTTCACCCTACACGGTTGCTTTTACATTTTCTTTCAGCTGCACCAGTGTCTCTCTTTTGTCACTGCATTCTCTGAGCAAGAGACCCATTCACCTTCCTCCTGCTTCTCTGGCGGCTGTGGAGGGAGAGGGAAAGCCAAGCTCCTTCTTCCCTTCGCAAGCTGGAATGACCTGCTTGTGATCCTGACTAGTTTGCATCCTTGTTTCCCCTTCTAAGTTGGAGATGTCAAGTACGCCTACTTTCCTCTCATTTCTTGTCCCATGTTATTATTTCCCTGTCATATGACAGTTTTGATAACCAGTACTGAAGGCTGAGGAGCTGGGTACCATTGTACAAAGCAAGAAAAATATAAACACACCAATATTAACTCAGGCTGGTAAAAGTAGTCTGGATTATTTGCCCTGTGTACTTTTCCAACACATTTGTAAATACCTTAGTGTAGTACCTAAAGGATCGAGGGTAGGCAATTAAAAAAGCCCACCAATCCCAATACTAACATGGCACAAATTATCTTTCTTCTACAGGTTCTTAATTTACAAGGGCAAGTGTAGGGTCCTTCATCTGGGTAGGATGAATGCCAGGCACCAATATAGGTTAGGGGCACACCTGCTGGAAAGCACTTCTGAGGAGAAGGATCTGGGGGTCCTGGTAGATAGTAAATTCTCCATGAGCCAGCCACGTGTCCTTGTGGCCAAGAGGCCAATGGGATCCTGGGCTGTGTAGGGAAGAGTGTGGCCAGGAGGTGGAGGGAGGTCATTGTCCCCCTCTGCTCTGCACTGGGGAGGCCACAACTGGAATCCTGCCTCCAGTTCTGGGCTCCCCAGTTCAAGAGAGACAGGGAACTGCTGGAGAGAGTCCAGCGAAGGGCAACAGAGATGATGGAGGGATTGGAGCATCTCCCTGATGAGGAAAGGCTGAGAGAGCTGGGGCTCTTTAGCCTGGAGAAGAGAAGGCTGAGGGGAGACCTTATTAATGCTGACAAGTATCTAAAGGGTGGGTTGATAGAGAATGGAATCGGACTCTTTCAGTGGTTCCCAGTGACAGGACAAGGGGCAATGGGCACAAGCTGGACCATGGGAAGTTCCACTCCAATCTGAGGAAGAACTTCTTTGGGGTGAGGGTGGCAGAGCCCTGGCAGAGGCTGCCCAGGGAGGGTGTGGAGTCCCCTTCTCTGGAGATCTTCAAGCCCCACCTGGATGCTCCTGAGTGATGTGCTCTGGGCAACCCTGCTTTGGCAGGGGAGTTGGACTGGAGGATCTCTAGAGGTCCCTTCCAACTCTGACAATTCTGTGACAATCCATGACAATCCTGAACATGCAGCTCTGTACCCTGTTGCCAGAGAGGTCAAATATATATCATCATGTCATTACCATACGATCCAAACAGTATTACCCATACTGTTCAACAGGGCTGATACAATTCTATACATAAAGTATCTAAAAGCAGCATATGTCTACATATTTTCAAATTAAAATTATGGATTAAGACAATAAAATTCCGAAGTCTTTGTCAAAAACAGCATTTTACTTTCAGTTGTCTGTTAGCTGGTGGAAAATGATTTTATCACATTCATTTACTTAGTTTATGGCTTCTCTATAGGAAGGTGTTAGGTGTTACTGTTCTCAGTCTTCTACACAGCAGCAAAATTGTCATATATTTTAAACCTGCAGATTTATTCCTGAATTCTGATAATTTAATACTTTTTATTAACAAGTAACATTTCAGGCTGGGCATATTTGTACTCATAAGTACATGCAGAAAAGTACCCTGAGAGAAGAGCCTGTGTTCCCTTAGTACTCATTTGATCTCTAAGATCCATTTTCCATGTGTTTTTCTTACCCTGTAACTACCTTATGGAATTCTACAGGATGAAGCAAATAACACGAAATAAATCTCCATTCCTGCTCTGCCTACTGCACTCAACAACTGCAGGAGCTTCCAACCAGTAAGTGATGTTACATCCCCAATCACAGCTTCTTTAGAAATTAAACACAAACCCAAAGAAGGACACAAGCCTTTAGAGTGCTTTGGTTCATCAATTTAGAAATTGCCTTTTCAGATCGCTTTTACTGAAGGACTATAGAACACTCAATGCAATAGGAATGCAATTTTATATACTCAATCCTCTTTATATATTAAGGGAATTGTGAAGACTGAAGAACGTCACAAAAATATGACTGCTTCAGACTTAATCCTGTATCTAATCCATAGATACATTCCCACAGACTTAAGATTTAATCATTCTTGCAATCTCATAGCTTAAATCACTGAAACCCTAAACTTACAAAAGAATCAGTAACACCATAGCACAATTTATAAAGTTTTTAGCCATCTCAGTAAAGAGACCCGAGCCTTTCAATGCAATAGGAATGCAATTTTATATACTCAATCCTCTTTATATATTAAGGGAATTGTGAAGACTGAAGAACGTCACAAAAATATGACTGCTTCAGACTTAATCCTGTATCTACAGACTTCACATCCATAGATACATTCCCACAGACTTAAGATTTAATCATTCTTGCAATCTCATAGCTTAAATCACTGAAACCCTAAACTTACAAAAGAATCAGTAACACCATAGCACAATTTATAAGGTTTTTAGCCATCTCAGTAAAGAGACCATTTCTCACTAACACGTTATGCGACTGCTCCCTCTCCTGGCAAAACATCCCCACAACAGGAACGTACAAAAGGAGGGTTGATCAAATAGGTGTGAACGTATTATTTCAAAGAAACAGAAGTGATGTTTTAAATCTCTGTACTTTTTACAACTAAATATATTCCTGACATCCACAAAACCAGAATAAACTTCAGTTTGAAACTCGGTAGTCCCCATCTTCCTAATGTCCCTGGCAAGGGACAACCAAATTCTTGTCAGCCTTTCACTTTCTGTATCTATTCCTCAAATCTCCAAAAATTATATTCCTGACATCCACAAAACCAGAATAAGGCTGAACTTCAGTTTGAAACTCGGTATTCCCCATCTTCCTAATATCCCTGGCAAGGGACAACCGAATTCTTGTCAGCCTTTCCTTTCACTTTCTGTATCTTTTCCTCAAATCTCCAAAAGCTTGGAGCTATCTAACAGGTTTTGAAAAGATATCAATTTTTAATTAGACATCAAACATGACTGCTAAGTTCAAGTCTCCGTTTGTAAAGCATCTTACCATCCTCCGACGTCTCCTCGGCTGTCTGTGGTGTAGTCAGTCACACCGTTAAGTAGCGTAGCATAAATCTGAGAAACATTATCTTTGCAGACATATTCTTCCTGGGATCCTTCTCCCTTTACACCTACTGTCTGGCAAACCCTTAAAAAGAGAAAAAGGGGAGGAAAAATGACAACACTAGCAAGGAGAAGCATTAAGATCATAGCTTTGTTCCCAGACATACAGTATTCTAAACACCTACAACATCTGCTACAAACAGTATGAAGAATATTTCTGAGCCCTGTATTCTATTTTGGACCTGAGGATTTTGGACCAGTGTTCAGGTTTAAAGGAGCACTGGCAAAGCAAAAAACCACAACAGATAAGTAGATTGGATTTATGTCCATAATACTACAGAAAGGAACGTGCTTAATGTACCTGTCAGCTCCTGAACCCTCCTTAAAATAAAATAAGCAAGAAGAGCAAAGGACTGAAATAATATGCACTGAATTTGACATCAACAAACCTCTTTACATAGAAGGCATGCTTAACATGAGAAAGAGATAATGTTTTTTGCATTCTAAGAGTTTAAGAGCATATATACTATGATACGATTAACACTAACTACACTGTGGCACGTCCACACAGAAAATATTCCTTTAGAGAAAAGGTAAAATTTCTTTAAACCAATTCAATCTTATTAACAAACGTAGCCCATGAGAAAGGTGAACTTCAAAATATACTCTAGCTACTCAGTTAATTTTAAAAAAGCACACGAGCATCCAAGTTTTACTCCATCCTCAGGTGTGTGATAGTTCTCTGAATTAAAGATACATTGAATAATGGAGAGGCACAGAGTCCCATACTAAAAACATGTATCTCAGTGTAAGTTATTTCAAGAATCATGCTGTAACAGAAAGCAGAATGAACAGGAGAAAAACTTCGAGACAAAGAAGTAAAATTAGACAAAAATAAAGATGATTAACATACTTTGCAATTGCTATTAAGGCATCTCTTCTGGATTCTGCAAAGCTCACGTATGCAGGGGTAATTAAGGTAACTTCTTTCAAACCTTCCAAAACCTGAAAAAAAATAAAAATTGAGATATTTAAATCCAATACATTATTTATGATGTTAAATGTAGATATCCTATTAAAATAAGCTCGATCACGTGTGAGAGAATCAAGCAGTCAAAAGGGTTTGGTTTCTCCCCATGACCTGTCAGCGTTGCCTCACTCCTCCCTTTGGACAAATGTTCCCCAGCAAAGGGAATCTGGCCGTGGAACAGCCAACCTCTGACTCTGCCATTAACACTGCTAAAGCAGGACTAAACATTAATTATCAGAATCTACGGCAAGCTAAACTCATTATGATATTCTGGGGTTACTGTACATTACAATCCAAACCCCTTTCACAAAGACCTTTAATTACTATCATTATTATTTATTTGATTACAATCATAGGTTTAATTCAAAATACTGTGTGCCCTCTTCTCATTACAATGATCGTATTTTCTCACCTGTTGGAGCCTGCCCTTTAGCAGAAATCTTGGAAGGGCCCCAAGAGCTCGTGAAAAGCCACAACGAATCATTTCCTCTGCGTTTTTTAGCTCTGAAACGTACTGTGTCACCAGCTCATCTAGAAAGAACACAGTTGCAGAGTGAAAAGCTGCTACTGCATCGCTGTTATTGCACGTTTGGCTAACAAAAAAATAAACCAGGAAAAGATCCCCGAAAGAAAACAGATAGAAAATTTTATAATTCATTAAACTAAAATACAGAATACCCCTAATTTCCTATAGAGAAAAGATAAAAATTTTAAGATGCTCACAGTTACACGAATGAATTCTAAAGATGAAGTCAGATTTTTAGACAGACTGATCCTAGTCATTCAGAGAGAGTAAAGATGTTCTCATTTTTAAAAAGCTGTAATTTTTTTAAAAATCCAAAGAATATGTCTAAGCAGAAGTTTCTATGCAAACACAGGGAAAGAAGTTTTCTTATATTTACAGGTGATCATTTTCCATAATTAGACAAGAATTCTGTGTTAGGAAAGAGATGTCTCTGGATTTGTGAAAGTCAGTTACCTGACAGTTTTCCCCAAGAAAAGTCTTAATTGGGCTCAGGGTTTAAATGCACACACAGATCATACCTAAGCAATGAGATAACTTCATATATATTTTATATAGAGACAAAAATAAAGTTGGGCTTTTTACAGGAGAAAGCTCAAAAAGAAGTGATGGCTTTGAAGCAGGGACACTGCGCTTGGATTCTGTGCGTTGTTACGTGACAAAACAGGGACAAAGGCTCCACAAAAGCCCCGCAGAGAAAAGGAACAAGAATAAACTGAACTGAGTACGGAAAAGTGAGGCAACAAGGATGAAGTAATGCAATACAAAGAAGAAAATGAGGATGAATAAAAAAGAGAAAAAAGAAAGAAGTCAGGAATCTCTCTATCTCTGCTATAGTCATTATCAGAGACTTTAAAGACAATCCTTCCTTTACCAGAGTTTTCAGCTACTATATTAAACTCTTCTGTAAAATGGAGAGATAACCAAGGTACTTCAGAAAAGCTTCTAAGAATGACCAAGACAGCTGCAATAGACACAACTCTAGTTCAGAAAGGAGAAAGGTGGTCTTATTAATCACTTTACTGAATACACAGGTTTTAATCCTCAAGGAAAAAGAATCAGAGATCCTAGGAAGATTATATAATTGTGCCATTGCTTACTGTCATCTAAGATTTAAATGATTGAGCAATATTTGCTAGAGGAAGAAAGAATAGTTACCACAAGAAACTACACATTAATCATAACTCATGGCTGACTTTTTTTTTTTTTTTTTTTTTTTTTTAAATCCCTATGCAATCAGCAGGCCCCGACTAGCTCCTCACATCAGGGAACCAGTTCCCTGTCCACAGGTTAGCAATACCCTCATTGAAGCACATCTATTATTTAAAAATTTCCAAACCACTGGAGTGTAAGATAGAGTCTTGAGGCCATAGGAAGATGCTCCGCTTGCTTAGACAGCAAGATGATCTTACTCAGTGAGACTACAACAGACTCCCCTTTGATTGATGTAAATTTAAGATTGACGTTTTAGCCAAATGACATAAAATTAAGACATGACAACTAGCAAACGAGCAGCTCTTTACTTATAACTACTTAGTAATTATGCTAGCGAGGGTAATGCAAATAATATTCTTCTAAGTCTTCAGCTTCATAAAACAACACGGGCTATGAAGTGTCTACAATATTAATTCAACACAACCCATCCTGAAAGAATATTAAAAGAGAAAGTCATCAAAACCAAACCAGAACACACTAGGACCGAAAAGAAACAGTAAAAACAGAGGCCAAAGAAGTGATTCAATAAAATTGCAGCCTCATAGGGACAGGTTCAGAACGTGAATCATTAAAGTATCTTTGGTTTGGGTTTTCACTTTAATCTGTCAAGCCATAGTGGAACACTGGTTAAACTTTATCATACACTTTTTTTTTGGTCTTTCTAATTCCCTTCATCATGTTCAGACCTGATTTAACTGACTCATCGAAGGCACCTGCACTGTCACTGAGCGTGCTCTGCACTGTGGATTCCACACACACATGCACACAGCACACATGATGGGGAGGATTTTCAGCAGTGGAGTTCAGTCCCACAAACATACAGATTGTAATGGTCATGAAATAGAGAGATTTTAGTGGCACAGAGACAAAAATATACTTTTTTTTTTTCCTTCTAAAAGATGCTTGCACTTTTGTTACCATGTGTAGAAGAGGCTTCCTAGAAGTACAAGGCCAAATAAAAGCATAATCAAGACAGAGCTGACTAGAAATTTTTTTGAACAGAAATATTTCCAACTCACAGTTCTATTCCCTAAATCATACTAGAAAGTCTGATGAAAAAAATTGCCTAATATCTACAAATTTGACACTAAATATGTCCCTGGAGATCACCATGGCTACATCACCATGATTCCTTCACACAGATGAGAAGTTAACCTAGAATCCAGGAGGGGGAAAAATAATAATAATAAAAAAAGCTTTGGAGGCTTCTCAACAAGTACAGCACCAAAACTGATGCAGCCACCTACTGCGTGTTCCTCCACTATGGCTTCTCTCCCTCTTGATTTTGACACCTGGCTGAGTTTTCTAGTCACTTTTACAGAGACTTGAAAGTTCATCCTTACATAAAATGTAACCCATTACTATTTCAGCTCATTTTTAGCCACCTTTGTTTGATTCAGCATTATCTCCTCCTGCCCAAAGTGTTCTGTTTTCACAAAACATTACCCTTTCCTGAGGTTGTGGTTTGTTTTTTTTTTCCAATCTGCCTCACTTCCATATGACATCGTCCCATGCTGCCCACAAAAAACCAGTGGAGCCTGAATAAAAGAAAGGGCTCTTTTTGGAATTATTTTTTTTTGACAAAAATACAGAGATTTAGCAATATAGAAAAGATTTTTAAAATCAAGATAGGCTGCTTTTCCATATCAGCCATAAATTCTCTGGGGCAGAGACAATCAAGATAGGCTGCTTTTCCATATCAGCCAGAAATTCTCTGGGGCACAGACTGCATGTTACTGTATAAGTGATAGGTATCAGGTTCCTTCTGGGAACTATTGTAAAATAAATAAATAATAAGCTATTCTGTTACCTGATTTAGGAATGACTCAGAATGGCAAAAAAACCAGGAAAATATATCATTATTTGATTTAGGAATGACTCAGAATGGCAAAAAAACAGGAAAACAAATCATTATTTCTTAAGTATGTGTAATTTTGTTGTCATATTTATAAACACAAGAACATAAATGTCATTATTCTTAAAATATCTACCTACACAATCCAGCAATGTGTCTCTGATAGACACGATACAATTTGATACTTGAAAGAAAGAAAGGTCCAAGAAATTCAGTAGAGAACGATGTTGATTCATATGTCCCTAACAACAGGTTAAGCCTATTCCTGTACTGCTGATTCACACCCAAACAGAAGAGGTTGCACATTTACAAGAACTCTGGGTGTCTTTGCTGTCCTTCTCTTCTTATCCGTGGCATACAGCTTATCGAAATACGATGTAAAAATGTCTCAGTTCATTAAGACTTAGGATTTGGACAAACACATATTCTTTGCTTCTCTGTTTTACATTATGGAATAGAAAAGCGATCTGTTTTTCCTAATATTCATTATTATGGTACCTTGCATCCACCTTCAGCATAAAACAAGCAAAACCCTTGGGATATTTCCTAGACTTTCAGTCGGTTTTATCATTCTTTCCTGAAGCATTTTAACGTCCTTTAGTGACGCTCCTCCCTGTTCTATCCAATACCTCTAAAGTGCAAGTTAGGTCCAGCCCAGTATTTCTGCCTCTACTGTAAACATGAGTCATTACCCTGCAGAGCTGGATCAGCTTCTCCCTTTTCATTGATGTAATATTCATTACACAGCGCAGCCAGGGCAGAGACTGTCGACTCCTGCAAAAAAGGCAAAAAAACCTCATATATTTACTAAGGTGATACTTTATGATAACTGTGCTTAGAATTAAAGGGTTAATGAAAGAGAGAGTGGATTTATTTTTCTTTCTAAATCATTCCTTTCAGCTACTGACATTAACTTTCTTTTCACTTCTTCCCAATACTGGTCTAAGAACAGTTGAACAGGAAACCTATGTACAAAAAACCCAGATTCTACTCTTATTCCTTCAATAGTACTAGTAAGATAAATGAATATTTAAGTCATTTATAGTAATATATTAACTGTATTTTCAGTTCACTTGAAAGACCTCAAGGATGACACAGTATTACAAAATATAGAAGTCATTATTTCATCTTCAGTATACTGATGCCAGAATGATATGAAACAAACTATGTTTCCCCAGAAAGCTAAAGAAAGGAAACAGAAAAACACATGGACTGAAGGTTATAAACAAAACCCCTAAAATATCCAGTATCACAATCCTTGTGCCTCAATCTTAATTGATTTTAAAAAGGATCAAAGGTTGTGTGTTATGCCTGAACCTCCTAATCTTTAGAGTCACAAAACTAATACAGCTGCTATTTCAAAAAGCATGTAGCAAGTTTTCTCAAAAAATTCATGGTTTAATTATACTTTTCAGCTAATAAGATAATGCTGATTAAAATTATAATAAATTTGAGAGTGTACAAAAACTATGCACTGCCAACTCCATACTCATAGCAATGATACTTACTAATACTCATGTTCTCTGGGTACAAGAATTCTTAAATAACACAGGAATCCTGTACAGCCCCGTCATTCTGCCCTCAGACACCTCAGGTTGTTCTCTGTGCAAAATCAAGGACTTGAAAGAAAACCCGTGTTCACTGAAATATTATTTTAACTACCATAGACACTATAGTAGCAAAATATACAGAATTATCTAATTGCTGCAGATCATAGAATGGTTTGAGTTCGAAGGGACCTTTAAATGTCAACAAATCCAAGCCCCTCACACAAGCAGGGACATCAGGTTGCTCAGATCCTTCACTTGCTAAAAAGAATGGTTTTCACCTTAAATGCATGAAGTTACACTGGAAGAGTACACTGTATGTCAGAAAAAAAGATTACTTCTCAATGTCTTAAGCATTGCCCTTAAAATTTTTTCTCTCTAAAATATATACAGAAATCAAGTGAGAACTGACATTTACTAAACATACTTTGCTCAACATTAATTAATGTTAACCAAACAAGTCAAAATTCTCTAAAGTCTATAATTAATTCTTCTAAGCTTGGTTTAGAAGTTCCAGTTATGAGACACACAAACTCTTTGAATAAATTGCTAATGCCAAAAGAATATTCCAAGAATTCAAATTTCATCTTTAATTTTCTTCAGTGATTTGGATACATTCTAGCCTACTCTGTCTTCCAAGGGAGACTTTAAAAGATGAGCTACTTTCAATGGCTTTTTATCTTAATTTGAAAAACTAAAAAAATGAACACAATATGTTACATTTAAATTGTCTCTGTGATGGGTATAAGCTCTAACAGGGCAGACAAAAATTGTCTTTATAATTTGGTAGAGCCTTTAAAAGTGTAAGACCAAACTGTCAAAGCAAGACAAATAACTGGGGGTGTTAAGATTATGTACATAAAACAGCACAAACTACATCTCTCAATGGATTTAATAATCAGAATTAGAGTAGCTCGAGAGCATGGTAAAAGGATTTGCAACAGAGTTTAATGGGAAATTCAAGCATGCTGTCCTGAGTAACCCTGGGTGATCACACCAATGTTCTCACTGTTAAACACGCCCTCAGGACGTCAGGCCCGAGGACATCATTCAGAGCTTCTTTTTAATTCTCACAAAAGTTCTCTGAAACTACCAAAATCAACATATCTTACACATATTGTAGGCACACCAAAACAGAAGCAGAACCTCATACCAATGTCCCCACACTGTCACCAGCACGTAGCTCCAACAACCACCGAGTACTCGCTGCCAGCCCATGGTCAGTGCCAGCACCTGGCAATCGCCGTGTCCATACGTATGTACAAGATCCACCCTTGTGACAGAGCCCTCTGAATTTTGAGGAATTTAAGTTGTTTTTTTTTTTTAAATAACCCTTCTAAGCAATCTAAGAAACAAACATTCAAGAGCCAATTAGATTCTGTAGAGAACAACCCACCAACGGAAAGCAAATATATTTCAAATCCTGTATTTAACATGACCACAAGAAGGAGGAGGAACTATTGTACCTTTATATGTTGTCGTGCCGTGCTTGAAACAAGAGGGAGATTTCTTAGACTGTCATTTATTAACCACTGCCAGCCACCTGGAATAGTAAGGAACATAATTCATTTTCATTTTTCTTACTTTCTGAACTTCAACATTCTCTGTTTTATTTTTGTCACAAAGATCAGCAATTTTACATGTACGGATTTCCTCGGTTTTTCAAAGTAACCAAGGTTGTGATGCTGAGTTGGTGTAGCTCTTCTGGTTGGGTTTACAACGTACATCGTGGAAAGGCTGTCTGGTAATGCTGAAAATTTGACAGCTACAAAACTGATCCTCAAATAACATCGCTATCTGTTGCAGCATTTTTGTATCTTTTTGATACCTTTTTTTTTTTGTTAGGCCAACCAACCTCGCTAATCTTGCTTCTTTGAAAACATTATTTGTTAATACTTCAGCTTAATTAATAACTACTAAGATAATGGAAGTTTATTTAAAATATGACATACCTATTACTGGATCTCCTCTAAATGGCATTTTTGATAGTGACAACTTTTCAATTAAGGTGCAGACTGTAAGAAAATAAATTTTATAACTAGGTGAATACAAAAAAGAGAAATTGCGGCAATTCTGAAGTACAACCACATCAAGTTACATTAACATTCATTTTATACTGAAGAAAATTTGCAATTAGAAGTCCAAAACATGTGAAATTAGAAACTTAAAGGAAATGACACTTATGATCTGACATATAAAAAAAAGCTACTGTGCAGTAACTGTTCTCTGCCATGAGTTAGTCCCATCAATTCATGCAGATCCATGGTTTGGAGGTACATTTTTCTGCTCTGCCACGTATGGTGTATACGTACATACTGGCCACCTTTCTGTTTCCATACCAGTCTGTAAATGGCTGTGTAGTATCACTGACAGTAAACCAACTTGGGCAAGGGTAGTATTACAGCCACTAAAAAACCTATTCAAATAGATGAAAGGTTTTCCTGCTTTTTAGTAGCAGTTTTTTTTGACCTTCAAGGAGCAGCATCCGTTCACTGCACAGGAGCTATAAAACTGGAGGTAGCTTTATCTCCTTTGATACTCAGTATATGAGGAAAATGTCATTTTAATAATTAAGTCCTTGTTATTGTAAGTGTATAAACTTCAATGAGTTGCAAGCTTACAAACCCACTTTCAGAACAGTTTGGGTTTTTTTAGTGTTTCAAGGCTCTTTTGGGGAATAGAGATGAACACAGTGAACACTGCGAACTTTTACCATACAATAGATTGACTGCTTGGCTTAAACGAAAATTCAGCACTTGGGTAAAACAGTATCTTTCACCTCCTGGTGCTCTGTTCAAATACACCAGATGGGTACACATCCGTAAGGTACACATCCGTACTCACTATCAGACTGCTTTAGGGCTCGTGGAGAGGAGGGAGAGGACAGAACAAGCTACTATATAACGTCACCTTTTTGTTTTCCTCCCCTCCCACAACTTAATCTTTGAATCTTACTCCAGGCTCCGTACACAGTTCTTCTTCTTCTTCATTTATAATCAACTTACTGGGCTCCAAATCTGCTCTTGCATCCAGTCCTCACTACGGTAATGTCACACAGGCTCCCTGAGCAAAAACTCCATTCAGTGTTGTATGTCAGCTTCTTTGTTCTAATATTTATTCACAGACAAGGTTAAGTACAATGTGACTAAACCCAAGTCTCTTGGGGTTCCTCCTTAGTTCTCTATGCTTCTTTTATGCTCTATTGTGGTTGAGGCCATCATCTTCATTAGACATGCAGGCAATTTGTGGAATATTTTCAATTCTTCTCTTATTCCACCTACACAGCTGTATCATGCCAAAAAACTGTCATTTGTTCTTCTCCAATACTATCAAATACTCAGCTGCTTAAAAACTAAAACATTTAAAAAACCCCCTACGTATTCTTTCAGCCTGCATTATCACATCAAGACCGTAACCTCATTCAAAGACTGCAGAAATCCCCTTGCCCCCTTCACCCCTTCTATTTGATCACCCTTCCATCTTGGTAAGAAAACTCCTTTACCCCGCCTAGTTTGGACAGCTTCACATCTGCAAAGCTGGAATCTGCTATGTAGCATTTCCTTCATTCAACCCATGGGCAGGAAACTCAAGTTGGCATCATTTCCTTACCCACCCAGGCCACCTGGATGGGGACTCTTTCCTGCAATGCCCTTCCTTTTTACAGTGTTTCTTACATAAAACTCTTCAAAATCCATGTGAACAACCCACCATCTTTTCTGTGATACCACCCTTTCCACAAATTGTTGGTTATAAGGTCTTTATTCTTCACCTTTGCACACCTACGTATTATGACAAAATAATTAGTTCCATGATGACATCTGTCTTAATGGCCAGATTGCATCTCCTCTGGAGAGGAACCAGAGTAAATCACTGATGGAAGACAGCTCAACGCTGCAGAAAGTTCACTGTGTGCAACAACGGAAGAGAGAATGTGTGACATAAACCCAAGAACTATCTCAAAGTCTTGCACAAACAGGGCCATTCCCAGTTGTGCTGGCAACCAGTGTTCAGGCATATTTGTCTTCTGATTGGCTTCCAAACTTTGTATTTTTATTTTTATTTTTTCCAGTATTTTTTACACTTACCAGCCGGTCTCATCAGTTCTCCGCCCAAACCCCTGCAAAGCAGAAACAGAGCCTTCAGAGAGTACCCTACCACAGGCAGTCCCAGTTCATCACCAAGTGAGGAAAAAAACCCTCAAAACCATTTTAGAACGAAAGCAGATCTCAAAATACCTGCAGTTTTGTATTTGACCAACTCTAAAATACTTCTTTTTAAATCAACTGTTGTCGTGACTTCAGCGTGATTTATACAAAAACTCCCTGAATATTCAACCTTCTTCTTGCAAAAATGTGGTCCCAGTATTTCTGATTTTTAACGTCAATAATAAGACTGCCAAGTTAATTCTGCTTTTCTTTTCACTTGCTTCAGAAGCATCCCAAACCTGCGGGACCTGCCACAGGACTTTTCAGTCACACAGCCTCTACGAGCTTCTGACTTTCACAACTGAAAAGCAATTACATGTAATTCTTTAACAAAATCTTTATATCTGGAACATTAAATAGAAACTTCATTTACCAGTCCCCATTTTCACAAATGTGAACTGGTTTACTTTCCTGGTGAAGTTTCTCCCCCTTCTCTCTCTACCCTCTCTCAGGAGTCACTGCATTTATCACCACGAGTCCGAGGGTAAAATACTCCAACACATCAGAGAAGGGAGAGAAACAAATGGTTCAAGATGCTTCAGAGCCTCCTGAAGTGTGTGTTACATGAGTATGGTCTCACCAGCTTATCCATCATCCAGCCCAGTTCTCCTGGCTGAACATTAACCTGGCTGCTGAGGAGGAGAAAAGCAATAGGAGGAGAAAGTCTCAACCAGGCACAAAGTGGGGAGAGGGAGAAGGGCCCTGCAAATGGCAGGGCCTCTTTCCATTCTTTGGCCGCCCATGTCTCCGGGCAGAGACACGTCCCCTCACCCCGCCGAGCAATGGCTGCTGGTTCCGTGGATGTCCCCACGGTGCCAGGAGCACCACTCGGGGTACATCCAGCCCAGTTCTCCTGGCTGAACATTAACCTGGCTGCTGAGGAGGAGAAAAGCAATAGGAGGAGAAAGTCTCAACCAGGCACAAAGTGGGGAGAGGGAGAAGGGCCCTGCAAATGGCAGAGTCTGTTTCCATTCTTCGGCCGCCCATGTCTCCGGGCAGAGAGACGTCCCCTCACCCCGCCGAGCAATGGCTGCTGGTTCCATGGATGTCCCCACGGGGCCAGAAGCACTGCTCGGGGTGTAAGTGGGGAGAGGGAGAAGGGCCCTGCAAATGGCAGGGCCTCTTTCCATTCTTTGGCCGCCCATGTCTCCGGGCAGAGACACGTCCCCTCACCCCGCCGAGCAATGGCTGCTGGTTCCGTGGATGTCCCCACGGTGCCAGGAGCACCACTCGGGGTATTATGCACAGTGTCACCCTCTGTGGCTTCACTTCTTTTATTCTGTGAACCTTTGACCCCTGCCCTTTCTTTGGATATTTCCTCCCTCGACTCCTTATTCCTGTCTCCCTTCCCTTCTGCTGGAATATTTCCTCCCTGAGGTGTGCCAAACCCTTAATCACCTGTTTGGATGGCCCTGCTCTGGCAGAAACTCCCAGCAAGGGGGAGGAACAACAAAGGCTTTTTTGTTTATTTGCTTGGGTGTTGTTTTTTTTTAAAACCTTTTCTTCCCTCCTCTCCTCCTCCTTCTCCACAATAAAATTAGTAGCCGGGCTCAGAAGGCAAACTTAGCAACCCTAACAACTCTTGGAACTTTGTTCTCCAACTTGTCCTTTTATATGAGCTTCAAAAGCCCAAACATCTTAAACAAGTTTTTCCATTCCATACAAGTAGGTGCCTCCTGGAACATGCACTGGGTTTTTGACTGCTCAACATTTTCATTGGTTTTTCAGGTAATGCCGAGACACCAATTCCACAATATTCTCGTCAGCACTTTCTTTAATTGGGAAACTTTTGCTTTCGACAATCGATCCATTAAGCTCAATGTAGTAATCCACAGCTCGGTTTATCATCATAGGAAGCAAGCGCAGATTCCACATCCCCATGCTGATAAGGTCTTTGTATTATCTACCCCACCTTCCTGCCATGCTGTCTGCTCTCCAGCTTCTAAAAAATTTAAATTAGAAAACAAAGAAGTGATGCAAGGAGTCGAGACAGCAGCAAAACCAGAGGAATGATGTGGCAAGACTTGCTTCCTCTTCAACCTTTCTTTTCCCTTCATTTTGTCCTCACCCATTCCTCGCCTTTTGTCTGCTGTCTTACTGCAAATGAGTATAAAATAATGATCTTGTAGATGTGTTTGGTGTGCAGAAGAGTCTGCTGATGCAAGGGTTCAGATACAGACTCCTGTTCAAACTACAAAGCAAGAACTGAGTCATAAAGGCTGCTCTTCTCCACTTCTTCACACTGCCAATAAGGAAGTCAGGCCACTTAAAGCTACTCTTATGTTAATAATTTGACAGCTATCCCTTCCTTTGGCATTACATCAACTCAATTTAATTTCAGAGTTTAGAGCTTCACTGGGGATTGTTGCCTCTGTGCAAGAATGAAGGTTGGTGACAGCGATTTGCATAGTAAGATTTCCATGTAACGCAGAAACTATAATCAAATCTGCCTTTGATGGCACTGCGATACCACGTGCTTTTCTCTGCAAAACTTTTCTTTATTCCTTGCCTTCACATCACACGATGTCCATCAATGTATCTACATTTCTCCCCCTTTCCACAGCTCGTGCATATTTCAATTTTAAGAACTGAGAGTTCTATCATAATCCCAGATCTTTAGTTTGTCAAACATGATGCGCATCTTCCTATTAACTTTATCTTGCTCTACAGTATTTCACTAAATTAAAAAGATACGATCTACCTAATTCAGAGATTCTGAATTTTGCTGTACAGTCAGTATTCTCTCTTTTTTTCTTCCAAAGACACATCCACAAGTTGCATCACATTATTAGATGGACCTGTCTCAAGGTTTAATTACTAATTCTATTTGTAAACTGACTGATGCGGTGCCCAGGTTCCAGGAGCTCCTAAGCCTCCTTTCCTATGGGCAGTTCCACAGCAACGCTTCTCTCCTAGAAACATCGCAGCGTGAGTCACAATTTATTTGTGGAAAATACAATCAAAATATACAATCCCTTGCAGAACTGATGAATTAAGATTACTGACCATTAAGAATGCTGGTATCTACTTTAAAATTCTGTAGGCTTGAATCAGAACTAATGTCAGTGCTGTTCTCAGCACGTATGGAAGTTCACGCTACTTTTGTGGATTGCTTTTTTAAAAAAATTATTTAAAACCTGCTTTTTGTGAGAAGTTCAGAATTCATCTTAAAAATTACAAAACAGTAACTGCAGCTGTTTAGAATTGAAGAGCATCTACATTTTCATAAACATCTGAATCTGAAGTTAAAACTCCTGGAATAGCTGAAGAGATTCAACTGCAAATACTCCATTTCCAGGAAGCTAAGAACACCTGCTGAATCGGTATTTTCATCTCCGTGTGAATAGTAACCAATTATTTTCCAGGAGATCTCTTTGTCCCAAATAGAACTGAGGTATTTTAAAAGGTCCAGGCTGTAGAACTACAACATGGCTTTCTCACAAGGGACAGAGGAGGAAAGAGATACCTTTGACTTCAGTTAGTAGCAAAAGTATTTCACCTTATAACTCTTCAGAACGTGGTACAGCTCGATCTCCTAGAACCATCATGCTACGGGATGCAAAAAATAATTTAAACTTGGAAGAATTGTTAAGATGAGTTTTGTTGCGAGGCTGGAATTATTTGCTGATTAAGTTAATATGCCTAAAAAAGCTCTTTTGCATAGATGACTGCCAAGAAATACATTTGCCCTGAAACCATCAAGATTCGTTGCAACCTTAAAGGTCTTTGAAACGAGCCGAGTTTCTCTTTAGCCGAGCACCTGTCAACACCTCCAGGCTACTGGACTCTTCTGGAAAAGCTGAAACTCTGCAGACACCAGTCCAACTTCCATTGTTTGCTGTTCTAAAACCCCAAAATTGCTCTCCTCACACCGCTGACCGTGTAACGCAAGCAACCGGCCTCTTCTGGTGTGAGGAGGAGGAGCTCAGGGTGCAGCAGAGCTGGGGGTGCAGCACATCACGGGCACTGACTCACCCGGCGTGGGAGTCGCTGACGAACCCCGCACACCCCGCTGTCCCCAGCTCTGACAGGAACCCCAAAGGCCAATAAATACAACATTTGCTGAGCTACAGAAGCCCAGTGCAACTGCCTGGAAGAAGCCCAGCACGTCTCTCTGCAGCGCTTCCATATCTGTCCCTAAATTATCTTCTTGCCCAACTCTGTGAATTAATACCTACATTATCAAACTCACAACTGGCTACAAGAAATGAGGAAAAAAAATTCTGAACATCTATTCAGCTGAGTATTCAGTCAAGAACCTTACATCAGATGATGCATTTTTAAAGAATCTTAACAGAACTGCTATTAGAAATAGTTTTTTTCTTGAGGAGTTTTCATATTGAGAACTAGTGCAAGGTCTTAGATGCACTGCCGAAATATATGTGCTACAAAAAAAAAAAAAGATAGTAACCATGTTGGTTCAGTGGAAGTATAATATATACTAGGCTGACCATTAACACTGGGCTTAAACTGGCAGAAAAACTTCCCACCCCAAGTAAGGCAGCTTAAGGCAACAGATACCACAAGTTTCTGTCTTACTTTTTTATATATATAAAAGCAAAGTTTAAAGCAAACAAAATATAGGCTAATTTTTATAACTCTATAGCATAACCCACACAGCACAAACCAGGCCCAAGGGACAACTGCTCTGTTGAAGGTGCATGGTTTGCATAGGACTTGCTGGAACTGGTGCCCACTGCAGAGAGGAGCCGGGCTCCTGCACAACCCGCAGCTGGAGGTGCCCATGCAAATGCTGAAACCAACCAGCTCCTCAAGACAAACTTGTGCCTCCCATGTGTCAGGAGGGAGACTGATGGAAGGAAGTACAGACTGACATGCCCAGGCTTGCAGGCTCCCTTCTCAGCGCTCTACGGCAAACCCAGAAAGGACTTAGACGAAGACAGAGAGATACTTGCATTTCTTAAAAAAAAGAGGTAATACAGTAGAGGAAGGGAATTTCTACAACTAGCATAAACTAATGTGATTGCTGCAAGTATACTCAAAACTGAGAGACTGTGCAGAGTACCTCAAAACTCCATCTGAAGGATAATTCATGGCCGTCATTCAGAACCAGGTTAAAGACACGACAAGAGCTGCTTAAAGCAAGATGGTTAATTAAATGAAGGTCTCCATCACAGTGCTTTGGCTTTAACTTTTTTGACTTGAAGTACTTATGGATTCAATGCAATCCATAAGCATTAGGCAACCAAGAACCTCATGAGCCAGCTTAAAATTTCTAAATTACAACTTAAAAAAAAAATAAATAAAAATCACAGTATTTTTACTTTACTTCCTTTTCCTTTTCTCATGGGCCAACACAACTTCTGAAAACAGCTTGATCAAAGTATTAAAAATCATTTGGTCCACAAAAAGACTAACAAGCTATTTTGTTGCCAGAACTGAAAGCAAAATAGCTGATCAACAGTTAAGACGTGGCCTGATGCTTTTTGTTAATGGAGTTTAAAAACTAGAAACACAAATAAATAAAACACACAGGTTTTCAACATTCCTTCAAGATGTTGTTACACCGAAAATTCCCAGTAGCAATTTCTCAAATGGAAATCTTTGGAATATTATGTGCAATAATTACTCATCATGAAACAAGTTTGGCTTGTTTCACTAAATGCTTGCCCAGCAATACTCAAATTGCTGGTTTGTTTTTATAACCTAGTTTATTTTTCTTGTCCTATTTTAAAATATTTTATGCATGCCGATATTTTAAAATATGGATTATAGTAGACATCTCTGTCTCAGCCTAAGTATTAGAGTAAACAGCAGTGAATCAATTTTGCTTGGAGTTGAATTAGAAGTCTTATCTAGAATGAAAACATTTCTGTAGGCATCTTATAAATACCATTAAGTGCAAGAAGTGCACATTATGACAAAAACAAATTACACCCAAGCTCCACCCTGACATTAAAGAATTTATGGGAGCCAAGACAGCCACCCACAAAGACACTAATATACAGTATCAGCATTAAAACCCTCCACCAGCAAGAGCTAACTTTGAGTGAAGTTTCATATCGGTACATACGACCCTCAAGAAGTAAATTTTAACTTTTTTTCTAGAAAGTTTCAGGATACAAAAATTTACATTAAAAAGCTTTAAATTATGATTAATAATTACACAAAAAACTACTTAAGGTTCACCATTTTCAGATATATCATGTGAAAAGAAGTGAACTGCCCAAAAGCTCAAAGAATTTGTCAGTTAAAGCAGAAAAAAACCTCTTATTGGCATATATAATTGTTGGGGAATACAAGTCATTAATTACGTTTTGATTTCCTTACATTTAGGAACAAACCCTGAAGTCACATACCAGTTCTATTTCACATTTACTTAACAGTTACCTAGGGAAACTCCCCTTTATTTCCTGGAAGCTTCAATAAATAGGAAATAAAAACAACTCAGTGAAAACTCGTTCACATTTTCTTTGGCACAAGAGCTGAAAAATTCCACCAAACCTTTTGTAATACTCCTGGCCTACTCATTACACAGGATGAAGAAAGTAACTCTAGAATTTAGATAAAAGCTCCTTTAAAAAAATAAAATTGGACTCATTAACTTATTAGTTGACGGTCATTTCTATAGACATAAGTCTATATAAGTATATATAAGTATGCCAGCACGGGTGAATAATGGGGAAGAAATCCATTCCACAGTGCTGAAGCCATGGATTAGTGAGCATATTCTGTTCCACATTCTTTCCTCTCTTTAACTGCCTCTATCACAATATTGCGACCAGCACTTACCACTTTCCCATTAATCACCACGCCTGCGAGTCGCGCTCTCTAAACATCCCAACCATTATAAAAGGACATCGGCCTCTGGAACAGGCAGCCAAAGCCAAAGGAATGCATGGTCTTTGCACTCTGATGAACTGGGCCAGACTGGCAGGCTATGGAAGGTGTAACCACCTCCCACAAACCAGAAAACCCCTAGAATCCTACTGGTTTCATTACTTGTAATCAATGCTTTGCAATATGAAAAATAGGTTTTTTGCATCCATTTGCTTACCTGTACAATTGGCGACTGCAGAGCTGGGGGTGGAGGGAAAGCAACAAACATTAGTATTAGCAGGGTTTGCCTGATATAAGTGTTTTCATTTTTCCTCCTGGCATGCAGGGTCTATATATTGTGAGCTATGCAACACTTTGGATTCTTTTTAGAATAAAATTCAAAGGAAAGGTTTTTCTAAAAATAAATTCTCTATATCCATTTGCATTTTACATTCAATTTAACACATTAATAAAGCAGTAAGTTTCTTAATTCCAAAACCTAGCTGCTCCTGCACATACCCTGGAAGCTACTTTGCCTTTTTAAAATGTTATTTGCTTTCCGCAGTTGGCCCCTTTAGAATGATGATATACTGCATTGTGTCAAAATTGGAAATAACTTTGTTAGCTACCAATTAAACAGAAAAACCCTACAACAAAATTTGAAATGTGACTGAAAAATGTTATCTCATTGTTAACATTACAGTAGGCTATCTTCAAAAATCAGAGATTATCAAATTTCTGTGTAAAAAAACCAAATTTTTAGAAAGAAAGAGTTTACACCAACTTCACAGATTAATTATAAGAACAGACCACAGCAGAAACTGGAAAGTATGGTAACAGCTGAAGGCCACTGCACAGTACAGGTGCTGCTGATCAAGCTTTTGGGCATTTCAACATGAGAAAGTGAAATGAGGACAAAGACGCCTTTTCACCCTGTAGCAGCAGCTTTCACCTATGCAGAAAATTAAGCAAGAACTTATGTCCTTTAAAGCACAAGAGGTGAACAGTGGAGCCTGACAGCTCCAGCACCTCGGAACTGGGGCTGAAGGTACTACAGATACTGCAGAAAACAAGTAGGAGCCTGAATGCTGAAGTATTGTCTGTTCCATAAGGTGAAGAAATAGCAGCCAAAAGGAAGGGAAAAAAAAAAAACAAAGGGATGACTTAAGGGACAAGTTGGGCAAAATTATCTCCATAGACTCATTTTAAATTACTATGAGCAGGACAAGACTTTATTTGTCACAAGCAGAGGTAAAGACAATGCACCAGCTGAAATACAGAATATGACTTATATGCTACAAACCTCTGGATGGATTTGCTTAAGTCCCTCCAATGATTCTTCACTGAAATAATATGTTATAGATCTGTAAAGGGATAAAAATTTTTAAGATTAGTTTCCTAATGATGGTATAAATTATTTTTTTCCCCATGACTTCATTGTACTTTCAAACAGAAAAACAATCATGTGATTTCCAAATTATGCTCAACAGAAATATGCAATATTTAATTTTAAATAATTCAGCAAACATGATAACGTAAGTTCTTTCTTTATGATGTAGCAAACTCATTCTCAAAGGGCTATAAAAAATTAGTGTCACTTACTAATAACTTTATAATCAGTAATACACCGATAGTCCTTCTCAGCTCAGCTGTATTTTTGGACTCCCAACACTTCTGTGATTTTTCTATCAATTTCAAGTACTTCCTACTGCTAAAAATGCTCTGCATCTTCTCCTCTAACTTTGCAACTTGCTTGAAAAGGGAACTCTTAAGATAAGCACAAATTCTTCTGCTAAGACACTGCTGGCAAATACTATTCCTATTTGTCAATAATTAAAGCCGTAAAAATCAGTGCACACTTTTGATGTCTATTATTTGTGTTCATCTCAGTATATTTACCTTGTACAAACAATGACAACATTAAATTTGTTAGAGTTCACCACTTCAGATATCTTTGTATGACTGCAACAGAATGTTCTCAGAAGTAAAATAAAAAAGGTTAATCAGAGAGTAATCATCCAACTTTTAGAATGAAAATGACCCAGAAAACCTGTTTGTTTTTTTAAATATAATTCTTCAGTATACATATATTTATAAGTCCTGCAGAACTGTACTTATTTTTGTGAAGATCGCACTCTGGAGTCTTATTTTCCACTACCTTGATCTTAAACAGCTGCTCATCCTAATTTAAATCCCAATGGTATAAAATTTTACAGCTACTGTAACTTCCAAATTCTAGTTTTTGCAATAAGGATTTTCAACCTTTTTTTTCCACAAGTGATTCTTGTGAAAGAAAGAAAAGGTAAATTACTCATTTCTTTAATCGCAACATTAAAGCAAAACATCTCAAATAATGTTGTCAATTATCCTGGCTACATCACCTATATGTAATACACACACATACACTCATATATATGTGTGTGTCTGTAAATATATATATATGTGTATATGTGTGTGTGTATATATACATATATATATATATATATGGCCCAGCACTCAGCAGCAGCAATTAAATCAAAAAGGTATATGAGAAGCTATTTCTCTAACACTGAAGACAAAAGACTGTCCCCTCACCAGGAAGAGAGTACACTTATGGGGAGAGGGGATTTAATCTATATTTAAATGATAACTTTGGACTCTCCAGGTAAGACCACAAATGATCTCACTTTCCTAATGATGAATTTAGACCTAAGGTTATAACATCACTGAATAAGAGGTGAAGGCTTGGCATGACTGATCAAAACAAACAAAATTTCAATGGAAAAGAAGTTCAGTAAGATGGAGATTTCCATAATTATACTCAGGAAGCTTTCAATAGACCAGACATGAAAGGAAAATTTATAGTCGAGATAATCTTGCATTTATACCTATTATTCTCTTCTGCCAGTTTACACAGTGCATGGGTGATCTCAGCACAGGCAAGAATTGCCCCGTGGCGAGTGTGCAGATCCGTGCCCACTGATAAAGGCAGAAGTCTTGGCAAAACTGAAAGAGATTAAAATAATACATATTTTTTTAAACAAAGCATAGTGATAGATCATGGGTCTAAATGTAAACACGTCTGCCTAGAAATAGCATGGGAAAACCATTTCTGGAAAGTCAAGCCAGTTTATCCTGGCCATCATATGAAACCCAAGTTTAAAAAAATATAAGAAAATCCTGACAAACCATACTAAAGCACACCAAGAAACTCTGTACTTGCAGCTAGCACTCTGGAGTAAATAAAATACTATTGTGCTAGTTGAGCGTAAGAGAAATGAGGCTTGCACTTCCATGGAATTTTATTTCCATGCAAACTGCCACCTTCCCAGCCTGCTCCAGGGTAAGATCTGTAAGTAGAGATTCCCTGGGTGTCAGCTGCTCTCTCAGCCATAGGGTGAAGCAGCTGATCCATCCTCAGCATCTCGAGTGGGCTGAGCACAGGATCCTCAATTCACACTGAGAAGCATTTGATCACGCACACACCAAGCCAAAAGGAATTCCTGGGAAGATGTCAGACTGGACAAGACAAAACAGATCCCCCCACCCTTTACGACATCAAAGCCGTATCAAGAAAACAAAAGCTAGGAATTTGAGGGCTGGCTGCCTGAATTCTTGCAACAGAACTGCACCCATTTATTCATCTCAGAATCTTGGAACTGGTAGGGTCCGGTGTAGCCGGAAAACTAGAGTCCAGTCCCCTGGCAGAAAAAGATCTGGCAGTATTTTATAATTTTTGCATAAAACCTGAGAAGTGGTAAAGCTATTAGCGTCACTACACTGTATTAAGTTGCAGGGGAAATCTTACTTTTTATCAAGTCATGGTGCCTGTTCTAAGTCTTCTTGGCGCATTTTTGCTACACAGGCTAGAAGGCTTGGTACGGCCCATTACGCAGAACTTTTTTGTTACCTACCCACATTTGCCATGTACTCAGGAGCCCGTGGAGTAAGATTATGCAGAGCTTTGGTTGAAAGTTCTCGAATAACACTGAAAATGTAAAAAAGCATTTTTGGATTTTTTGGGATTAGCAATTTAGCAGAAGTAATGTATTAAAAACAATAATGTCAGGACGGGACTCTTGTCCCGTACCAAAACAAAGACTCCAGCAATACTAAAAATTACAGTATTCTCTGTCCAACCAATGCTTCCTCCCCTCAAAAAAAGCCAAGAAAACAAAAGAGTGGACCAAACAGAGAGCCTACAGCTAGCTTTTACCTACAGCAACAGAACTCATGGCTGAAAGAGACAAAGAACAACGTACGTGTGGATGGCAGAACCTGAGGGCTCATTCTATGCATTGGCAGGGACACTACAGTAAACTATTATTATTTCTCATGATGCAAACTATTATCAGTACTGATATAATCTCACTTGTGTTCTATGTACATATTTTAATCTTCATGAACACTGCATATGACTAAGCACCATCTCTATGCATGAAATCTACTTTAATTATGATAATTGTATGGTGATGGTGTTTACCCCTCACATACACTATATACCATATAAAAGTGTTTTATTAATCTATTAACAGATTGAGGTCATGGCAAAAAGACAAAATTCATAAGCATGTTTCAAGTGACAATATGCTAGGCAGGTATCAGCTATTACTTGTCCAGTTTCCTTCAGTCAAATGCTATTGCAAACTCTAGTATAAGTAAAATTTACAAAAATAATCTAGGAAAGTATGATACGCAGAACAGTCAATTCCTGGATATTAATAATTAGATTTTATGAACTCACCTATCCCAGTGGTTAATCTTCATGTTAACTAAGTGATCGATCATTGGCTGGGTATACTCAGGAAAGCCAGCAATATACACACTGAAAAAGAACGTCCATACAGAGAGAGAATCAACATCCTTGTGCATTTTAACACAAGCTACTCCAAAGATTTAAATCCTCTAGTTTTAAAGCAACCAAAAAAAATTACTTAAACATGCCTTCTCCTAAATGATATGCAGCTGAATGAAATAATGCAATAGGAAATATTTTACAATTATTCAAAAAAAAGTTAAATCGCTTTGTAGAACTCTTTCAGATTCTCTATAAAAACTACTACACTTATAAAAAGCTCAACAGCAACAAAAAGCAAAAATAAACATTCAATACCCATGGTTACATTTGAAAAAAGATGTATGTGTATATTAACCTGTATAATTATTTCAAATTGGAGAAATGTATCAATGATGCAAACCACAGTATAAAGTAAAATTAAGTTAAAGAAATGTGCTACATCTTCATAAACACAATAGTCTGAAATTGAGTATGGGTTCTCAACTTGTCCTTTTTAATAATCAAACACACACAAAAAGTCAATTCTGACAAAAAAAATAATATTTAAAGCTGCAAAGTCAAGACCTGAGATGTAAGGGAACACCAGAACTAACCCCCTGTTACCTAACCTTACAGCCACACTCGCTTTCCAATCTTCAGATGCATCAACTATTGAAAGCTAAGGTCAACAGAAGTGAAATGTTTTTTCGGTACATCTGATGTGCGTTTAATAATCTTGGAAAGCTAAACAATCAGCAGAGCACGTTTGTGTCAAAACTGCACACACAAAGGAACGAAATTAAGGACACACATATTACCTTAATTTCACCTTTTCATATCTTTTGAGTGATTAACTTTACAGCCATAATAGTGTTCCATTAATATATGTGTGTGTAATTAGAAGCAAAACAAAGACAAAACCCAAATGCTGTTGCATGTTACTATACTGGTATCTGGGAATTCATCAGAAGAGTAGGAATCCTTAAATCCACAGCACAGACCTCAGCCACTTAAGCCAACAGAGGATAGAGAAGTACTATCTACCACGGCTTCGAGCTCTAGAGGGATTAGACACTGGGCTTAACTGGTTGCTGATGCCAGCAGAGAAATGAGAAAATTCATACTCTTTGGTTCCTTTCCCCATTCTGGAAGAACACACCACAACAGACACGCTTCCCCTGAAATATCTGAATTCTCCTCTCTTCTTCATAGTTGCTTTTTGGGTCCTACTTTCAGCTCTCACCATTCTTTCCAACCATTTTAATCTGAACTTCTTTGCCCAACTCAAAGTTGATCTCTTGGGCATGTCTAAAGCCCAATCCCACTTTCAATTTTAGTTTAACTACAATCCTCATCTCTTCTACCCTACTGAGTATTTAATGCAAGTAGCCTTGGATGCAAGTCCAACTTTCCTGATAAAGCTGCTGGTAAGATTTTTGTATTCCATTCTACCAAGACTAAGCAATTTCTCCCTTCACTCTGCTTTTACCAAGCCCAGAACTCCTGGGATCACATCATCTCTTTACTCCCAGTTCATAGAAAATGGGTTTCCTCTACCTTCCACCCTCAGACAGAGATTACCATATTTGAGCTGAAAAAGTTTCAAAAGGGCACCCAGTGTGAAAAACTTGCATAAAAATATTTAGATTTTAAAGTATATAAGCAACTATCTATACACATCATATATATCATATGTATAAATATATATGATAGTGCCTCTCTACAAGACTACATCATCATTTATTAACGAAACTCAAAGTCAGCTGTAGAAACTGACACCCATCTTTTTTGAGTATGATAGTGCCTCTCTACAAGACTACATCACCATTTATTAATGAAACTCAAAGTCAGCTGTAGAAACTGACCCATCTTTTTTGACCTTTTATTGCCCAAAGGAATCGGGTCGTACCAAGCTCCCTACAGAGCATCCCGTGACTGGTGTATCGGGGCAGGGGAAGGACAGCTAAAGGTTTGAGATCTGGAATATGAACCTCAAGCAGCTTTTTCCAGCTACATAAACAATTACACCACCTGAAGGCATAACGATCAGAAAGGTCCATTCTTCCTACCACATCATAACGATACTTGATTTCTGTACAGCCAAATATATGCTTATTTACTTTTCCTTTGATGTTACTCAGGCAAAAATAAGGAAATAATTAAGTATTGACCCAAATAATTACACCCTGCTTGAAGAGCGAAGCGGTGAAGATTTTGGAAAGTAATATAATGAATGAGATGACAAATAGTTTACAAAGAAGAGTTTGATTAATAACTCTCGATTAATAACTTAGTAATCATGCTACACAGTGCCTCAGATTATTTATAAAGAATTTACAAATTCATTCTTTCTGTTGCACAATTTAAAGAAAGACACAAAAATGGAAGAAAGAAATCAATCAAGTAAAAATATTTTTTTACTTATTTATAAGTAAGATTCCTACAAAAACCCTAGAAATCACAACGAAAGGAGTTATGAATGAGCATTTAAAAAAAAAAAAAAGAAATTAAGAATTCAGCTCGCAACAAGTAAGGAGAACATCATTAGTCTTCAAGCCAAAATTATAAAAGAGACAAAATAAAAACTGCTTTGTCGATTTTTAATATTTTTGATTTTTCACTAGTACTAAAAGGCAGTGTTTCAGAAATCCCGTTGACACTGTCTGGATCTAGAGCATCAACCACCGAGCCCCCGCGCTCTCCCCATCTCCGCTCTGTAGGCGGGAGCTCTGGGGAAGGGTGTAGGAGGAGGGTGTGGACCCCAGAAGGAACAAGGGTAGGTAAAAGGTGAACAGATGTACAGCCTGAAATGATTGTGCCCAAAAGGGACAATACAGAGGTGGACAGACCAATAAAAAAAGAAAAAGTCAAGGAGAGGAAAGAGGGTTCCAGTGCAAATAATCTTGAACTGCTCATTGCAAGTCCCAAAGCTGGGGATGGAACATAAACCATCATAGACCTGTTTGCTACTTCTGTTCCCCAAGAATATAAGCTCTTCAAGCCTTTCCAACCTGTTGGCTTCTGAGCAACATGCAACTCTATGGGGCAATTTATCTGCCCTATCTGAAACAGTCTGAATCACCTCCTGTAGGTGCTGTCTCTCTGCCTTGGCTATGGGGAGGCGAGACGCCCCGGCTAGACTGCCTGTCTTGGACAACTAAAGCGAGAACCCAGCCCTTGGCCTTTCTCATCTCCTCATGAGGAAGTGCAACCTTACGTTCACTGTAGTCATCCTGTGCACCCAACGTGCCTCTGAATTCCCCTGACTTCAGCTGTATTGTATTTTCAGATAGCTGACCAGAAGAGAACACAGTATTCCAAGACAAGCCACTGGTTTATAAGAGCACCACACCAGTTTCAGTATTTCCCATTACATTCTTTGCAGACTCCAGACTGCAGTGATCACTTTGTGTTTTCAGACACTGTTGCATACTGTGGGTAGGTTTTCACTGAGCTACCTATGAAAACTATAAGCACTCAAGTTAAAGGTCTACGCACAGACCACAAATTCAACAACTTGCACAAATTATATTTTTAAATTGGGTATTAGTTTATTTTTTTTACCCACATCAGAGCCTATCTGCCACCACAGCAGCCTCTTTTTTTACAACAGCTCTTCAAAATCCCCTCGCCTTCTCTAATCTTGACCAGCTCAGACAGCTTTGTGACAACTGCAAATATTGCCTCTTGGCTGCTTCCTCGCATAGGCAAGGAAATCACGGGCACATTTTCACTGTGCCTTATGCATAATAAGCAGTCTGATGCAGAAATAAGAAAAATAAAATTGTAATTTATTCAAAACCAACAGTAATAAACACAATGTTCAGTAAGGTGAAACAATCAGACAAATATTTCATTATGTAAAAGAGGTCCCTCATGTTTAGGAAAACTAATGTTTGCAAACTTACCTTATAGTCAGATAACAGTTAACTCTGTTACCAACAGCAAAATAATCAGCTGCAGTTAGAATGTCTATGCCATGGGGAAAAGTGCCCTACAAACATCATAGGGAAGAGGGAGGAAAAGAAAGAAAATATTATTTAAAAACATAAAATACTTTCCAAATAGGCAACATTGTTGAAAACATATAAAATTAGGCATCAAGGAATGCATCACATGTAGATCACATGGCAGTTCAATTACTTCTATTTGCTTCTACTTACAAATACATTTTATGACTTACTTATTAATGAACTAAAAAATTGGGGTTAGTGTTTTTAGAAAGAATATCAGTTTCCCAGCAAAGCCTGAAACATTGAATCCTACAGAATTATCACACTTCTGACATCGCAGCTCAAAAATTTCTGGTTTTAGAAGAAAAATTCTCTTTGAATCCTACAGAATTATCACACTTCTGACAATGCAGATCAAAAATTTCTGGTTTTAGAAGAAATATTCTCTAAATATGCAAAATTTGCCTTTTTATATAAGCAATACAATTCAGATATCCGGAACTTTGATTGGCTGTGACTGACTAACACAGTATTACGCAGCGCAGCTGTGTTTTGGAACGGAGGAGGCAGCAAAGCCTCCAGAGGCCATAATTAAGTACAAATGGAAAATAGCCAACTGAAAGACAGCATGCTCCCTTCCCAAAGGGACAATCATATGGTATTTAAGCAATAAGGCTGTGTGGAAGTACAGGTTCTGGATAGGATACAGTTTTGTTTGTTTACAGCTCAGTCATCCCTTCCACATTAGGCTACAGCCATGCAAAAATGTAGAAAATATCTCTAGATCTAAGCCTGAATAACTGAAGAAGTAGATCCTGCAGGTAGTGGGAAGCTGTCGGCTACTGTGGAGGTCTCATTCTGGGAAGCATAATTCCAACAGTCCCAAAAAACAGGCCTGGAATCTGTCTGAACCAAGGACAGACAGAATATTTATGGCTTATCCAAGAGACTACCTGCAAGCCCTCATAACTGTGAAATTAATGTACTCTTCAAAAGCCCAATGAACCACCGATCAGGGAGAAAAACGCACCCATCAGTCCCAAAAAACAGGCCTGGAATCTGTCTGAACCAAGGACAGACAGAATATTTATGGCTTATCCAAGAGACTACCTGCAAGCCCTCATAACTGTGAAATTAATGTACTCTTCAAAAGCCCAACGAAACACCCATCAGGGAGAAAAACGAAATGAGAAATAGCTGGGTATGATTTATAGCCAAACAAGATGGCAGACAAGTAAATACATAAGAATGCATGCTGTACTCAAGGGAAATCACAGCTAAGCAATTGCAGTTCCAGCTCCTAGTTGGAGCTTGCTATTTATTACTTGGCTGTAAGTGTGCCAATTTGATGCCATCTCACCGAAGGTGACGGTGCGGCGGTACATGTCGGGAAGACGGCAAAATTCCTGAAAACAAGTTCAAGAGTACAGAGGTCATGGCCGAGGGGAGCAACAGACCTCAGGGGAAAAACTACCCCTTTCTATTCTGTCAAAACACTTACAACTTATTTCTCCAATACAAAAGTTTGTCTTATTAAAAGTATGTGCATTTCTCATGGTTTAGGCTTAAAAAAAGCCTTCAAATTTTTCAAGGTTTTCATTTAGACGAAGTGGAAGTTGCAATGACTGTTTTTTCTGAGGCCATAGAGGCGCTGGGGCTTTAAAAAAAGCCTTCAAATTTTTCAAGGTTTTCATTTAGATGAAGTGAAAGTTGCAATGGCTGTTTTTTCTGAGGCCATAGAAGGCAGCGCTGGGGCCGAGGACGGGCCGAGGCAGCAGGAACTGGGAAAAGGGCCAGGTCAACTTTCTTCTCCACCTATTTAGTAGCAGAGGTTGTTACTTCAGCTGGAGAAAATGTTTTAGCTCCTTCCAATTCAGAGAAAGGGTGTCTCTTTCAACACATTACATCCAGGTAAAGAACTACAGAGGGTGTATCTACCGATGAAGTAACCATTTTCCTAGGCAGTAAGGAATGGTTCCATAAGTAAAACTTCTGAACTTCTACAGGAACCAGTTGGAGACTGATAGCATTCTTCATGCCATGAAAACTTAGTATTTCATGGTAAACTCCTCCTTAACGTGCCAATATATAAGCTAAAATTGTTGTATGTTCTACCAACACAAATTTGCATCTTGCCTCAAAGCAGAATCAATACGCAAACTTTCTGGTTGTTAACTAACTTAGACTGTGCTCCTCTGATTAAGAAATAAGAAACTCCACAAGACCTACAGCTGAACTTCTACAGGAACCAGTTGGAGACTGACAGCATTCTTCATGCCATGAAAACTCAGTATTTCACGGCAAACTCCTCCTTAACATGCCAATATATAAGCTAAAATTGTTGCTTGTTCTACCAACACTGACAAATTTGCATCTTGCCTCAAAGCAGAATCGATACGCAAACTTTCTGGTTGTTAACTAACGTAGACTGTGCTCCTCTGACTAAGAAATAAGAAACTCCACAAGACCTGCAGTACCCAGACCCCTATTTCCCCTGGAACTGCAGTCCCTGAGGGTGTTTACTTCCTTGGGTTGCTCCTGGAGTGGGAGCAGCAGGAGGTGCTGGGTGCTGACCAATGGCTCCGGGCATTGACTACAGACCAGGGAAGAATCACGTTGGCTTCCACTTAGCACAGACCTACTTGGGTCAGGCCACCAAAAATAATTAACCTCTTCCTCCTAGTCTTCTCACACCCCTTCTCTGCTATTAACCTAACTCTATCTAGAAATACACCAGTTAGGGACACATTTCTTAATGCCTGTAGCTCTAAAGGAATAATATCCTAGCTCATAACACAGAGGTCTTCAGGAATGCCATCAGGGAAAACAAGACAGCATTTTAACAAACATCCCTTAAAGAATATCTCATTGAGAATAAAATTTGCTTTAACCATGCTCGCGTGTACCGCTCTGGCACAAGAACCACTGAATCATCTTCCCCCACTTTTGCCCGCCCCTCTAAGTTGTATATTCAGCTTTATTAGTTCTGATGAGAAACCAGAAAACTTTAAGCTCCAAGCCTTGACCCTATTTGCTTCTCCTCCAAGGTTGTAAATCAAAGTTGTTTGAGCGTTTTAACTACTTAAACATTGTGAAGTTACATAAGAACCTACCACAATACTTTTTTTCAAAGCACTTAGGTATCTCCAAAAGTAACAGATTCCTTAAAATATCTAGACAGTAGCATTAGGGTACAACAGGCAAACCCAAACACTGAGTTGAGGACTCTCAAGCCCAGTTCACTGTTGTGTCACCAACCACAGCAAAGACTGGGCAGCACACTTCAGCTGTCCCACTTCTACTGAAAACCAAAAAGTCAATGAAAGAAAAGAATAACCATAAAATTGGGCTTTTTCCTGCTTTAAGAGTGTTGCCATTTACAAGGTGTGTAATTGCCATCATATATGCTGGGTTTGCTCTTCAGAATGACTTAAAATTACCAGAAAGATTGTTTTCTTCCAAAACCAGAATACTAGAATAAAACTCACATCTTAGGAAAACATTCCACAAGAACCTGTTTGCTGATAACAAAAATAATTATTTTGTGACATCCTTTTGCTCAATTTCTCTGAAGCCACAGCGTCTAATTTTGATTTTAGGTGCTACAGGTTTACAGTAAGTAACCTCCAAGGCAGGAATGAATGAAGATTGAGGGAAGTCACCATACCTGTCTCCCAACATTCTCCTGGAAGGCAGCCTAAGGAACAGAGAACAAACATACCAAAACGAGTCAGGTTTGCTTTTTGATAAACACCAGATGATGAATTCAAAACATACAACAATATAAATGACCCATGGCTTTTCTTTTTTAAATAAAGTAAGCTTTGTCAGTAGAACAAGCCCAGAGGGCTTTTTTGTTTCTGCGTCTCTACGTTCTGGTGTTCTTAAAGCTGTATGTTGCATGACAGCAGTTTAAGAATGCAAGTTTATTAAACCAGTCACACCCACAGGAGTGCTTTTGAGTAGTGACACAAGGCTTCGCACTGGAATTGAAAGTCAATACCAGCAGACAACAGAAATTGAGCCAGCTCACTTCTGTCTGACTACTTCAGCGCAATTTGCTAACAGTAGGCAAAATATGATTCTTTGTCAATGACAGCTTCAGACAAAGAATATCGCGAATGCAATACTTACTTGAAAGATACACATCTGAAAACATGTCAAGACACTGAAATTCTAAAACCTGAAGATAAAATTCGTGTATGTTTCTTGTGTTTTGCATTAAATAAACTCAAAATCTTGCACCGGACACAACCATAAAGTCAATCTCTCTACTTGTAACTACAGAGAATAAAACCTACTAAACTCTCCTCCCTAGTTGAATTTTCTCCCTCTCCCAAAAAAAACAGGTTTTTTTTTGTTCCTTAAAAGACTATATAGTCATAAATCTAATAAAACCGGTAGATTTTAGCACTTTTCAGAGAGGAGAGATTATCATTTTCTGGATGTTTCTCTTAGGGAACGTCACTCTCTCTACAAACACAAAGCCCCAGCGATGGGCAGCACTTGTCACCTGACAGTTATCTGCTATTTAACGTACGGGGGGAAGTCCAAATCTTTACTGAAAATGCCACAAGAACTTTGTCAGGCAGAGCTCCTGTATTTCCTCCACAAATACTGTACGATGTGGCAATGCAGCTGTAAAAACAAGAGGTTAAGTTAGCTCACCGGGGGATCGTACTCCACTTGTGGAGCAAGCGCTCCCAGCGCAGGGGTGAAGCAAGCCCTAATGCAGCCCGAGTCTCTGAGTGCGTTTCTGGGGTTACGGCTGGTTCGGATAACGATTCCAGTTCCTCTAGACTTGCCCAGGCTCGTTTGGCTTCTGCTTGCAGTGTCTCCATGGCGGGACACGTAGCCCAGGCTGACTCTAAACCACTCACCAGCCGTCTCACAGGTTTGGGAGCCCACCTTAGCCCAGTCCCAGTGGCAGCCAGGCTGCCAGCGGTGGCCCCAAGGTAACCAGTTGAGGATTGCCTGCGGCAGCACGGCATGGGCCATCCGCAGCAGTGGCAGCGTGGCTACACCCTTGGGCAACACATACACAGCCTTCCTGAACAGGAACAGGAGCTGCAGCAATGCCCTCCGCTCCTTCATCGTTGCGTGCTGTAGCCCAGCTTCTCACATGGGTTTGTTCCTCCTGACCTCTCCACCAACACACGCCCCAGCCAGGATTTGCCAGGACATCGTCTCATGTCACCAAGCATCAGTTATTTCTTTTTACTCACCTGATAGCATTAGATCCCCGTATGCTATTGGGACCTTTTACTCAGCATAGGGAGGGCTCAGCAAGGATTATGCTCTCAACTATCATATCCAAGGGATTCAATAATCACTGCATTACCATTTCTTTTAAAAATATACTGTTAAGTACCTTAAAGATAAAAAATCTGTAAAGCCTTTTTCCCCCCCCTTTTTCCATCAGAAACTATGTTATCCAAGCAATGTAAATCTGTTCTCAAACCAATGAAAGTTTTATTCTACTTACAATGTATCCATAGGCCCAGGAATTAAATTTATAGCAGCAAAATCATTGAAAAAAGATATATAGGGGCCTATAGACAATGCTACAGCAAAAAAGCTGTTGTACCTAAAGATTTCACACGGTTTGTTTACTTAATGTAGGAATTTTAAAATTCCCCTGCTATATCACCATTTCATTTTTTAACTCAGTAAAACAATCACAAAGATCTAAGAAATAGTCCAGTAGCATGACAAAAATACTTAGCAATCATCTGATGTATTAACAGCTAATGTTAATTTAGACCTAATTGATTAGGGTTTTTTATTAAAAAAAATACAACTGTAACCACTGCTTACAAGCATAGGTATTAGTATTGGCTTACTATAAATATATTCGTCAATGATTTCAATTTAATAGCCTTGGAAATAGCCTGGCTCTGTACATTGCACAGAAAAAGTTAGAAGGAAATGCATCACCACAATATTATTCTGTTAAAGCTTTGTGAGAGAAAGTAAAATAGAAATATAAAAACAATAAAATATATTCTTCATCCAAGAAGCAATTTTCTAGAGATCATTTAATGTTGACAGAATTCCCTCCTTGTTCCTTTAGAGTTTTTTATTGTTTCACAAGAGTTTTCTTCATAATACTTCTGAGATTTTAAAAAAACTGAAAATGATACTATTTAATCACACTTTCAAACAACTGCAAATTCTTAAAAGATGCCAAATATTTCAATTGTTTTGTAATTATTTTTTTCTTACAATCCCCTTCTGGAGACAGAAAAATTGGATGCAAACATCTTAATTTAAAGATTCCACAATATCAGAACCAAGATGACCAACTGGACTTGGAACCTGGATACTTGGCTGTTCCCACAAAATTGGAAAAAATATTAAAACATTCTACAAGTCCTGATTTTTAAAACTATCAACCAGCCAAGAGGGAAAAAAAACCAACACCTTCTCTAAGACGTAAGAGCCGAATGGAGCCCAATCCGCGATCGCTTATTCATGTGATTATTCCTTATAATGATTATTCATGAAAGCGTTGCAAAAGTCAGCTCAGAACACTTCTGGAGCTTCAAAAGAACAGTCTGGTTTTATTCTCTCTAACCTCAGGGTTCAAAATATCTCTATATGCTATTTTGTTTTATTGGTGCTCTGCATTATAATATATTGCATATTGTAATAGATGGAAAATCTAGTAAAACACGTTGTTTATTTAAATAGGTATTTAACTGTAGTAATGACTGGAAATAATTAGGACTCCCAGGTATTTTTCTTCAAAATTGCAGTAATGCCCGGTGACCATGAAATATTTCTTTGCCTGACTTTCTAAAATGAGAAAAAAAAAATTCAGTACTTTCCTAACTATTCATCAAAACAGAAATTCCAAATTTTGACCATCTCTAAATCAGAATGTACTAATGAATTAATTAATTTGTCTGGAAATAAATGTATTACAAAATGCTCAATAGCTTGGTTTAAAGTAGAAGAGGAAAGTGAGACAAAAATGTACTGTGTTTTGTACTCATTTGACACGTGGAAGCACAATCTGCACTAAGCTTGTAGCATTAGGAAATGTAACTGGTTTAGCATTATATTTCACGGTCAAACTATCGGTTTATGTTTAAGCACAGAAACATCACAAAGATTACACACGACAATTAGATTGAGCCACTCAAACAAGCGGTACATTTCTAGTGGCAATTATGTTACAAAGAATTCTCCTCTTTATATATGTCACCACTGATTCCTACGCTAATTCCTATAAAGCAAACAAATAATTCACTGTTCACCACTCCAACTTAATGTTTTGTGCAGTTCTCAGGAAACCAAAGCTACATTTGTTCTCCTCTAAGGATTCTATTTGAATAAAGTGACTTAAATTAGCCAAGAACTGCAAATTATACAGTTTCTAAAATTTGGGGGGGTTTGGGAGCAAGAAGCATTGCTGGTATTCATTAGTTGTACAATATGTGAAGAATATGAGTAGTCAGCGACCGACAGCACCTGAGCTTCCCAGCTTTGGTTTTAACCTATTTAGACAAAGCGATTTGTGATACCATTACACAAGCAACTGACTCACTTCCCCAGCAATTATACTGCAGCTTCATTCAACAGCTTAAACTCTCCAGCAGAGGTGTGGTTAGAAAAAATAAGGATGCTATCCAGGTATCCCTGAGAAATGCTGCTTATGTTATAAATGCATTAGCTTTCAAAATTTCAATCAAAAAATAAGAGAGACCCATTAAATAAATCTGCACATTGCAAAGAAAGCCTTTTTTTGTTTGTTTGTTTTAAATGCCTTCACAGTAAAGTTTATTCTTAGGAATTGAGACCTGGTTCTTTGACATTGTTTGGTCCTGAGCTAATACAGTTATAGGGTGTGGTTTTTTACATTTGCATAAGATAATCTGTTTTATCTGTTGAAACAGATAACTCATACTTCTTTCTTTTTCTTTTTTTTTTTTTAAGAAAGCAAGTTCAATATATACAACACACTGACTTAAATTCTCAAAGATAAGATGTCCATTCTTTCTTCTTCTCAAGTTCCATCGTCTCTACTCTATAAATTCCATCCTCTGAAGAACAATCAAACATACTTTTTAATTCTCAACAGCACAAATATTTTCTACAGAAAGGTTCCACAGAACACACTTTGGTGTCAGTTCTATTAAGCAGAAAACAGTATCTGCCTAATGGATTTACCACTTTCTTTTAAAAACTTCCAGTCCTCTGGAAAGAGTTTTGTACAATAACTGAAAATGTGTTTGAAGGAGAGATATTATTCTCGAAATGTTCAACTTACCTCAATTACAGAGTAACAGCTGATGAACAATTAGGAAAGTATAACTGCAAAAACTTACCAGCTTGGGGACTTGAAAAAGACACAGTCACAAATGACCCTTTTGTCTTCGATATTGTGACTAGAAAAATGCTAAATAGCTCTTTCTCAGATACTTTATCTTATCCATCACGACAACAACACAGCAGATCATGAACTGTGGCCATAAATCAAGATGTGGAGCTGAGGATTATATAATTTAAAACCTAAATGCACACCATGCTTCTAAGTACAAAATACTGCTTACATACCATAGTTCTACATAGTTAAGTCTATAAATTAAATGAAAAGAAACAAAAAATAACAGAAACATATAAGTTAGAATGTGATAACTTACAGAAGCAGCTCTTCTGCAATTAACATCACGATCAAATACTGCAGCAATAACCAGTGCACTGAGGAAATAAAATATTGAGTATTAGTATAAAAATAGGAAAAGAAATGTGTAACACTATCATTTCAACATTTAGTCTTCTAAGCGGAACACCCAGCATTTCCTTTAAGGAGCTTATTATTTATAAATACAAGCCTCAACTAAAATTTGAGTTGAAACAACCACGTACTTCCTTGTTTCTCTACTTTGCTGTGGACTTTCCAGAGCGTAAACAGACAACTGTCATCCTACTGTATCAAAGCAATTTAAGGAGTATGCAAATACATTTAACTGCATAGAAAAGTTCTCTATTTTAAATATACCAGGAGTTTAAACTTGGACATACCTATCCCCTCTAATGTGAGACTCATACAGTGCAATTTTAAATGAAAACTTGGAAATACAGTTTCTCAATAGCCAAACGCATGGCAAGTCTTAGGTAAGGCTTAAGCAAATCTAAAAGTTAAGCAATGGAAACTTGCAGCTATCTCTGCAAGAACAATCACATCCTGTAAGTAACAAAAATCAGAAAACAATATGCAAATCCTGCTAAAAAGTGACCTGAAAGAAAAATTGCAAAGCAGTTTTTTTTAGAAGTGACCTGTAGATACAGAGGCATGATTACACGAAACTATTTCTTTGTGCATGAAGTCTGGTAACCCAGCACAGTTTAATTCTTCTACCTCAAAAGAACTGCTTTAAAAAGGTGTGCTACACCACAGAAGAGAGAGAATATATCGCAGGACACAAAGTCTACAGCTGTAGAAATCCACCTCCAGCATTCAATTAACTTCAGTGACAAATAAACATCACTTCAGGAGAATCATTTAAGCAGAAAATTATTCCTTTCAAACTCTGAAACTTTTCATTACATTACTTACTGACTCCAGGCAAAACAGGAAATAAATATTGGCTGAAAAGTAAATCCACGATAGCTTTTCTTTAGCATAAAGATATTAATTACACTGATAATATCAAACTTCCCTGGGTAGTGGCTATCAGTTTCCTACAGTGAAGAATACTGTGTTGTTAAAATTCACTGAAATGCACAATCCCTTTTGCCTCTGTCATTTCAGTTTACCTCCATTCAGGAAAACAAGAAACAGAAAGCAAGAACAAAATGAAAATGAACCCAAATAAATTGTTTAAGACAGCTAATGCTTTCTTCTTGATACCTGCATGAGCAAATTCTCTCTCTGCCACAAAGACATTAGGTGATTATGAAACATAAAGAGGTCACCCAAACGATAGTGATTAGAAGAGCAAAGGTTTGGGAAGCATTCCTTACGAAGCAGCAGACATGGCTAACTGCTGAAAAAGTGCTGGGTCAAATATATCATCTTCATACCACGTTTGCTCATTTTCTTCTCTGGCATCCAGAGAAACTTAAAAATAGTTTTAAAAGGACTTTTCATAAGTACCTAGTTTTAATGATATGAATAGCTCCCATAAATCTTTTATAGAAGAGAACATTCAAACCTAAGGAAGTGGTTGAAAATCATCCTGGAAAGCAAAAAGAAATAAATTTCTGCCTGACAATTCCAATTATATGGGCTATAAGATAAAACATTATTTTATCAGTTATGGAATATTTCATTATTGTTCTCTTCTGAGAAACAAACAAAATCCAAACCCCCCCAAGCTCCTGATCAAGCCAGGAGTCTCAGAATGCAGACGCTGCCCTCGCTGTGCCAAAGGAGCCCTGCAGTGACGTGTCACAGGGTATTTCAGAAGAGCTGTGCTGGGTCAGACCAAAATCCTTCCCAGTCCCTGTCTTGTCTCCAACAGTGGCTCAAAAGGGACACTTAGGGATAAGTGTAAGGACATACATATTCAATATTAACATACTGCTTTGAAAGAACATGCAGTCTTTTCAAACTGAAGAATAAATACACCTCTTTGATTTTCATATTTAGACTTAAAAATGTGGTTTATTAAATGTAATGGAAAACAGTTTCAAGTTATTACACAAAAGAGTTTCTAGCCAATATTTCAGCTTATAATCAAATTGTACTTTTTCCATTTTTTCTTATTCTTCTGTTACTTTAAGACAAGCCTGTATAAGTAAAATCAGCAAAACAACATACTGTCTATGTGATGCCACCCGAGTTATTCAGTGCTGCAACAGAATACCACATTTAAGAAAAACAAAACAAAAAACGCCAGGACTTTTGTCATTGCTCCCGTAGCCCCATTATATTCATAAATTATACTGTAGTCACTGTTTTATGTTAATGCTTTTAATAGAAGTATTTTAAGCTTATCAAACTACATGAATACTTTTTTCAAGTTAATTCCTATTTGAAAATGCAGGCACAGTTTGCTGTAACACAGGGATTAGCAAGGAAAGCAACGTGCCTAAGATGAAACATGTCTAAGGTGTCTTCACCTGTCTGCTTTGTCGTGGGAGTTTATGTGATACTCCACCAGGATTTCCTAATATAAAGAAACTGTTTATGTCAAACAAAGTGGAATATTTTTTTTTAAGCTAGTTAAAGAATCATGTCTTGACTTGCCTGAAACGTACCACACCTGACTACTAACAGGTAGAGCAAAGAATGGCTTTGCATCTTGCAGTCTCTACGAAACACCTTTTGTAGTTCCTTGAGGTATGTTTAACCTGTATGCATGACAAGCAGGTAAGCACACAATAAACACAAGTGGACTTTAAAAAGCAACCTGCAATTCTAACAGTCAACTAAAAATTCTCCCTTTCTTCCCTATCCCTTCCCCTCTCCCCCAAGTACTCACTTAACTGGCTTCAGAAAATGTTAAAAGGATGTTAAAAGTATGTTACTGGCTCACTTCCTCAGCCCAACACTGATCTCATTACCTTCTCCCAACAAGGCAGAGAGAATCAGAGCAGAGCCCAGCCAGGTGACACACATCAGAACACAGAAGTAGCAGAAATATCTGGTTACCCTCTCCTTATAAGCACCAGAGGGTACCAGACAATAAATCTGAATTTCCTTTATCACCTGTAGCAGGTACTTCTCATCCATACTAGTCACAAGCAGCAAGAAGCTTATCCCATTGCTAACCTCTGAGAATTTGCTACTATTAATTCAAACATACCACCCTGAAGCTGCAGGAAGAAAAAAAAAATAAACTCTCAAAGCTCCTGCCAATTTGGCACAAAACCAAAATTTCCTTCCTGAGCCCAAAAAAGGGAAAAGTCTAACTTGTAACAGGGCAGAAAACTCTCCTCCCTACTATACATTAGGGAATTAAAGGCATAATAATTATCACAAGATCACAAGTAAAATTGTTTTGCACAATTTGAGCCAGTTAAAAAAAGGGGGTGAGACCAGTCAGACCTGAGTCTATCGAGAGCTGCAGCTGCCAACAGCCCTTTTTGCACCCTAGTCGTGCCAGTACCCCAGCTGGAGTGGTTACATAGTGAACTGCATAATGAAAACACATCCAGGCTCCATTAATTCTTCTTTTGCTACCTTTTTTTTTTTTAAAAAAAAAAAAACAAAACAGAGAAGCTCCCCCATTCACTTTCTCACATGCATCCGTGCTACACTCAACTGCAGGAGCAGCACAGGTGAAGCAGAAGAGGCAGTTTCAGCCAGCACTGCTGGGGGAAAAACCCTGCAGACCAGTCTCAGATTTAATGCCTCCTGCTTATCAAGGTAAGGAGAAAATCTGCAGAAAAGGAGAAATACAGAAACCATTCCCCCTTCCATAGAGGATACTTTCACAGTCTCTCTAACCCCTTACACTTTCTGCTAGCCACCCAACGTCCTAAATCTTCAGTGGGTTACTCATATCCCAAAGTTTTGGGGTACAATAATGAAATTAAAATAAATACACATGTTGAAAAGAGCATGAAAATGCTGAGAATAGCAGTTACAAAGGCTGCTGTTAAAAGAAAGAAAGAAAAGAAGGCATATGATGCTCCTGGGGGAAGTATCTTTACCCATGTGCAAGACACAGTAGGCACACAACTCTCTTCTGAAGGCAATATCCAAGTACATAAAAGAAAAAAAGCTACTCTCAATATTTCATCATGGTACAAGATGTAGCTCAAAGCAATGCTTCAGATTTCCCCAATTCTGCAGGACAATCTTGCCCTGGAGCGAGCTACATCATTCATCCATAGCCACACCTTCCTTTTTATTTTCCCCTCCCTCTCCAAAACCGAGGCACCACCGCAGGGGAGACAAAGCCACCTGCGCTGCTCGGCTGCGCGCACGCCTCCTGCTAGTGCTCTGTGCAACGGGAGGCAGCAATTAGATCTTTCTAAGTAACGATTCATTTATTGATTACCTACACCATCGAATGACAGACAAATGAAGCTACAGTCTGACTGCGCAACCGTTCCACATGATTGAGATAGCCAGCAACAATTTAATCGCTGTAATTGTATAATAGAGTACAAATATGTTTTCCTTTTTATTTTTTGTTTAGGTTTTAAACAAAACAGCTCAGCTTCTTAGTGTGCACCTGCTGCTTTAAAGACAGTAACTTCCACACCCAAGGGGGCAGGAATCAAATTACCCGTATTTCCAAGTTATTACATTATGTTTAACTTTCCTCACAGGTAAGCTTAAAAAGAAAGCTCGCATGTAGAGACTGGGAGAGAAAAAGATCTCCGTCAAGTAGTGCTTTTATAAAGATATGCTTGAATGGCAACTTCAGTGCATGCAAGTGTTTCAAAATGCAGTAAGATTATCCTGCAATAAAAGTGAAGTTTCATCTACTTTGCCAAGAATTTTCTTTCTGTGGTCCCATAGTTTGAATAGATCAGGCAAGGTTTTAGAAACCAGTTTAACTGGACTTTAAAAAAATAAATAAGCAAATGTGAGTAAGTGTATCTTGTTGAAATACAGATAGGGAAAAGATACTGAAGTGTAAAAATAAGAGCAAGTACTAGTAGAAATACTCTCGGGCAAGTATTCCTCATCAGTGTTGTCTAAGTGTTGTCTATCTTTCTCTTTTTTCTTAAAAGAAGAATGGTTAAGGTCAGGAAGGAAATACAAAAGCCAGGAAGAAAAAGGCCTGATCTGTGATCTACAGCAATCTAAGTTTCTAACTTCAATATTCTGATCATTTCATCACTAATGACAGAACATTTGTGAGAAAGCAGAGAAGAAATAGCTATCACTGAATATAGAGACATATTTCTTTCCAAAGTGTCACAAAGTTTACAAAAAAAATATGACTTTATACAGTTTAAGGTGATTTTTCACTAGTCAAAAGTGATGTATTTACATCCCTTGACTACAGAAAACAATATCTTTCCATTATATGACAATACAACTTTGCAAGCAAGAAAAGGAAAAAAAAATAAAATTCCCAAATTAGCACTCTGCTTTAATTAGCAACTGCAGGACCACAGTCTGAACGGGTTGCGAGGCAGGACCCAGTAAAGGAGCATAATTCTTTGGTATTTTTGGTACCCAAGTGAGTTTCCTGACAAGACACACTAACATGTGCCAGGAGACATGTGCAGGGAGACACGAGGCAGCCCACTGGTCAGCCCAACACCTTCCAGTTACCACCAGTGTAACTGGCTGTACCGTGACGACTGCCCTGCCTCTCCGGTCGGAGTGCAGCACCCCGGTACCTCTACCTGTGCTCCTCCAGCCAGCTAACACCAGTGTTACAGGAATAAACCATAAACCATTGGCAACTTCTAGCACCAAGACAAGCAAACAGTCCAGGACTGCAATCACACATTACGTTTTTTTAAGATGTTAGCAGTTTTCCTTTCAGGTAAATGATTTTTTATTTTTTCTTTAAGAATCTAATAAGTTTGTATTGTTATACAGGCAGATGTTTTTGCTGTGTAATTCAGCTCACAATGGATATTATGTACTTTGTTTCAAGATGCTGAGTTCTGCATTTTTTATGGGTAGCAACAATTTGCTTGTGGCTAGAAGTATGACTCTTCTTTAAGTAAAACAGTGACACACCTAAGGCTAGATTTAAAAAAAAAGCTGTATGTAATTATCGGCTTGCTGACACAATAGGTGAAACTCTGTGTCATACTTTATTTGAATATATTTTTTTTCACCATTTCTCTTTGGAGCAGCAATTCTCCCTTCAAGAGTTTATTATATTTGGAAGGTAAGGCCAACATAACTACAAGGATTTTTAAGGAAAGCCTTAATAGAGCGTTAATACTTGCTAAAACACTGTGCAGCTTTGTTAGAAAACTAAGCATATACAAACTACAACACCTTACAACAGACCAGAAGCAATTCTCAGCTTCCCCCCTGCCAGCCACCTTGGGTTTCTCTCCACCAACTGTTTCCAAACAACTGAAGTTGTCAGAGCAGGCATTGCCAGTGTTAATTGCTATTACAACCTTAAGTAAAAGGTATCAATTATTTTCACTTGACATTTTCCCAAAAAGAAAAGAAGAATTTATTTCCACAACTGCCTGAAAGTAAAAGACAGGAAATTCTTCAGAAACATAATTCCCATGAGTTTAAGACAGCAGTGAATAATCTGCACATGCTGTTCAGAGCATTTGTTAATGTTCTGTGCCTTCACTGCTACCATTGCCTGTGCTAGTTAGATTAAAAATTGGAATACAACACAAAATGCAATCACATGAGGATTTCACCGTGCAAACACATCCTTAGGGACCTCTATATTAAGAATTTCATACTATATGTAATGTACTCTGAACTCAGCTAGAAGGGATTTCACCGTGCAAACACATCCTTAGGGACCTTCATATTAAGCATTTCATACTATATGTAATGTACCCCGAACTCAGCTAGAAAATTAAATATGTCCTTTCACAAGAAAATAATTCCTTAACAATTTACTATGGAGAATACCACTACTTCTAGCACACTTAAACTGCGGCAGGTCTTTTCTGGAGCACTGTATTCTCTTTCTGAAAGTCACAGAATCAGTCATAGAGTCATAGAATGGTTCAGGTTGGAAGGGACTTTAAAACTCACCCAGTTCCAACCCCCTGCCCTGGGCAGGGACACCTCCCACCAGACCAGGTTGCTCAAAGCCCCATCCAGCCTGGCCTTGAACCCCTCCAGGGATGGGGCAGCCACAACTTCTCTGGGCAACCTGGGCCAGGGTCTCACTACCCTCACAGCAAAGAATTTCTTCTTGAGATCTCATCTCCATCTCCCCTCTTCCAGTTTGAAGCTATTACCCCTTGTCCCATTGCTACACACCCTTGTAAAAAGACCCTCTCCAGCTTCCTTGTACACCCCCTTTAGGTACTGGAAGGCTGCTATAAGATCTTCCCAGAACCTTCTCTTCTCCAGGCTGAACACCCCCAACTCTCTCAGCCTGTCCCCACAGCAGAGTGGCTTCCAGGCCTTCACCATCTTCATGGCCTCTTCTGGACCTGCTCCAACAGGTCCACGTCTTTCTGCTGTTGGTGGCCCCAGAGCTGGAGGCAGCACTGTAGGAGTTCTCCCCAGAGTGGAGCAGAGGGAAAGAATCCCCTCCCTCACCCTACTGGCCACGCTGGTGGGGATGCAGCCCAGAAACACTGGATGGCATCATGTTCCAGCACAGCTCAGTGTGACAGAACTCCTCTCCTTTAGTTTGTATTCTGTTGTAGATGAGACATGATCAGAACAACACACACTGGATGGCATCATGTTCCAGCACAGCTCGGTGTGACAGAACTCCTCTCCTTTAGTTTATATTGTGTTGTATATGAAGAACAACATGAAACTGTTTTATCAGAGACACAAGGCTAAGATGTCTTAGAAATTTTGTCTGCTCACTTCAGAGAAAACACACGACAGCTTAAAAAAAAAAGAAAGAAAAACAGCGTCTGGCCTCAAGAAAGTTGACAGCAGGTTCTTAGACAGAAAGATTTTATCACAGTCTCAAAAATCCCCAGGAGCGAGTTCCACACAGATAAGAGGCATTGTTATGTGACCCTGCAATACAGGATGAGCACTGGAAAGCGAGGATACAAGGATGAAGAACATCAGAGATCAGCATGGGTATAGTACATTGGGATCAAGGAATAAAAATGGCTACGTACAGCTGTCCCAAACTTGTTTTAAAGAAGAAAGAAATAGTTATATATTCTTTGGGAACCTGCTGAGCTAAGTAATCTGGTGTCTCCAAACAAGGCTGTTTGGATGAGATGGACGCACACAGTGATTGAAACCATTCTGTCAGCAATCTGGAAGCAAGGCAGCCCTTGGAAATAGAACCAGATATCCAGGACTACAGATCACTGTACAGTCCAAACTTTCTTTTTTCTTTTAAAAAAGATAATACTAAATAACTACGGATCAAAACCCCTCCAATGGAGACAAAGATGCCTGAGTTGCTACTATCAATGGGTGCACTAAAAGTCTGCCAAGAAACTGTTAGAAGCGACCTCTTTGTGTTTGCAGTGCAAATCACCCATTAAAGACACCCTGAAATGTCAACCAGTGCTGCCAACAAAAGACTAAACACTGAAGAGAGAATCCTGCAAGGTCAGCAAATAGGAGGAAAAGCAGCAGAAGAAAGAAAAAAGAAAAAGGTAAAATCACTTTGTATCTGCAGAAATATCCTCCATACTAAGGGCAACGCTGCACCAAGTTCTAGTCCAGCACTGCAGTATGACAGATTTTGGTGTGGGCATCTTTTGAAAGTCTTTTGAAATAGAAACCACTGATTGAAAACACTTGCATGTGTCTCCATTCAGCTCTAAGAGAAATTAGCACAGCGGTCATTCCAGATTGGAGTACTATATAAAACCAAAATGTATTAAAAGAGAAAAATACTCTCTCATTATTTTTACCTTTAACCAAAACCTCCTACCGAATATAGAAACAGGAAGAAATTTTAGACTTTAACAATTACATGGAAAGGCAAGGGGATTGTTTATGTCATCATCATCCCACCCACATTCAATTCTTTACCTTTAAGATTTTCAGTACATCTGTTAGCATGAATCAATGAACTTCATTAAAAATTGTCATAGAGAAACAAAAATATCCATTCCTTGGCTAACAATATCCAGAGATCAATGAATTTCATTCATGTTATGTGGGACACCACAGCTACTTTTTAAGTGTGAAGGTATTTCCCCTAAACGGACGTATCACTAATTTTAAATGTCATAAAGAGAGAGCATCAAACTCCTAGACTATTAACTTCTAGAAGACACAGAAGTAGACTACTATATTAACTCCTAGCTCCTTCCTAATTTTGAACAGATTTTTAAAACTACCTGTAAATAGCTCAGTTTCTTATTGCCACGACTTACCTGGAAATCTGATTAATAAATGGTATCAATTCTGCAGGATCATAGGCTCGAGCAAAGGCCCAGCACACGTAGCAGGCTGCGTCTCTCACGTTGGAGCCCACGCTGCACGCCCCCCGCTTCTCGTCGTACGTCAGGGCTTTCAAAATGACGGGAACAACTGGTAAAGAAAAAAATGCACAAAAGCAACAATTAGGACCATACAGTGAACCAAAAAAAAAGGTCTAAACATCCAGTGATCATTAGAGAAAAGATGAAGAGTGGAGTTGCGTGTTCTGAAAGAAAAGAAAGCATGGCTCTTGATACGTGTTAATTTTGATATTTGTTAGAAGAATTTGGGTTTTTAATACACTATTTTGCTTCTTTGTCAGTAGCAGTTTATTTTTTTATTCTACTCACATATAATTCAATGAGGATGAAAGGGGGTGTTACGTAAAAAGTAACACTGATATAAATTATTACTCGGTGATACACGTTCAGAAGTCAAACTAATTTTAAAATGCAGTATTTTAAAGTATCTGCTTCTTAAAGTGCTGGACTTCAAATATTACAGCAGCATCTATCACTAGAAAAAAAATGTTCTTAAAAAACTGTAACCACCATAAAATAAATCAGTATCCATCTATTAGCAGGCAACGTTTATCATGGTATAAGTCCTAGTATGACACATTCTTCTTAATTAGCAATGGTTGTGAATTACCAATATATCAATCTTGAAAGGGACTGAAGTAGAGTTTTTGCATACTCTTAATGCAAAGAGACATATTCGACATCATTCTTGCATTAAGCAAGGAAGCTGTGATATTTAATTCCCCGTAGAGCTGTTACTCTGAGCAACTTCAATGCAGTGCATTGAGCTTGAAGCTATCACCACTGCCAAAGTGCATAGGTGATAAGGACAGAATATGTATAAAACTGCAATGTAACCTAGAAATGCAAACAGGTAGGCTTTACTCTCATTTTTGCTTAGATATCCAAACCAACAGTCATGGCTACACGCCTCTTCACCAGCACAGAATGATGTAATGCAAGACCAGAGGCCTTTGATGAAGGAAAACAGTATACAAAAAAAACCCAACAACAAAGCAGCCAATGTCTTTTTTTTTTTTTCCTTCTATCAGTCTTGTTAATTACATCAATTTCACCAACATATCAGTTTTTGTTAGTGAGGTGAGAGACAGTGAGGAAATATGATAGAGGTGTTTCTATCCTGACAGCAACACGGAATCACACACTGCACTCCAGAGTGTACTCAAAATGCACTTAAATTGATTCTAACGCCCAAATCTGCAGACAACGTCCCCTGAGGCCCAGCAGACAGATCCAGGACAAAAGCAGCTGCCAGCCATCCTGAGAAAGTGCCTTTTATTTCTCAATCATGCTTGTTTGGGATGGTGAGGACAGGGAGGAACATTAAAACACAGGACAACATTTAACAGGAACTAAACGATACCCCAGACTATTAATGTTACGCTTGATGAATCCAACTCGTTACAGGAACTGGAAAAAAAAATCAGCAGCAGGAATACACCGTGTTTCTGAATAGGGATAAAATACTGTGTCCTCTTGAGAATATTCTGTTTCTCCTTAGTGACCCAGATAATCATCCCCATCTGACAGTGTCAGGATCTCTTTAACGACACACGTACCCCAGAGCTTCATTCTGGGAGAAGAGTGGCATTACCTTTGTTCATGATACAAATCAAAAGCCAAAAATCCACTGATGGGATATAGCTGTCACATCCAAGGCAGCTCTGAGAAATGCAGGTGCCAAGCATTGTTTCCTGATTTAATGGACAACCTCAGAAACTTCAGACTGAGTCTGCTTTGGCCAATAAAGGCCTAAAAGCAACAAACCTCAATGTAACACGTCTCTGTGCCAGATGTTACTGAGGGAGCCCCAGAAGAAACGTCCTTGCACAGAGCGTAAGCCCAGGCTGAGCCCTGGAACCACATGATCCTGCTGAGCATGATACTGGTATTATGAGTAAGTGACAAAAATAAGCTTGGGAAAACAAATAGATTAAGAATTTCACTTTCATGCTCATATCCCCATCAAAACCACAGAAGTCAATAATGTTTTCTACAGATAAGAGAGCTTCCAAGAACTTAAAGGACAATTCTCTTGCACTGTTCCAGCAACATACTGCCACAGTTTAAGAAATATTATATGTATGCAAGGCTCCCCAGAGGGATTTCTTTTGATATCTGCAAATCCACACATGTATGTCCCTGCCCAGGGCAGGGAGGTTGGAAATAGATGATCTTTAAGGTCCCTTCCAACTCTAACCATTCTATGGTTCTATACATAATTTAAATATATCTCTCTCTAGATGGCATGTCTTCAATAAATGAAACATGTCTGTAGAAACATCAGCCTCTAGAATAAATAAATAAAAAAAAAGAAACAATTTCTCTCTTGATTTTCCTTAGAAAATACTTGTCAAAGGTGATCCTGTTGAATAAGAAATGGGATCACTGAACTGTATTTTATTAGCAAACTGTGCCTGGATATACTCGAGTGGATATAATCACTAAATAATTAAACTTCGATGTACAATTCATCACTGTATGACTGCTACCTTAAACAAAACGATACGCACCCCAACTGGAGTAAGGGAAGTGTTAAAATGCCATTTAAATTCATTTTAACCTACTAAATAAAATAAAGCAGTATTCAGAGGGATGGATAAGATGTGATTATTAGGAGCACAAGCACTACATGGGAAAAAAAGCAACTCCCATTCAGTGACAATGATAGGGCAAAGATGGATGGGTATTTGGGCACTTCCCAGTTCCGAAAGAAACTGCAATAAAAATCTTTAAAAATGTTGACTGGCTTGTTTTGAAAAATGCTGCATCAACTGATGAAAAAAATGGAATTAGCTGGTTCTACAGGAAAACTAAAGAAGAGCCAAAGGCAATTTTGTGAAGCTGCTGCAAACTTCCTTGAGCACAGGGCGGTTACTGCAGCTGCTGCAGCCAGCTATGAGCCTGCTCCCTTCTCTGTGCGCCGAAGGAAATACGGAATAAAGACACACAAGCAGCTCCTCACTTTTGTGTTGTCTCTATAAAAGAAAAAAGCACATGTCATTTCAGTTGAGGGCATTAATTTCCCAAATAGTAGGGTCAATACCAAACAGCACGTGGCTTATTAGGGTCAGTGTAAGAGCAAGATGATGCTGCCAGAGGTCTTTAACAGTAGAAACTAAGGAAATGCCAGGAAAAATGGCACTATTACCCCAAGCAGCTCAAGGTTGCCCATGATCTCACAGCTGGCCTTCAGACTGGCACCTCTCTGATGTCCTACTCCTGTCTGGGACTCAAAGCATTGCTGCTGCACGAGAAACAACAGGACTCCAAGTCCAGAGAGCAAGAGGGGATAATAGAAAGGAAAAATACAAAAGTGGACATTTAGAAGGAACGAGGAGGGGGAAAAACCCTGAAGTATGCAGGAGTAAAGGGTAATACAAATACTACAACTATAACAATGGAAATCCTGATCTAGGGGTCATCTGTTGAAGTTTTCATGCTCTCACTGGTAGAACAGTTACTAAACAAAAAAAAAAACAAGTTAAATTTTATTTATCATTCTTCTCTGATTTAAGCTGTTCACATTCACACTCTTGCAGAGTTTTCTTTCATACACAAAGCAGCAATGAAGTTCAAAGCTGTGTAGTCACCTTCTGCATTTTGTACCCGTTATGCCATTTCAGTTCACCACCATAACCATCTCAGATACTCAGTGTGGTCACAGTGTTGTACTGTGCTTGCTCTATATGGTTTCAATTTTTCAGATTTAAAAGCATGCCAAATTTATACCTAAAATAAATTTATTTTAAAAAAACAAAACATCAACACCAAACAACAAAAAAACCAAACAACACAACCCAGAAATAAAAAAAGCTTTAGAAAAAAACACTTCCAGAAAAAACTTATTTTAGTTCAGAAGACAAATGTATTTTTGAAATTATGGACATGCCTCTTTTCATTTAAAAGTAGGGAGCTGGGAGATATAACAGGGAGAAAACCTGAAGTATTATTTAAAACTTATCATTTCTTTCCTAGGTCTACATTAAAGGTTTGCCATTAAAAACAGAGGATAAGTAGTGTCCACTCTCAACCCAATTATTAAAACAATATCCACCTGTTTAGGTCTGCGAATGCTCAAGAAACTAGAGTCACCTTTCCCTGTAGCCTAGAGGTATTAATAAGCACCTGCTACACTCCGCCCTGCCTTACCCAACAGCAGGGCTGCAGGTTGCAACACAGCACTTTGCTCAAGCCTTTGGAAAATAAAGAAACAACTTCTAGCTTCAAAGCATTACAAGCAACAGATTTTTTTTTTTTTTCCCCTCATATACTGGAGACAGGTTGTACAGATACTCTGCTTTTTAAACAGCCAGATGCTTCGCGCCTTTCAGGTGACAGACACTAAATAGTGTCTAAGAAAAACTTAGAGAAGGCATTGTATACTGAAAGGTCACAAATAAAAAATGCCTCATACTATTCCTTTAAAAACATACTTTACACAAACCTAGACTATAACACATGCCATCAGGAACCCCATGTTACTCTCTTTTTTTTTTTTTAATGTATTCCAATGTTTATCATATAAAACAAACAAATACAGCAATTAAACAAACAAACAAACAACAACAAAAACCTGTTCCTTAGCCTTAGGCCTTGTCTCCACAAGAAAATTGCAAAATTTCATGTCAACAATATTTCATTTAAAACAACTTTTCACTGGATCTCAGGTTAATTAAGAATTGTCTAAATTCAGTTTAAAATATGCCACTCTTGAAACAGATTAAGCTAATGTTACCTCTTAGATAATCTTACATTTTGATATGGACCATTTATGCAGAGAAGCCTTCTCAATTCATAGGTTAATATCTTGCAAAACTTTCTATTTTAGAATTATAAAACATAAGTAAAAAAACACTACCAAAAAAAAAGATTTCTGTTATTACTGAAGGAAGTACTGCACACGATGTCACTGCAGGAGCAGCTAAGAACCTTACAATTAACGAATTATGAAGCTGAAACAGTCATCAATACAGAGAATAATAATTTTATTCTTCAACTTTTTCTTCAATGAAACTATCTCATTGCAGGGTGTCTTCTTTGTGAGCCTCAGGCATAAAAAAAAAAGCA